CTGCTTTGTCTGAACTCAATTGAATTTAGTTATACAGGCTTCTTTCTCAGTTGAATAGAGTTGTATTCTTTCAATTCATTCTTGAGAAGTAGCATTTCTTCTTCACAGTCAAAAATTTCAATTGAAATATCATGAAGAATGAATTTGTCTCACTTTTCATCTCTTTCAGATAGAATTATTGTGTTTAACAAAGATTCTACTGCTGACTTTCAGAGATTCTTATTCTGAATAAGAAATTCAGCACTGAATTCAGACATTGTAGTCAGAATGATGAAGTTTTCAAAGAATGATGATTCAATTAAAGCTATAACTGATTTTTGAACTTCAATATCAGTTATCAACTGAGAAAAGAACTGCTGGTTAATTTCATTTCTGATTCTGAAAATGAGATTTGAGTTTAGCTTGTTTCTTTGCAGAATGTTCTGGTTTGAGACTTTGAGAATAAGTCTTCTATTTCTGAAGATTTGAAAGTTTTTCTCTTTTTGCATTTTCTGTTCTACTTTTCTATGAATAGAGGCATGAGCAGTATTCTTCTCAGTTTTCTCAGGATTTTGAGCAGGTTTTGAGACAGCAGATTTAGAGACAGCAGGTTTAGAGGCAGCAGATTCAGCTGCTTGAGTAGACTGACCGTGTGACCGTGTCTGGGACCAGGACCAGATTTTTTGATAGTCTCATTACCAATTCGACTGATCCCATTACACGGTTTTAACATTATATAGTGGTCCCATACTGTCCCAGTGGGACTTACTGTCTACTCTTGTCACATTTTCCAAATGGGACCATGATTTCCACTTCTCATTTTAAATTATTTTTATTGCTTTAAATGACTTTAAATCTCATTTGAGTGTTACCAAAAAGCGTTACTTTTTAAAAAATTAAAAATAGTCTAAAAAAAACCTTAAAATGTCTAAAAATAGTAACTTTATGCTAAGAATGGGACTAAATGGGACCAAATGGGACCACTTTCTCATTTTTTTCAAGTCATGGTTCCATTTTAAGATCTGATATATAGTCACTTTACATGTTTTTTTGATAGCCAGTCCCAGCGGGATTCACGCCAAGAAATGTATGGGACCAGACCAAATGGGACCAAACGTGAAATTCATGGTCCCGGCGGTCAGTCTATGCTTGAGCATATGTTTTCTTCTGATTCAAAGAAGAAGAAGAAGAAGAAGTAGAAAAGAAAGAAGAGCAAACTGAAGAGTCAGTGATTGTATTAGAAATTTTCAAAGTTTTTTGAACTGTGTTTGAAATTCTAAGTTTGAACTTGATCACTTTCTGTAGTTATCTAGTCTGAGCATGAAGAATTAACAGAACTTCTTCATTCATCTCACTCAGACACTGCTTTTCAAGAATTTTACTTACTTTTTCAAGTTTCTGTATTTCAAGAACTTGTTATTTCTCTATCTCTTCTTTCTTTCTTCTCTTCAGAATTTCAATCTCAGAAATAGTATTTGAGAAAGCATCTTTTTTCACATCAACTGAGTGTACTTTTGAACTCATTGTTCTTACTCAATGAAAAGTTGATCAGACTAATTCAATTAAGATATTTATTAAACTCTTTTGAATTGAAAAGTTGATCAGACTGTTTCAATTAAGAGGTTTCTAAGTCTGTTTTCAATTGAAAAGTTAATCAGACTATTTCAAAAGAAGAATCACAGACTTTTATATATAAAACACCTGATTTTTTTCACACTAGTTCAGTAACTAGGTTAGATTTTTGAAGAGAATCTAATAAACTAAAATTGATTTTTAAGATAAATCAATAAAATCTTTACAATCTCTTTCTTAAGATACAGTGAGGAAAAGTATGATATCAATTGATAGTAAATCAGATGATATGACAGTTTTTGAGAGAAAAACTGACAAAAAATAAATTAATTTTTTAAAGAGAAATTGATTAAAACTATTCAATTTTATTCTAAATTATTCAATTCTTCTCACACAACAGATATGCAACTCAAATCAGTTAATAAAGAGTGTAAAAAAGAATTAAGTATTAATGAAAGCTCTTCAGTCACTGAAAAAGTAATTCTTACTTAAAAGAATATAAAATTATGATAGAAAACAACTCTGTTTTTAATTCTTTGTAAGAATATTGTATAAAATTCAGAGAAAAACATCTTACTTTTTTAAGAGAAGTAAAAAACTATTTCTAAAATCTTTTTTTTGCATTAACTGCTGTAGAAGAATGAGATAGAAACTGCTAAGATATGTACTACTGTATACTCTCTATCAAGACTTTCTCTCTTCAGAGTCTTGATATTATAGAGAATATAAGTCTGTTTCTATATAATAATATAAATATTGTCAGCAGAATGTAGAGAAACTGATTATTTATATCTTAAAATAGAAGACTTTGTCAATGATTATATTAATATAGAGTTAATTCTCAAATTCAATAGAAATCTAGTGTTGCTGTTCTCAATTTCTTGCAGAATCTATTGAATATTGAGATATTAAAACTAGATTTAATATATCTCACTGTGCAGGGATCAAAGGCTCAGTCAGATCTTGAAGTATACTGATTTTATAGTTATTATGTCTGCTGATTATGTATTAAGTACAGTTGCTGAGATATCTTTTTATACTTTTCTGTCAGAGATGGGCCAGATTGAGAGAGATGATATAAGAGTGAGACTTGATATTGATGTTCAGATACACTGAAGACAGACTGTGAAGATTGCACTTCAGAAGTAGCTGTTGATTATATGCTTGATATTATCACTGAGGTATCTTTTTGTATTTTTCTGCTGGGGATGAGCCAGATTAGAAAGGGCAGTACAACAGTGAGACTTGATGTTGATGTTTTGAAACATCAAAGATAGACAGGGTTTTCGCAGAGGTTGCTCCTCAGATATCTCCACAACTACAGATTGGGGATCTTCCAAAATCAAGAAGATTGGTGCATATGGCTAGGTCTCTTCACCTTACAATTTGTATGGCACTTTGGCCCGGGGTTGTGGTGTGATAGGGGAGAACAGGGGATACTCCCACACAGGAGTTTCAAACAACATCTGGTTCACGTTTGGCTGGATAACTCCACCACCACACAGGGTATGCGGTCGGCGATGGGGTCAGAATGCTTGTATGATCGAGGGCTTTTCGATGGATCTATCGGCGGGTTCTTATTCGAAAAATCGAGCGAGTTCGTGGTGGAGCGGTTGAAGATCAGTTCAAGATTCATTTGACCATTAATATATAGTATATATACTGTCAATCAGTTGATAACTATTACTATATAACAAAGATAACTTCTAATTTAGTAATCTTAAGAGTATAGAGACTATACTCTTAAAGAGAAAAGTATTATTATACTTTCAGCTGTATTAAGATTTTATTACAGTTTTATACAGCTTATTACTTTTATATAAATAATTTTATCTTATCTGAACTAGTTTTTAATCACTCTATAACATTATTTAAATATATTATAGAAAGATCTAATTAATAAATATAAGAATCTTACTTCTATATAAGATTAGCAGATTACATTTTCTTAATAGTAAGATGTTACTGAGGTATTACTTCAGCTATTCTCACTTATAAAATAAAAGAAAAATATCTGTCTATTATCTATATAGAATAACTAGATACTGACTTCTTATTAAAAAAGTTAGTGATTTGTTTTTCTTCTATAGAAATATATACAAGAGTTACTACATATCTTATATAATTTTCTTAGTATACTAAGTATTATATCTGTGATATTCTTATAATAACTCTGTAGTCTATGAGCTCACTATTTAAGTAAGATAGTTAAGCTTACTTATATAGCTTTTTAAACAACTATCTCTATGTAATATCACTGACTAGCTACTACTTCAGTTTCATTATATTACACTCTATAAGTTTCTTAGTTAAGAATTTATAACTGAGAATTAGAGCTTTCAGTAGAAATCTATAAAGTGTAATAAAATAATCTATTAATCAGATATAATCTGCTATACTAATATAACTATAAATACTCTTATAAAGATATTAACTTTCAAGATTTATAAAAACACTCTAATTAATATAAGAATTCAAGTACTTACAGTCTGTAAAGCTCTGTAAGTATTTTAATATATATAAGATTTAATCAGATTAATATCTCTATATTAATTTTCTTTAATTTTTTAATTCTTATTCATCTTCTGTGAAATCTTAAATAGAAGATACTACTATTTTATATGTAATATTTCTTCTCTAGTTATAGAACTGCTCTACTAAGTTGTAAATATTTACTTAGTAAAGTAATAATTAAGAAAGATATCAGATTCTCTCTTTATAAACTGATTACTTTTATATAAATAAAGTATTCACTGATTACTCAGTAAATACTTATTAAATATAAAAGACTATAATAGTTAAATTTTAATAATATAATTAACTACTCTATAATATTATCTTTATTAAATTTTATATAAAATTTAATATTTTAAAATACTATTTTTGTAATAACTATATATTATTTATACTTTAAAATTATAATTTAAATAAATTATTATATTAAATTATTTAAATATATTTATATTTAATAAATTGTTTTTTAAAATTTAAAATTTCAAGAATTTTCAATATTTTATTTGTAATTTATAAAAATAATTATAATAAAAAAAATATAAAATTCTTAAAAATTAAAATATAAAATTCTTATATAAAATAATTTAATATTTATTAACTTATAATATATTTATATAAGAATTATTATTTTTAATAATATATTATATATATATATATTATTTTACTGTATTTTATTTTATTTTATAATTAAATTTATATTTTGATCAATTTTAATTATATTATAATAATTTTGAATTATATTATACTATAAGTCTTGATATTTATAGATTACAAATTAAAAAATTAACATAATGAATATTTATTGAGATATTAACATTTAAAGTTGATTATAATTCTAAACCTAATCGGACCCACAGGTATTACCTGTCCGGTAACTTACGGGAAATAGGCTCGACACGCGGCCAGCCAGGGGCAACATCGACGTAACCGCCCGCCAAATACCAAGAAAGTGTCTCAGCCCAGCTTCTGACCACAACAACTGACGCCCGCCTAACTTTCTATCTCCATCTCCGGCATTACATATCTCCTCTGTCTCTCGACCGACCACCATCTGTCCGCCAGCTTCCCTACCCTACCAGCACACCCCCGTCTCCCGTCCGTTTCTCATCTATCAGCTTCACTCGTTTCATTCATGTTCCCTTGCTGCCTGGATAACTATATTGCTGGTTGGTAACACATGGTTTTGTCCTATCATCGTCACTCAGAAACTCCTCCATCAGACTCCCCTCCCCTCCTTTTCCTCGCCTCTCCTGTCCTTGAGCCCGCAGAATTGTTCAACAACGGATCTAGAAGCCTCTTTTGCGCCTCCTGTTACCGACCTTTGCATCTTCGTGTTTGGCACACTGAACTCGAGTCCAACAGCGGAACACGGCTGAAAACTCCATCTACTCTTAGAACCTCAATAACCCTTTCGCAGATGTCCACCTGAACATCACTTTCAAGCGCTACACCCGCCCTCGTCTGCTCCCTGGACGACCGGCACCTCTGATATCATCTCAGACCTTCGTTCCGCGTTAAATTCTTCGTCGTTTTAACGATGAAACTTTTTCCGTCCGTGTCGTCGGCTTTGGCAAGTCAATCATGCACGACCTTCCTATTATTTACATTGCTAGGGGCCCAGGTGGCTCAGGCTCAGACACCAATTCCTTTGGACATTAAAGACCCAGGTATGATATAAATTTCTTATTTTCCGTCTTTTTTGTTCTTCTGTTGTATATCGGTTTCATGGACCTAATACTTCTTTCTGCTCTCAGCTTCGATCAAGAATGCGGCGAAAACGGTTGCAGAGAAAATGGTTTCCTATTACACTGGTTGGAGACCAGGAGACGTGCCTGGTAATTTGCCCGACCCATACTACTGGTGGCAGGCCGGCGCCATGTTCGGCGGCTTGGTTGATTACTGGTACTATACCGACGACGACCAGTTCAACGATATTACAATGCAGGCAATACTTCATCAAGTTGGGAGAAATAAAGACTTCCAGCCTGCTAACCAGTCCCAGACCTCGGGAAACGACGATCAGGGGTTTTGGGGCATAACTGCTATGGGTGCCGCGGAGGCGAAATTTCCGAATCCCCCCCCCGACCAACCGCAATGGCTTGCTTTGGCTCAAGCAGTTTTCCATACACAAGCAGAGCGGTGGCACAATGAGACCTGTAATGGCGGCCTGAAGTGGTCCATTAACACCTGGGGAACTGGCTGGCATTACAAAAATACCATTTCAAATGGATGCTTCTTCAATCTTGCTGCTCGACTTGCGCGGTACACAGGGAATGAGACGTACTTCAGGTGGGCAGAATCATCCTGGAATTGGGTGAGTGGCGTTGGACTCATTAGCCCAAAGTACGAATACTTCGATGGCGTAGACGATGATAACAATGTAAACTGCACCAAACGCAATCCCATCCCTTGGACTTACAACGCCGGTGTCTACATGTCCGGAATTGCCGCTATGTACAACATGGTGAGTAGCCATTCCCTCTGTTCTATTCTGTAGTCACCGCGCTCCCAGCATAAATATTAATTTTTTGCTCGCTCGACATAGACAACCGGCGAGGAACAGACGGCCTGGAAAGAGCGCCTTGAAGGAACTATCAAGCAAACAGAAACTACTTTCTTCCCGGAACGCAAGGGTCGAATCATGACTGAAGTCGTCTGCGAGGACGCTCGGGAAGATAAGTTGTGTGATACCGACCAGCGGTCGTTCAGAGCTTACCTTTCCCGCTGGATGGGTCAGACCATCAAGCTTGCCCCATTCTCAAAACCCCTGATCGCGCCAATGCTGGAGCGGTCCGCTGAAGCTGCCGCGAAGCAGTGCAGCGGGCCTGACCATGTGTGTGGCTTGCGCTGGTCGCGGCTCGCCGAGTGGGATGGTTTAAACGGCGTGGGCGAACAAATGTCAGCGCTGGAGGTTATCCAAAATAACTTGTATGATCTTGTTTCCGGCCCCGCGGACGAGAACACCGGTATCAGCAAGGGTGACCCCAATGCGGGAAGACGTGATCATGATGTACCCATTGAATTCTCTGAAATTACAACTGGCGATAAAGTTGGTGCTGGCTTTGTGACGTCGATAATCTTGTTGGGCATTCTTGGCGGTGCGTGGTGGTTGATTGCCTAAACCAGGACGGAAATAGTTGGGCGTATGGCGGAATCAGCGGCGTGTTAATTGAATATTGAAGGATCAAGCAAAGGTAGAGAGAGAAATCCAGAAGCTTCGCTCAAGACTCCTTAGTATTTTCTGTCGCTTCTTGCCACCGCAACGCCATTCCTATTTCTGATAGCGACATCTCTTCCTTTCCGGGTGAGAAGGTGGACGAAGACGAGTTACCCCAATGAAGCAGTCACTTTTTCTCCATCTTCCTCTATTGTTGTCATGTTGGAATTGACCTTTCAACGTTGCGTTTTCTCCCCCCCCCCCTCCCTTTTCTTTTTTTTTTCGTTTTTTATATATTTTATTTTTTACTCTCTTGCGAATCGAGTGGGAACTGGGCGTCATATCAGGGTATTTTTCTTATCGATTTCTCTTTTTCCAATTGCTTAACTTCACACACAACCTCTATTCATTTATTTATCTATTATTCTATATTTATTTTTATATCCCTGCGTCATATGTCGTTTTTCACCATCTAATCCCACTTCCCATTCCTCGCAAATGTCCTCGTCACTTGATTCCCTTCTTGTCCTTGCATTCCTTTTCTTTTTTTTCTCTACCCTCACCCCCTCTTCCTTTTCTCCTTTCTCTGTAACTTATCCTGGTTTGGGCCCACATGGGTTATTTTGTAACGCTACCCGTCGCATTTTCATACAAGATTTTCTATCTTTTTTTTTTTTTTTTTTTTTTTTTTTTTTTTTTTTTTTTTTTTTAAAATCCAAAATTCCCCTTTTAACAAAACTCCTCCTTACTATTATTTCATGAAGCCCTTTCTTTCTTTCTCTTCAGTGTCTTGGCCAACTGCCAAGTTTAAAACCAAGCACTCACCCGGCGAGCTTATGTATCAAGTGCTAGTGCTATCTAATCTAGCATGTTGTATAGGTTTACTGTGACCACATTGAATATCACGTATGTGCAGTTTGCATAGCTGAGAAAACGGGGAGATGATGTTTAATTGTTTAATTGTTTCTTTTTTTGTTGTCCTTGGTTAGCTACTCCTTCCTCTCGCGTTCCATTTGAGTTCGTATGTGTAATATTTTCTGCTCGCTTAAGTACATTTACGTACATGGTTAACTAAACGTTCACATACAGGAAATACGCCTAGGGAAGTCTAATGGGCTGGGGATGGAGATCGAGAGAGATGATAAGATAACGAAAATCTTCCTTGGATTGATGTAATATGGGCTTTGGTGCTGGTCTATGAAGGAGTACATATCAAAGAATCTGTTGTAGTTGTATAAATTCGATGGAAATTTTGTATACATATATATTTACATGATAAAATTGCGGTTCTTTCATTTCCAATTGGGACAAAAAGAAAAAAAAAAAAAAAAACTCCATAACTCCTTTAAGTAGTTTTTCCCACGCGATGCAAAACTCTCCCATCTCATCAAGAACGGGGTCTGGTGATGATGAAGAAAGGAGTCCCTTTCTTGCCTGGTGAACCAGGCTCAATTGTTGTGCCAATAATTAGGTGGTGTGAGGTGGTGATATGATACACGATGGACAACGTCAACAGTCCACAAAACTCAAAAAAAAAGCGGACGTAAATCGTTTTTGAGGCGTCCGGGGGAAGAAGGGAGGCGGAGTAAATAATAAAACGAGCCCAGCTACGATCCTTCGGCAAGTTCCTTTCTGATCTGGGCCTTTTGCCTTTCCGCTTCTTCCTGTTCCTCCTTTCGTCGCATGTCCAGTTGTCTCCGGCTCGTGGCTTCGTTTTCCTTCATGGCGTGCCAGACTATGCGTATCGTAAAGATGGGAGGTTAATTTTTTTTTTTTTTTTTTTTTGAAAGTTGTATTAATTGGGGGGAGGGAGGAGGTTTGATTTGGAAGCAAGATTGAAACGCAGTGAAAGGAAGGGAAGGGGGAAGGTTGTGGTTTATTGGTGTTAGAAAATACAAATGAGTAAAGAAAACAAGAAGCGAAGCACCCGAGGGCACCCCCCCACGTACTGGATTTATGAGACTTCGCATGCGTCTTTAACTGCGTCACAAAGGTGTCGAAGTCCTTCTGTCTCTGCTCACGCGTTTCAAGGTTCCGTTTTTGGAGTTCCGGGCTGAATTTCTGTATTTATCGGGCGGGTTTCCTGTCAGCTTTTTGCATTCATTCATTCATTCATTCATTCCAGCTCGAATTTGCGCGCATGGAAAAAAACAAAAACTCCTACTCTCCTCCGTCATAGACATGCGCGGAGCGTATGCGACTTGTTCCTTGTTCTTCAGATGCGGACGTGATAGGGTGTGGATAGTGGATATATTGGCGTACCTGGAACAGCTCCTCCTCTGTTGGCCGCACGTACTCGACGAGGAGAGGCCCGCCAATGCAGAGCAGCGCTCCTCTGTTATTGTAATAGATATTTGTCAATCTCAATCCAGATACGTGGGGGAAACTAACGATATGTTGTGTAAGGGAGCGAAGACTTACGCGCCCACCATTTTCACCGTAGTAACCAGTCGAGGCATATTTTCCCCGCCCGTCTGTTTCCTATTTGCGACTGAAGCGGGATTCGGGGACGGAAGAGCGATCGACAGGGAAGGATATGCGGGATGGCCAGGCGAAGGGGGAATGGGGAAGGGGGGTGGCTCCAGTTATTCCGGATTGCGGGAACTGTGCTCTTGGAGAGTGAATGGTAATGCGACTTGTGTGCTGGTTGGTGCGCAGCGAGCGATGATAGCCTGTTTGTGATCAGATATTGGATCCTTTCTCGAATTCGGAGCTTGTTTTGCGGAGTTGAGAGGGGTGTGGCTGAGTCACTAGTTAGCCATCCATCAGCCACTTGGGCGGGCATGTGGCGGTGCAGGCCCTTTAGTCAAAAGGGAGCGTTTTGATAGCTTGCTCATATTATTTTACATAGGATGGGAATCTGGGATACGGCTAGTTCGTATTGCGCTTGTCATTGTCTGTATCTTCTACAATTATGAAGGGCTTCCTGATCCCGACACGGCCTATCAATTACGGACTCTGTGGAGCCAGAGAAAACAGCCAAATCCGTTGCCAAATGCTGCCGATCAAACATGTCCTGTTGATGAAATCCCAGGGCCAACGAGAGATGGAGCTTCTGCGGGGGTACAGTGTTGTTTTGCGACCAGTTTTGCCAAAACTTCATGACAGATTGGCGGTGATTAAGGGGAAGAGGGGACAGGATCCTGCAATGCTTGCGCAGAAGCCGTCCAAAAACAGAGATATCAGCTGCGCAGGACAGAAGGTCGTTGCGCGGAAGAGGCGGAGGTGTTAGCTTTTTGTACCCTCTGGGTTGTTTGGAATTGAAGTCAACATGGATACCGTCGAGTCTGCGGATATTTCGCGCTGGTTGGCTGCGAAATCACACATCAGACCAGCGAACTAAGCACGAAGGGGCGGTGATGTATCTCCTCATTCGCCCTTGTTCTCTGGTTCAAACGCAAAAGCTGTGATGGAGGCAACAGCAGAAACTGCTCCTGCGTCAACCAGCAGCCATTCATTCATCCGCTCCCTTAATCTGGACAGGTTGTGCGGTGAACGAAACAGCAAGGAACAGGCGCTAAAATCTCAAATGATAAATAACAACGGAGACGAACCTTACACAGGTAGGATCATGAGGTTTCCTGCAAACCGAAATCGCGACGTCATGGACTAGCCAAGCTATGTTGGAATTTGACGCCGATCCTTAATCATGGAGCTTTCATCCATGCCATTCGTCGGGACATGGTGTTTCACAATCCTGAATTGGGTGCGAAAATCTTCAGCCTGCCTGACACAACGGTGAAACGACCTGGGATAATAGCCAAACAAGAAATCGGATAGTTATCCCCTTTCCGATGTCAAACTTCTTACTTTCTTCTTTTACGCCCGCAGTTTGGATCATTCCTGAACACGCATTGGCGCCCGATACATTCTTCTATTGAAGATCATCCACTGCACTGCGGGATGGGCGGAGAATATTTCCTTCTAGGGAGAGCTCTTTTCTCTATGCCCTTATTAACAGCTATTATAGCTCTGTGTGGTGATATTGTTTTGAATTGATAGCGATCTGTAAACATATCAGGGCGATGGCGTTGGGTGAAATGTGGGAAAGGGATTCGAAGAAGAGACTGAAGCAGAATTCTGTCTTATCACTATTTTAATATCCATGTCGTTCGACATAACTTAGATACTTATTAGCCCCCGAGCAGGTACTCTAGATAAAACCTCCATACGCTAAGGACAGAAGAGAAATGTGCCTTGTCATCGAGATCGCCGCCTGGTGCGGACAAACCCCTCTGGTCATCCCGACGACGAGACAGGGCCACGTCCCGCTCCACAAAGTTGATATACTTCGGCTCATTTTCCAATTTTTTATTTTTTTATTTTAGGTTTCTTTTTTCGTGTTTCTATGAGTTATATGTGGCTGATTCCAGAGTACCGAGTAATAATAATAATAATATCCCACCCCAGCATCCCACATCAGCACTTGCGGCAAGCTCGAGAGTCGGGAACAGGAACAAAAGTCTATTTCCCAACCAACTACATTCTGGAGGACTTTCTTTCTTCCCCTGCTTGCTGAACAGTGAGCAGAACTCATGTCGTTATATAATTACAACGGAATAGCTATTTGAAAGATGAGACGAGTATAATTGAGTATTGCGTAATACGGATACCGTGGATAACGACCTAGGCACTCCCTACCCACAGATCGCGGCCAATCCGCCCTTGCCCGCCCTAATAACGGGCGCCGACTGTTTTTTTGGCTCCGTCTCCAGCGTGTCACAGTGGGTAATGGGTAATACCGCGGTCACGTTTCTGCAGGGGCATCGAGCCTCATCTTGTTTTTCTCCGCTCTCGTCTGCGATGTTTCTTCTGCTGCTCTGTCGCCTCCATAGGATAGGCACTCTCTTGCGCGCTTTTATTTACTGTCAGGCGCTGGCATGGTTGCACCAGAGCAGAGCAAACGTTTGTCAATTGTGATTGGCTGCCCCTTTGGCTGCGTTACGGCCAGTCCCCCTCCCCTCCCCTCCTCCCCTCTCGTGCTACCGGGAGCATAGGGGCATGTGAGACGTCGCAACGCCAGCTCAACAACTTGTCCTTCGTTTCTCTCCCCTGATACTAGATAAAGCGGGCTATCTGCTGGCCACTGCTTTTGTATCAGTATCATCAACGTTGATTTTGCTGGTGGGAACACTCTTTTCGTGGTCGCATTTCGACGTCCTCCGGCGCGCAGCCATCTATCTCTACCTGAATACACCCAGTCTGTAAATTCTGGAATAGATCTGAGTCATTTACGATTCAAGGGACACTTGTCGATAGTTTCCTCTACACTTGGATACACCCTTATACTTCGAACTGGTGAACGTACTTCACGCTTCAAGGGTTTGCCCTGCTGTTACTACATTCCTTTTGCGGTACCGATTTAAACCAGAGCTCCCCTTGTTAGTATATATATTTTATATTAAGAAAAAGTAAATGCTTCATTGCTAATTTTAGTTTGCTAGGTTATATATTTGTCGCAGCCTTTTATTTCTCCTAAGCTTTCGACATCTACGAAACCAGAGCGCGAAGGCCTTGTTTGGATAGTGCACCTTCCTTTCGTATAACCTATCATGGCATACCCGCAGAGGGGAGGCCCTCCTCCACGACAGTACAACGACAGACCACACCCCCCACCCCAGAATTATGGCTATCAAGGGCGGGGACGGGGTGGCTATGGGCCTGGGCCTGGGCCTCGAAATCCGAACTACGATGACCGTGGACAATACTACGATGATCGCCGGGGATATGGAGGAGGTGGTGGTGGAGGTGGAGGAGGTGGTGGTAGTGGTGGTGGACAACGGGGTCGTGGAAATTATGGCCAGTATGGTCCTCCGAACCGAGGGCGCGGAGGTCCACCACCAGACCGGTATGGATATGGCGAGCGTCGCCCTATGAACGGGCCACCACCACCAGGACCACCGCCTGGACCATCACCTGGACCACTTCCACCTAATTTTGATAAATCATTCCCTCGACCTCCACCGCTCCAGCAGAGGCCAAGACATCGTAAGTTGAAACGCAATGATGCCTGCTCGTGGCCTCCTCCGGTACTGACAGATTTGCGCAGCTAACGATGCGCCACCGTTGTCGCCTACACATCAGGGAGAATCCCCGTCTGATAATCCGTTTCCTACTTTCCCAGCAAGGAGGCGGGGGAATTCAAACGAATTCGACAGGCGAATGGCTAACTTGGACATAAATGACCCGTCTATGGGACCCCCTGAACCAAGACCACATACCTCAAACTCTAGCCGCCCTCCTCGACAAAGACAGCAGGAACTGCCACCATGGGGTGGGGCACCTGGCGGCAGAAACATGGCACACCCATCGGGCGTTGAACCTCCGATGGGACCAAAGAGGAGTGCGACGATGCCACTTAGCCAAGGTTCGACTGGCCCGCAGTATCCAGGACAGCAAACATGGCAGGAACCACCTATGCCACCTCTAGGCACGGCTGGCGGTTCGAACCCAAACATCGTATCTTATTCGGAGGGCGACGTAACGGACAATGGAAGAGACCTGCCAGATGACTTCCTCGATGCCTACCTAGGACCCCATGATACAGGAGAGTCGGATATGCCGAATTTCAGCGCAATGGCGGATGTTGCTGATGACAATATTGTGCCTATTGATACACCACGGGGTAATGGGTCGTCGACTCCTAATACTGGAAATGGTTACACTGCTTATCGCCCTGGAGCACCCGCTTCAAGCAACAACGCACATTCGCCAGCAAATCAATTTGAGAATGCGGGGTTCCAGTTTGACCTTCCTCCCTCTCCCGGTGCAGCATACGACCACCGTCAGGGAGTAGATGACTATGGCCCACCCTCGACTAGTGCTTATCCCCAACGCCAACCAACTGGAGGTATGCCAGCTGGACCTGCATATCATGGAGATCCCGGAGGTGGGATGGGTGGATATGGCGCCAGACCACCACCCAAGCAATACAGCCCTCCAGGCCAAGGCGCGCCTATGCACTATCATGAAGACCAAGGCGGGTACCACAATCAGTCCGGTGGTTTTTCACCTATAGATAACCCGTCTCAAAATCTGGATGCGCTTCCTCGTCACCCGGTTCCGTTCCGCCCCGGTCTAGATAAGGGGGGGAAACCACCCCCAATCAGGCAGTACGATAACCCTCCCCCCATGCCACCACAAGGCCAACCGGGCCACGGACACCCGCCCCCACCCCCGGCGGCGCATGACAGACCGGCCTCGGCAACCCTAACCCACGAGGAACTCAATCGTATTCAACACGCTGCCAAGAGTAATCCATCAGATCACAAAGCTCAACTTTTCCTTGCTAAAAAGCTGGTTGAAGCTTCTATGGTCCTGATAGATGACAACGGAAGGGCTGATTTAAAAACTAGAAACAAGAACCGCGAAAGGTATATTTTTGACGCCCACAAAATAGTCAAGAAACTAGTGAGCGCAGGGTACCCGCCTGCGATGTTTTATCTGGCAGATTGTTACGGCGAAGGCCAACTCGGTCTAGAGGTTGATCCAAAAGAAGCGTTCTCCTTGTACCAATCTGGTGCGAAGGCCGGACATTCAGAATCCGCTTACAGACTGGCCGTCTGTTGTGAGATGGGCTATGAAGGTGGTGGAGGCACCAAGCGGGATCCAATGAAGGCTGTGCAATGGTATAGGCGCGCTGCCGCACTGGGGGATACCCCTGCAATGTATAAGATGGGTATGATCCTCTTGAAGGGTCTGTTAGGACAACAAAGAAACCCTCGAGAGGGGGTATCCTGGCTGAAACGAGCCAGTGAACGCGCGGACGAGAGTAATCCCCATGCGCTCCACGAGCTAGCATTGCTATATGAGAACCCCAATGGAATCGACGCTGTCATCCAGGATGAAGCGTATTCCCGAGAACTCTTGGAACAAGCCGCGGAGCTTGGGTATAAGTTTTCGCAATACCGTCTCGGTATTGCCTATGAGCATGGCCTGCTGGGATGTCCCGTCGATCCCCGCGTGAGTATCATGTGGTACTCGCAAGCAGCTGCGCAAGGCGAGCACCAGGCTGAGCTGTCACTCTCTGGCTGGTATCTTACTGGGGCAGAGGGAATTTTGCAACAGAGCGACACGGAGGCATATTTATGGGCACGTAAGGCAGCCATGGCGGGGTTAGCGAAGGCCGAGTATGCGATGGGTTATTATACCGAAGTTGGGATTGGAGTTCCAGCCAATTTGGAAGATGCCAAGAGGTGGTACTGGAAAGCGTCTGGTGAGTTTTGGTTTCTCCCTCTTGCAATGGATTCCTTTTCGTCTTTCGTGGTTTGGCAATTCCTATCTACTCATCCAGGCCTCATATTCTGACAACTTCCTTTCTTTTCTTGCTAGCACAAAACCATATGAAAGCCCGCGAGCGTCTGGAGGATCTGAAGCGTGGTGGCGCCAAAATGCAGAAAACGCGAGTTTCGCGGTCCGCCGTCAACAATCAGAACCAAGGCGACTGTGTCGTCATGTAAAACATGTATGAAGCAGCTAGCCAGCTATCTTCCGTCCTATCGAGCATGGTCGGTGTTCCTTGAAGCTATTTTTGTTTCTACGAAGCCATTCGGGCAATGAAGTTTGTACTTCAAGCTTCTGGATATCTTTTTTCTTTCTTGATTTTTATTCCCCCTTCTTCTCCCTATTTTCTCTATTCTTCGCCTTTTATTTTTTTATTTTTTATTATTTTTTGTTTTTGAAAACGCCCTATCAGAACTACGTACATACTAATGATACCATTATATTTCTTCTTGCATCTATTCTTATGTTTTACTTCTCAAGCTTCACTTCACACGTTTACCTTACTTTTCTTGTGTCTTTTTTCTTTCTTTCTGTTTCATATTCCTTTACTCATTATTGGGACCAATCCACCCCCCATGCATGCTTCATGGAATTTAAAGACTGGATATTGAATTTTGGAACTTGTCAATTAGGGATATGAAATACGGGGCTGTGTGCCCTGAGCCTAGACGCTCGGGCTCGGGACAAGCCCTATAATAGGGGGGAGGCAGTTGTAACGGTAGGCCCTAGGGCGCAAGCAAGCCACCACTATAAGGATGGGTATTTGCGTTTACGGACGAGATTGTGATATAACGGTACACCGGGACGCATTAAGGCTTTCTTTTATTCATGATAGCCAAATAAATCGACGTGTGGAATTTTGTCTATGGGAATATGTAGAAATAAAGATTTTTTTTTTTTTTTTTTTTTTTTTTTTTTTTTTTTTTTTTTTTGGCAGACATTTTTCTTTTCCTTTCCCTTCCAACCAGATGATATATTCAAGATGTTCGAGCCCGACTCCCTCACTTCGGTTAGAGGAGAATAATGGTGTTGGCCCCAGCACGGAATTATGGCGGTGTTACACTATTAATAATGTTGGAGAAGATGGTTGGTTATATTTAAGAAGGAATCTAGCAGCTACGTGGTCTTTGTTTATAGGGTTCAGCGAACGCCCTTGAATCACTTTGGGGTGGCGGGCGACAGCAGTCAGGCCTCTGGCAGATCCCATCGGGGATCCAACACCCCCCCCGGCCCAACCTTGGAACTATACCTGCCATAGAAAGAGAGAATAAAATTAGAATAGAGATATAGGTATTGGTATACTATGCATAGCGCATGCCCAACATCGAACCTCCCGCTCTATCCCTCTTCAGCGTTGTCCTCCTTCTCGGACTCCTAATATCATAAGTTACATCGCCCTGTCTCCCTCATTTCTTACCGCTCCGACGGCACCCTGTGGACGAGGTGGGGGGACCCCGTGGCACATTTTGATACCCCCTCGCTTCTACGGGGGGTAAAGAGCTCTTTTGCGATAGCAGAAAGCAAGAAGATTGGAGTGGATAGAGAGAGGAGCCGTGCTGTTGAGGTCACAATGTCGCCGTTAGAGAGGACGCCGGTTTATTTCCTGAGTCATGGAGGGGTGCGTTAATTCATTTATTTATGTGTTTATTTATTCCATACTTTTGTTTTGTCTGAGTTTTTGCTGCTTGCATTCAACGTCCATCTCCAAATCTATCAAGTTTTCAATTTTGTTCACTTACTTGAATCTCCACCGGGGATGTATAACCTTCATGGCCCCCTCTCCCTATATTTTGAAGAATTTATTATCTATTAACTACTGCACCTTCCATGCTTAACATTTCTCTACCTCACAACTAGCCAAACATCATGTACGACCATGATCATCCAGCCCATCGCAAGCTGCAGGAAATCGGGCGGGAAATCACTAGCAAGGTGAAGCCTCGTGCCGTGGTCGTTTTTTCCGCCCACTGGCAAGCGTTAAGAGATACAGTCGAGGTGAACAATGCTGAGATCACTGAGCTGATATATGAGTATGTTGCACTTTCTTACTTCACTTTGCCAGTCCCCTTTTCGTCGTCCTGGGAGGTTTCCTATGCCAGTTGCAGCGGGCGAAAATTGGGCGGATATTTCACTTGCTCATTGATGAGGAAAACAGGATCAATGAGCAGGAAGAAACATAGACACGGCATGTTCTGAGCTAACCCGGAAGATTATATGTAGCTTCTATGGATTCCCCAGCCATTATTATGAAGAGAAATTCCCCAACGTGGGGAGTAGGGAGATCGCGCAGAAAGTGATAGACGCAATTCGGGGAGCAGGGATGAAAGCGGAGGGAGTGAAGAGAGGACTGGATCATGGTGTTTGGGCTAGTTTTAAATGCGGTATGTCCTCAATAGTCAACCCCCTTTCCAGCCACGGTTTAGGGTATTGTACGGAGTACTACCTTGGTGAAAAATTGAGCACTAAAACAATGAAAATATTGATCCATTTTTTTTAGCATTCAACACTGACCAAAACCCCCTGAACGTTCCCATCGTCCAAGTCTCCCTTTTCAAAACCGAAGACCCCATCCAGCACTACCGCCTGGGCCAAGCCGTCGCCAAACTCCGCGAGGAGAACATCCAGATCATCGTCTCTGGAATGGCAGTGCACAACCTGCGAGACCTCCGGTTAACGTACGGAGATTCTAAGCCAATGCCGTACACGACTAGTTTTGACGAAGCGCTCAAGGACGCTGTCACCACGCCACCGGCGCAGAGGGAGAAGGCATTGGTTGATCTGTTGAAGCGCGCGGATGCGCGGCAGGCCCACCCCACGTTTGACCATTTGTTGCCCATCCATGTGGGAGCGGGAGCTGCGGGGGAAGATGTTGGGAAGCGGCTGTGGACTCTGGAGGAGGGCAGCATGAGTTGGGCGCAGTTTAGGTTTGGGGAGGTTGGCGCGGACTGAAAGAGATTTGGATTTTTGGATGATGTATTCTTATTCTAGCTTTTCCTTCATCTTTTGTTTTCTTTGTGGAGTGGGACGGGGGAGGTATCTTTCCCCTTCCACCCCCAACTGGTCTCGGTTTCTCAGTGCGTATAGCATGCTTTTTGAATGTTGGATAATAAAGGCATCGTATCTTTCTTGGATGTGGAAGGAGCCATTGTTCTATTTTGAGTCGTGTATATATATGTACAGAAACAGCGGAAAAGGAAGATAAATCATGGCGCGCGGACTATATTGAGTCCTTCACCAAAGCTGTAACTTTCTCCTCAATCTCCTTATCTGTCAAGCCTAAATGTTTGCCAGAGTCAGTTCTGTCCACAGTCAAACTTGTGGTGGTGATGAAATTTATCCATACCTAAGAGGGGTTCTTGCTTCTCCTTCCCCAATTCTGCGAAAAACGACAAAGAGTTAACATATATTGCGAATAGAACAAAGAACAACGTATAAACCCCCTCATAGCCCCGTACACACATACCATATCTCGCAAACACCCTTGGTTCAGTATCAAATGCCTCCCGCATCATGACGGGTACGTGTGGGTTGTTTTTCTTCATGGTTGGGTATGCGCGCTTCAGGAACGCTCTATATCCACACATCCAATCCCAAAACAGTCAGTCAAAAATCTATGGAACAGAACACCGTGGGCAATACTATATTCGAGAGACTGGAGACACCAGTTTCATACCTGGTCGCATCGCTGTGAGGAGATGAGTTGCAGAAGAGGAACCGCAGCTCCTTCAAGCTCTTGTTGAAGGCGTATCTCGCAGACATCGCGGGCGGGTCCGAGTCGGGGGTAGTGTCAGAAGGATGAAGGCTGATTCCCACACACGTCCTTATAGGAGGTTAACGGCAGGCTTTAGAGCTCAATTGAGCTGTTTCTTGGACAGGTTTCAAGGGCGATCTGAGTTCCGGAAGTTGTTTGATGACCATCAGAAGCTCTCAATTGTGATCATGCAACTATATTACATAAGCAGATAGACCACGTGACTAGGGGCGAACATCGGAGCGCCGAGACCAAGATATTGCTCGCATTTGAACTATGACTGCGCGCGTCGATGTCGAGATAGAATATCTGAGCAACAGACCAGAGAAAGGAGATCTATTTCCTTGGTGTAGTTACTTTTATTACATTGCTTCTCGGGCTTTTCTCTCCTCTCTCTTACATTCCTTCCTTGGACTATTTTGTAACCAACGCTTTTTCGCTCCCCCGTTTCCCACCCCCCTACATAACATTTTACAGACAAACATCTCCGCCCGTCATGTCTACCTCAAGAGTTGGCCTGCGCTTCTTCCAGAACTACAGATCTGCTTTCCAGAACCTATCAAGTCCCCTCCGCAGACATGGATTGAGATCTCGGCGATTCCAAAGCACTGAAGCCGGCTCGTCCACTGCTCCCCAACAGAGCTTCCTGCAGCGGTCATGGAACAGTCCCATCGGCCTCAAGACGGTGCATTTCTGGTATGATATCAAATCTCAACGGTTCACTACCCGTTTTTACATTTCAATTAGGGATGAAAACTGCCGCTAACCTGGGTCGCTTTTCCCGTGAATGTTGCAGGGCCCCGATCATGAAGGTGTGATATCATACACATTTATTCCCCTCCGATTTTTCGCAAAGCGCGGTTGCCCGCACGATATAACTACACGGGATATCGTTATGGGACATCACTACAGTGTCGAAGAGCCAGCGGCATGCTGATTACATTTGCAGTGGATCCTCGTTCTAGCCGGCCTCTCTGATCTCACACGACCCGCCGACAAGCTCTCTCTAACTCAGAACGGTGCCTTGATGGCCACCGGCGCAATCTGGACGCGATGGTGTTTCGTCATTAAACCAAAAAATATCCTGTACGTCGTACCATGCCACATTGTCGATTGAATATTGTTGTTCCCAAAATTGGCGCGCGACGCTTAGTCGCTTCTATATGTTTTTCTTGTGTGATTGTCGTGAGCCACTTTTATCAATTGATGGTCAAAGTTCCTAACATCAACCCCCAGTCTCGCCGCGGTTAACTTCTTCGTTGGATGCGTGGGATTCACGCAAGTTACTCGTATCTTCCTGCATAGACGAGCTGTCGATGGGTCGGCTAAAGAGGCACTGAAGGACATGACCCACGAAGCTACCGATCCCGTCAAGGCCGCCGTGATCAAAGTTGAGCATAAGGCGGAGGAATTGATTAAGAAACATTAAATACTAGAGAGGCAAAATATGACGCTAGGGCTTTTCTCTTTAGCGGGGAGGAAGGGAAATGTGTGGGGGCTGATGGGATAAATCTAATTCTTCTTATATATAGTTGGACCAGAGGCTATATACATTTGGGAGGATGATTCAGAACTTTGTTTCTGGCTTCTTGGGCATGCAATAAATAATACCTAGTCAGTGAACCTTTTGCATAAAGTATAAAGTATGTAGATTGGGATATTTAGCTACCATACGTAGCTTCTCCGCATGCACCGAACAGCTAGCTACATTCAATTATTCCCCACAACTTTGCCCCCAATTACGTAGAAATGATTTGTCGGGTTGTGGGCATCCGTCATAGATGTCAAGCGAATGCTTCAGTCTTCCCGTAAATCATGCCACACGGCTTGGACGGGACCTAGGAACGGGGTTGATTGGATAAGAAACCTTCTGTCGTCATTGACCTCTAGTTATCTGGATCATTGCCATCATCTAAACCTAATTTCCCGTAGCCCCGCGACGACATTTTAAATATGATGGGTCCGTTTCAGTCCGCAGGTTTATATTTGGAGTCATGGTATCTTAGTAAATAGTTGAGCCTCAAGTGTATATATGTAAGTGGCTATGTGCTGCCAATCCTACGCATCCCTGGGGACGAAAGCGTCATTGACGACACTGGCTGCAAGACTTGGAACTAGAAGCTATACGACATCCTCACGTCTCTTGAACTGCGGAGCCTTGTATAACAAATACCAGCTTCCCTTCCGCCCCTCCCTCCTCCCAGCGCCAGTTCAAAAATATACACCTGCAGCCTCCTCCTCCTCCTCTTCCTCCTCCTTCTCTACCCCCTTCCCCCTTTTCCAGCAAGCAACGTTTACAACCACTCGCCCCGCCAGCATGAAAGCCCTCGTCTACAAAAGCGCCGGCGTCGTCGGCATCGAAGAGCGTCCCAACCCAACGATCCAAAGCCCCACAGACGCCATCGTGAAACTCACCCACACCACCATCTGCGGCACAGACCTGCACATCATCAAGGGGGACGTACCCACCGCCCAGCCCGGCCGCGTGCTGGGCCATGAAGGCGTCGGCGTGGTTCAGGAAGTCGGCTCGAGCGTCCAGGGCTTCGTGTGCGGAGACGCCGTGCTCATCTCGTGCATTACGGCGTGCGGTGCGTGCCCGGCGTGCCGCAAGGGGATGTCGTCGCACTGCGTGTCGGGCGGGTGGATTCTAGGCAATAAGATCGACGGCACGCAGGCGGAGTACGTGCGCATCCCGCATGCGGCGTCTTCGCTGCACAAGCTCCCCAAGACGGTTGACCTGCAGGCTGCGGTCATGCTGTCCGATGCGCTGCCGACAGCCATGGAGTGTGGGACGCTGAATGGCAAAGTTCAGCCGGGAAGCACGGTCGCTGTTATCGGGGCCGGAGCGGTGGGCATGTCCGTGATGATGACGGCGATGCTGTATTCGCCGGCGCTGCTTGTGATGGTGGATGTGGATGATGGGAGATTGGCGATGGCGAAGAATCTCGGGGCACACGAGACGGTTAATAGTAAGGATTCCAAGCAGGCTGTGGACAGCTTGTTGAAGATGACCGATGGGCAGGGGTTTGATGCCGTCATTGAGGCTGTGGGTATCCCTCACACTTTCCACCTGTGTCAGGAACTTGTTGCGCCTGGGGGTGTTATTGCAAATGTGGGCGTGCATGGGACGAAGGTTGAATTGTCTTTGGATAAGCTATGGGATCGGAATATCTGTAAGTATACCACATCTACGTGGTTGCGTGTTGCGTGTTGCGTGCCATGTGCCATATGCTCCTCGTTCGCGGAGAACATGGACATCCCCCAATATGCGCGCTGGCGATTTGGGGGCTACAGCACAACTACCAGCATCCAAGACTTGAAGCCCTAGTAAGAAGAACATCTGCTGAGCCATATCCCGTTTAAATCCAACAGGTATCACCACACGGCTTGTGGACGCGGTCACGACTCCAATGCTACTGAAGCTTTTCCAAGCCGGCAGACTGGATACCTCCAAGCTCACAACGCACCGTAAGTGGCGGCCACAATCCTATATATTTCCTTCTTGAGTCGAGTTCCCCACATTGCGTACTGCCTATAATAATAATAAGGGACTTTCATACTGAAAATATTACCTACTTCACACAGGCTTCTCGTTCAAGGAATGCGAAGAGGCATACAAAGTCTTTGGCGCTGCGGCACAACACAACGCTCTGAAGGTGTTGCTAAGTATGTGAGAAGAAAAAGAGGAGAAGAGGAAAAAATAAACAAATCGAGGAGGAAGAAGGGCTTTCTTTGGGCAATTTCACTCTTCTGCGTCTTGAGATTTGAGTGTTGAAAACATCATATGCATTGTAAAATATTTTCCAAATGGTTCAGAGGCAGGTCGGATATCATGATTTGTATGTGGTTGTGGTGATTTGACAACTTGGGGCATTTTCTTTCATATTCATGTCATGTCATGGAGTAAGATGTCGTCTGCAGCGCTCAATAACAATGGAGCGATGTAGTGTGGTGCTCTACATGTGCTTTAAGGTCTGCTTGGAGAAGTATATAGTGTATCTAGATTTTTCTTTGCTAGTTAATGTCAAAATTCGCTGCTCGTAGCCCGATCACCTGACCTTGGCCAGGAGGAAGAAACCGTAGATTCTTTATTATCACTGATATTTAAATATAGCATCTGTTTATAAACAGTAGTTATACATTGAGAGTCAGATCAGCTCTGCTTGGAGATGCTGAATGACGTTGAAAGCCTCAAGCAGCACGCTTCTTTGAATCACAATATATATCTTCGATGGCTGCTCTTCTGAGTTAAGACAGGAAGCAGGGGAAGGCGTGGTTGTAGTAGAGAGGTAAAGGAGTTTTCTATGTGGCTTAGAATTAGTTGCGAGATATGTTGTGTCCTATCTTGGCTGTCTTCCATATCATACATATCATGTCATGGGATGAATTTCGAGTGTTTTTTGCGAGCGAAAGTTCCAGAGCTATCTATCCTATCTATCTGTCTTGGTCTCCCTGGCCCACTACCAATTGAATCCTCAACCGTCTGCACTAACAGGGACGCTCGTGGTCTGGGGAAACTGTTGGACCTTCATCCTCCATGCTGGCCATAAGCGTATCAAAAAAGTATGTGTGCGCCCGCTCGATGTCTTCCCAGCGATCCACAGAAATCCAGCCGTCACTCTCCACCCGCAGCGTCTCGACCATATCCTGCTTGAAATTCCAGCATCTTCTCATAAATCTCCAGCTGTTCTTCGTAAACTGCGTGCTCCTCGGGGGTTGGGGCGGGACGTCTGGAACCCCAAGTTTCCCCCTACCCCTCCCGTAACCGCATTAGCTCGGTTGTAAATGGCACAAAGCCATCCCTCCACGTCCGGTGGCGATAGATCAGCGGGCCGGAAAAGTCTTTCGTCAATCTTCCTGGCTGCACCTTGTAGTCAGCGGAGCTAGCATGGCCCGCCCTAGCTCAGACGCTTGGTGGCAGAGACTTGTTTCGGCGTTTTCTGATGGCCCCGCTGGGGGGGATGCTTGCAAAGTCAGGGACGTCGTAAGCGTACTCGAATGCCGGTTCGACGCTGGTGGACTGCCAGTCTATGAAGCCAGTGATGGCTGTGGGGTTGTCCTTGGAGACAAAGATGTTCCTCTTGTGTAGGTCTGGGTGGAAGAGGGTGGGCGTAGAAGTTGGGCTGGATCGCTGGGTGTTTTATAAGGCTAGGGAAAAGAGCTTGCCCAACTTTTAGCAGATTTAAGTGCTTGTCCACGGAACCTTGGTATGACGCGCGCTACTAACGAAGAAGGGGATGTTCCCGTGGGGGCAGTCTTGCAAGGCCAGCATCGATCAGAGCAGAAGAGTATGAGGAGAGATCACGCCCTAGGGAAGTCAGTTAAATAAGAATGATACTGGTAAGAGGAGTAAAGGCTATCTAAATATCTTCTTACATGGCCCTCTGTTTGGTTGTTTGTATGTATAATATCTCGGTTCCCCAACATCGCAGTCCCAAAAACGTACTTCTGCAGTGTGGGCCAACACAGAATGTAGAATCATTCTCAAGCTTCTGCTTCGAACCAGCATTGACAAATGCCGTGTCCGCAAAATAGAGACTGCCATAGGCAGGAAAATTGGACTTGGATATTGGTGCAATGCTTGTGCAGATTGCACCAATTGTCTTTACTTTCTTGTCTGGTGGCAGCTCATCCCATTACGACCTGCAATGCAACTCCGCCCGCATGGTCCATAATAATTAATGTATGAGGTATGAGAAGCCAACGGGGTTAGTAGGGTCATCGCTCTAGTCTAGAAGAGCTGGAATTGGTATTTTGGTGTGGCGTTGCACTGTAGACACAAGTTAACATCCAGCTCTGAACACACCTTACTATGTACATGTACATGTACATCTCTTATTCTTACAGTAAATAAGTAACTAATCGTTGCAACTTCTGAGCTGGTCACATATGTTGCTAGTCCAGCAACGGACATGGGAAGCTTCGCAACGACCCGTCTCCCGCTGATGGTTTCCATAATGAATGCTTTACTAAACCCCCCCCAACCTTCTCGTAGCTTTCAATGGAAGTGGCAGAAGGGCACAGAGAAAGTACCCTCGCACACAGGCGATCAAAGTTGAATTTGATGTAGCGCGCATCACGCTACGGCTTGTCAAGGTGCAGCCATCGACCGGAAGTGTAGGTAAACAATGCTTCGATGGTTAGTAGAAGATCCCAATGAGCATACATACTATGGCTGAGTAAAAACTCACACTCGCGTCCCGACATAGGTTCAAGTTCCTTTGAGAGAGGCGTACTCGGTACTCTGATGAAGTCCGCGTGTTGGCAGAAGCGCTGAGCAGAACACTGCCCGTGCTAGTAAATAATGGGCGTGGAGTTCCGGCCAGGTTGAGGGGAATGCCAGACTAGATAGACTGTGCAAACGAGCAGACAATAAAGGAGCGATAGTTCGAAACCATTGGTGGTGACTGCAATCGCAATCCCACCACTCTCGCCATCACTAAATATGCCAAATTCCTTGGTGTTCGTCGAAGCGCCGGCCGACACATTGAGGGTTCAGGTCAGCCTTGGCCTACTAATGCAGGTAGCTAGGGAGGCAGCTAGATCTATCTATAGAGTACAGACGTGATATAAATTCATTTCATGGAAAGAGTAAATATAGTGACAAGAAACTAACTAGCTGGTAATCAATCTCTGTGAATTGTGTTCAGGTTACCCTCAAAACCAATAAAAAGAAAAAAAATAGTAGGAAATAAGAACATTTGGTTGGGAATAAATATACATATATAGGAAATAATTATAATTTGTCCTTCCCCTTCTTGTTCTCCGGTTCCGGATTCGTTTTTTGACATTTTTTTGTTTTTTTTTTTACTTCGTATTTTTATTTAATTTCACTTTTCCTTGAAAAATAACAACCCAACGAACAAGGTCGCCCTCTCCTCCCCTCCCAACCCATCAAGCGGCTTCATCCATCTTTCTTTCGGCAGGTTGGGGGGCCCGGCTTTTGCTGTTATTTTTTTTAATTTATTTTTAATTTATTTATTTATTTATTTTATTTTTTTTTGGTATATTTACTACTTCCATCAAGCATATTGTATTGGCTGTACACTGTCGTTGCGTCATCGGAGGCGGAAAGCGTTAAATCTTTTACAACTTGGCAGCGCTGCCGGGGGCGGAGATCTCGTTGTAAAGGAGCCTGCAAGAGTTAAGGCGTTAGAAATAAATGGGGAAACAAAAGAGAGAAGAGAAAAGAAAAGAATGTCTCCGGGGTGAGGTGAGATGAGATGGGGGGGAAAGAAGAAAAAAAAAAAGAAAAGAAAAGAAAAGAAAAAGAAAAAAAAAGAAAGAAAGAAAGGGGGGAGAAGGAGGTCGTACGATGTCAAGAAATCAGCATAATCCTCGCCGGTAACCTGGCCGGCAAAGTAGCGGGCGGCAAGCTGGTACTTGTTGCCCTTGGGGCCCTTGTTGGCGAGCTCGTCGGTCTGCTCTTGCAGCAGCTTGAGGGCATAACCCTTGTCGACGCGCTTGCCCTCGGCCGTGGTGACGTTGTGCTTGACCCATTGCCAGAGCTGGCTGCGGCTCACTTCGGCGGTTGCGGCGTCTTCCTGTTATTGTTGAAAAGGGGGATTGTTAGTTTCTTTTTTTTTTTTTTTTTTTTCTTTGAAGCTGGGTTATTTCTGCCTGGGGCAACAATGGGATAGGAAACGGGAGTGTGTTTGTTTCAATCGTGTTTGCGCTGGTAGGGGACGAACCATAAGGTAATTGATGGGGATGCATCCAACTCCACGGAGCCAGCCCTCCATGTACGACAGGCCAATGTTCAGGTTCTTGCGGATGCCCTCTTCGGTGATTTTGCCGGGGACATTGGTGTTCAGGAGGTCATTCGCGGTGATGTGCACATCTTCCCTGCGAACGAACAGCTGGTTCGGGGTGGGCATGTATTGGTCGAAGATATCTGTGGCAAGCTTGGCCAATGCGGGATGGGCGACCCAGGTACCGTCGTGGCCGGCGCGCACCTCACGGAGCTTGTCAGCACGCACGCTGGCCATGGCGGCGTCGTTGGCCTTCGGGTTGTCTTTAATGGGGATTTGAGCGGCCATTCCACCCTATATTTTGGTAGTTAGTGAGTGGGTATTCTAGAGAAAGGAGTAAAGGGGGGGGAGGAGGTGGAGGAGGGGATTTTCAGATATTGCTTACCATGGCGTGAACGCCTCGTCGGTGGCAGGTCTTGATGAGGAGTTTGACGTAGGCATCCATGAAAGGAACAGTCATGGTGACATCTGAGCGATCTGGGAGGACGAAATTGGGGTTCTGTCTGAATTTCTTGATGAAGGAGAAGATGTAGTCCCATCTGCCGCAGTTCAAGCCAGAGCTGTGTTCTCTGAGCTCGTAAATGATCTGATTTGGTTTCGAGGTCCCGTTAGAAAAAAGAAAAAAACTTCTCGCACAGGACGTTGTATTACCCGATTGGGAAAAAAAAGAAAGAGTAGCAGGCATCAACTCACCTCGTCCATCTCAAAAGCAGCAGAGATAGTCTCAATCAAAACAGTGGCCCGGATGGTGCCGCGAGGCATGCCAATGTAATCCTGCGCCAGATTGAAAGCGTCATTCCACAGACGGGCTTCAAGGTGAGATTCCATCTTGGGGAGATAGAAGTAAGGGCCAGTGCCCCGGCTGACCAGCTCTTTGGCATTGTGGAAGAAATAGAGACCGAAATCGAAAAGACTGGCGGACATGGGAGCACCATCAACCGTCATATGCTTCTCCTCAAGGTGCCAGCCTCGGGCGCGGGCAATGAGGGTTGGGAGTTTCCTGTCGGTGCGCAGCTTGTAATCCTTTCCACCTTGTTTGAAATCAACCTGTCTGCGGATGGCATCGTACAGGTTAACCTGGCCATTGACCATGTTCTCCCAGGTGGGAGCACTTGAGTCTGCGAAATTGAATCTTATGTTAGCTGGATTCCAGTTCTTGTTCTTTATCCCGCCGATTTCAGACAACCGCCAGCAATATCAAAACTGCATCCACCTTCTGCGCTTCCTCCAAGCCCGAGGCCAAAAACCAACGTTTACTTCCACAAAAGCAAGAACATGTACAAAAGATATAAATAAAAACCACTCACCCTCGAAATCAGCCATATAAGTATACACATCAGAGTTCAACGCATTCACGACCATTTTCCGGTCAGTTGGGCCTGTGATTTCCACACGGCGGTCAACAAGACCTGGAGCGGGAGGGGCTCCCTTCCAGGCATCATTTTCACGGATATGTTTGGTCTCTGGGAGGAAATCTAGGAGGGTGCCGCGGTCAATCTCAGCTTGACGGTCGATGCGTCGCTGGAGGAGGGCTTTTCTGGTGGGATTGAAAGTGCGGTGCAGGAGGGCGAGGAACGCAGTGGCCTCCTTGGTGAGGATCTTGCGGGTTTGGTCGTTCAGAGGGCCGAGGATGGCCACGTCCTTGAGGAGGGTGTCGACAGTTGCCATTGTGAGTTGATTGTATAGCTAATAATAATAATAGCTGTATGTATGTGTGTATGTAGATAGATCTCTGTATTGTATAGGAGAGGAGAGTGATAACCTCTTCCTTCCGACAAAGATTGTATTGAGCAAGAAGTAGACAAGCACGATAATAATTTATAGCTATCAAGTCATCTAGGTTTTTTATTATTATAAAATGGGGAAAGAAAAGGTATTTATTTTATTTATAATGAGTAACTCAACAGAACAACAGAACAAAACAGAGCAAGAAAGCGTCAACTTCGGGATAACGTCAGAGCTTTTCTTTTGCCGCGGCACATGCAATAATAACATAAAAAACAGGAGGCGAAAGCAGAGCAAGCAAGGTGGAAAGCGGGCCAGACCACAGTCTGTTTAACCCCGAATTAATTAATTAATTAATCTGTGATCCCTATTCTAGTTATTCGGTCGAGAGAGTAATAATAAGAGAGCTATGATTGTCTTAAATATTTATTATTATGATTATTCTGTTTCTTAAATGGATGAGCGGGAAGTTTCTCACAGGCAAAAAAGTTACTGAGGCCAACACTGCTTAAATAACTAGTTACTTCTACTGCCTTTCTCGGCCGACTTACTGATGTAGTTAACTACTTTATATATTATTTCCATATTTCCATATATCCCCTTGTCAGTGATTCTGCTCTGTATGGTATGTAAACGTACTTGGACCTTCAAAGTAATATTATTACTTATTATGTCCCCCGCACTCTGCTCCGGTATTCCCCGGGCTGCGGGTTATGTATAACTAACTTACAACAACATTTCAGCTTGCTTCAAACGCCAAATGCATTATTATTATTATTATTATTTATTGCGGTCGAACTGGCGGCAACAGATGCGAGGGCAAATTAATTATGCAATTGATATGAATATATGTTTTCTTCCCCCCATACAGACAGAGCTTCCAGCCAAAAAATCTGCTCACATGTTTGAACTAGTAAACTCTCATGTTAGAACTGTAATCTGTCTGCAACCATAACTACCATTGCAAACAAATGAAACTACGACGCCAAGACACCTCCGAATCAAGCTCTACTGCGTAAGTTTAGGGGATTTTTTGTATATATAAAAAAAAAAAAAAAAAAAAAAAAAAAAAAAAAGGAAAAGGTGTTGCTCCGCTGGGTCGGAGTCGAACCGACGACACCTGGATCGCAGAAAGATATTACAGTCCAGTGCCATAAACCAACTAGACGACCAGCGGAAAGAATGACGTATCTCAGAAACCAGGGTGAAATGTCAGCCTGAAACAAGTAGTTTGGTGGGAACTGGAAAGCGAGCAGTTGCTTATATAGCTCATATATATATATTCTGTTAGCACAAGAGGAGAAATCCAATAAACTTAAATAATAGTAAACTAAACGTGGAAAACAAGAAGAGTTGGGGAGATATTGAAAAATACTTTGTCAACCAATGTAGCTAGAGGTTCTCTCCTTCAGGAGCTTATTATTAGCTAGGTACCTCCTCCTCCCGGGCGAGAGAATCTCCAACCAACCTGCACATGGCTGTCTGTAAGTACTCCTCCCGCTGCGGGGTACAATGGGGGATTTCACTTTATTTTTTTATATTTTTATATTTTTATATTTATTTTATAATTTAGCATTTTCACATGCTTCTTCCCCCGCAGAGGTTTCAAATTATACTTTCCCCCCCCGCCACCGCCACCGGCGTGAGCATAAAGTGAATCGGGCCGTTCTGTAGGGCTAAACATTAGACCAGTGACGCAGTGGTTAGCGTTCCGTTCTTATATGATTCTCAGAAGCGCCCAGAGCTCTTTGGTTTTGGTGTGGCCTGAACTCATATGACATTCCTCAGTGATGCGGGGGTCGTGGGTTCGAATCCCACTTGGTCTAGATGAAAATTAACCACATTGGTCTCTCTTTTTTTTTTTTTTTTTATTTTAATATTTTTTTGATACTTGAAGTTATTGTTTTTCTTTTTATTCCTTCTTCATAGGGTTAATTAATTAACATTCATTATTATTCATCTCATTATCACATTTAATATTGGGCCTGTCTATCCAGCAGGTTATCTATTATTAGTCAAGTTCCATCTCATATGTTATGTTGTTGGACCAGATTAAATACAAATAATCATGCTGGCAGACAGACAGACAGCATTAACATTAACTCATCTTATAGCATACATCACATCATATTCAATCATTAATTAATTTCATCAATTCATCAATTCATTCCCATCCCGTGCATGCATTTTCATTGCCGCCTTCCCCCCCCACCCACGTCGTCAATATTCCGCCATGAGCGGCAAGTCCCTCGAACTCCTCCCCACCCACACTTGAAACTTGCCGCTAACAGGCATCACCCAGTTCTGATTCACAGCACTCCAGTAACTCAGGTCCTTGCGTGTCAGCGGCAGGCTCACAGTTACGTTTTGCCCGGGCTGCACCTCTACCTTGTTGAAATTGCGGAGCACGCGCAGCGGGAAATCCACGGTTCTGGTGCTGTTGTGGCTCGGGTTGGTCGTGGTGCTGTTGTTGTTTGGGCTGTTGCTGATGCTGCTGCTGTCGCTGCTGTTGTTGTTGTTGCTGTTGCTGCTGCTGCTGCTATTGTTGTCGAGTATAGGTTCGTCGAGCACGTTCTCAGGGAACGACACATAGACCTGCACAACTTCCTTCCCGACACGAGTCCCCGTATTACTGACAGTGACATTGACCGTCACAAATGGCTCGAAGAGGGATGGATTGCCGCCTTCACCTCCTCCAGCGGGTGAGGGGGGTTGGGCTTCGTCGTATCCCTTCGGGTATTCGTATGGGGGCTCTCGTTTGATGTCGTCTACAGAAGATAAGTACGGGTAGATGTATTTGGTGAGAACCCTGAATTTCTCTGGGAATAAGGCGCATTCAACGTTGGGGATTGTTGTGTTGTACCATGGTGGAGAATTTTCTTTCGGTCTGGGAGACGGGAGTGGAGTTTTGGATTTCAACGGTCTGAGGATCAGGTTGGATAGGTTGAAGGTGGTGTATGAGAGGCCGTAACCGAACTCATATCGCGGCGTTAGGTTATGGGCGTCGAAGTAGCGGTAGTCGATGTATAGGCCGTGGGAAAAATCCTTTTGCGGAATCACATCATCGGATTTATAAAGGATTCCAGCTTCAGGGCCATAATCGGTAAGGTTTTTGCCCATGGTGTATGGCAGTCTGCCACTGGCGTCCACATCGCCGAACAAAATATCAGCCAGCGCGTTTCCGCTCTCTTCTCCAGGTAAGTTCGCTAGAAGCACTGCTTTGACTCCCGGGAGGTCGATCCAGGACTCAACGATCACAGGCCCAACAGAATGGATCACCACAACTGTGCTGCCATTGCCAGCACCACATTCTGTCGCTACCTGAGAAACAAGGCTGTCTGTGCCCTTCTGGAGTATGAGGTCATTCCTGTCACCACGGATGTCTTTCCAACTTGCGAACCCTTCGCCAGAGTCCGCATTCGCGAAAACAAGACACAAGTCTTTATCACGCATATCCTCTGGTGGAGTCCGATCATTTGTCAGATACCCGGATACCGTTGTGGATTTGTTATTGAACGCCCTGCTTAGAGCTTTCCACGGCGTTATTAGGTAGGGGAAATCGACAGCTCCGCTACCCCAACCGGACGCCAGCGTGCCCTGGTTACACGCTCTGTCCGCGCAAGCGTTTGGTCCTTCGCCAGCTCCGGCGTCCTCTCCATAAATGCCGATGCGATACTTCTCATCTGATAGTCCTGGGCCGTCCCTGGAAAGTGGTAGGAATCCGTTTTCATTCTTGAGCAAAATTGTGCCTTCGGCTGCAATCTCACGCGCAAGTGGGCCATGGGCATCATCCCCTTCACCTTGCACATTGATGTATTGGTTAACAACACCTTTGGCATCGTCATCCGGGCTGCCTTGGTGCAATCGACCGATTCTGTCATGCGTCCAAGACGAGAAATTTGGTCCCCCGTCCCCGTCCGGGGGCGGTTTCGCCCAGGAATCTTGTTTCAATTGGTACCAAGAGGCCACTACCCTCGTCGCCATATCATTCAATCGATCCATTGGCACAGATGTATTCAAGACAGCCTGCGTCAAGTGGTGGCCCCACAGGGAAATGCCGTCCGCCCACCCCAGGCCATCACCAGGCATTGAGACATCCAGACCAGCAAGTGCACTGGCAACCCCGCTCCGTTGCGCCAACCAATCCGACTGGACGAAGCCTTGAAACCCAAGCTCATCCTTGAGGATGCCGTTCAAAATCAAACTATTTTGGCAGGCATAGGAATTATTGACCATCTGATACGCACACATCACACTCGCGACGCCCGCCCGTACACTTTCCGCGAATGGCCACACATACACCTCGCGGAGTGAACGGTCATCAATGTTGGAAGACATCGCAATCGGTATCCCCCATTCACCCTCCTGGCGGAAATGCTCTTGCTCGTTGAGCACGTAGTGTTTAGCGGTCGCCATTACTCCATTATCCTGGACTCCGCGGATGGTCTCTGCGGCTGCAACGCCCTGGAGGACAGGATCCGAGCCAAAGCCTTCCCAATTCCTGCCCCCCGCAGGCAAGACACCAATAGGACCCATAGCCGGGCCAAGAAGGATATTGACTCCTTTAAGTCGAGCTTCTTTCCCCAGCGCAAAACCCCTCTTGTACATTAAGTCACGACTCCATGTCGCACCGACGGTAACACCGGCAGGAAACGCGGAGATGTTATCTGCAAAGCGAATGCCTAGAGGCCCATCTTGCAGACAAAGCGATGGGAAGCCCACCGAGCTAGCCGGACCTGAGCGACTTAGCATGCGACCATTTATGTTACCTTTTAAGAGAGGTATGATTGCTTCGAATATGAGGAAACCAAATCGACAAAAATTAAATCACGGCGGGCCCTATCCCATTATATAAGGAGAGCCTTGAATAAAGTGCGAAAAGAATATTGGACCTACCAGTGTTTCCAACGCAGAGCCCCATCTGCCAACCCACACCAGTAGTGACGTTCACTTTTTCAACCACACTCATTCTACCCACTAACTCCTGGGCTTTTTCGTAGCTTTCAGTCCAACTTTGGACAGTTCCACCTCGCGGAGATGGATACCACGGCCTTGATAACTAGATATATAACTTACGTTAGCTTTTTTTCTTTTTTCTTTCTTTTTTCTTTCTTTTTTAATTTAAATTAACTATAGTTATCGATATATCGATGGGTTTGAAAAATAAAATAGATAGCACCTTAAAGGTGAACCGATCAAAGTCATAGCAGTAGATGCCCCCAAAAAAAAAAAAAAAAAAAAAAAAAAAAAAAAAAAAAAAAAAAAGAGAGAGAGATATAGAATGAATAAACACACAATAAATAAATGCAAAGAAAGTAATGAAAAACAAACAAACAAATATAAAACAACAAATAAAACTCACTCACCCCATCCCTCGTCTCCACCCTCATCCGCCCATCATCTCCCTCACCATCTATCCCCTTGCCGCCCAATATCCCCTTCGCCCCAAGCACCGATAGCACAATCGTTAACACCACCAACACAACGACCACGAGCGGCAGGATGAGTAGACGCCATACCCTCCGCCGCGTCGTCTTCGTCGTCTTCGTCGTCGTCGTCGTCCACCACCACCTTGCTGCTGATGTGATCTCCATCACGGCTGGTGTCGATGCTAGCTGAGGGGGATGTTGTCTGTTTGGGGGCTGGGGGTGGTGGATGGGGGGGGAGGCGGCATGGTTGTGTTGATGCTGGGGAAGGGGGGGGAGGGGGCGCTGGGGGGAGGAGGCAGGGGAAGACTCCCCAGCCGTCTTGGATGTCCCGCCTGTGGAGGAAGGGTGGATTGATGCTTGTGATGGTTGTGTGCCAATACTGGTGGGGATGGTGCTTGGAGGAAGTGTTGTGTTGTGTTGTGTGTATTTTGAGAATTGATGATTTGGTTGATGTTCTCCTTTTGCCATCCATGGATATACGTAGGTAGGTTACAGGGGTCACATGTTCAGACACAGTGTGTACTGTTGAGAGGCAAACTTGAGCAGTGCAAGCTACAAGCTATTTGTGTTGCTCCTATACTAAATATCAGGGGGGAAATAGAATTAAATAACTGCCCAGGGAGTGTTTTTCTTCTTTTTTCACCAGCGCTCGTTCAAAGATCATCCCTGGCCAGAGCATCAGTGGCTTGGCAGGGGAATTGGCGCATCTAGCTTGGTTTTTAGAGTTGGTGGCTTGTAATCGAGATAGGTTAATAATACGTTGTGTATAAATATTCTGTGTTTTATATTCATATGGTAGAACGGTAATATAGTTCTGCACTTTTTTTATATTTACATATGCAACTCATCGATGGTCCGCCTTTTGCCTGGGGGGGGGGGTATATTTAGTTCTCTCGCAAATAGTAGCTACCCATGCCACTACCATTGAAACCGTCCAGCAAGATAACACGCAAGCTAACAAACAGACAAGTGCGAAAAAGAAAAACAAATAAGCGTGTAAATCTAATTGCCTTCTTTTTCTATTGCACAACGCTTGTTCTCCTGTTCATGAACTGTTCTACTTCCTCGTGGCGCTCATGCTGGCCACGGTAGTCTCGTCGACCACGCAGGTACCAGTCGGCGACGATGATGACGACAACGACGAAGTAGACGGCGGAAACGTAGTTCATGTCTATAGTTGGAAATATATGATTAGCTATCTGACCTATGGTGCTACTTCGCAAATTTTTGGGAAGAAGGGGAAGGGGGGGGGGGGGGGGGTGTGCGTTAGTCGTAGGGTCTAGGGTTAAACCCCCAAAGGTAGTATAACTTACTGGAAGTCCTGACGGGATAAACCGAAGGGAACGAATACATAACAATGGTAAACACAGTCCACAAAAGAACTACAATGTTTGCACAAAGGCCAATTTTCCCCAGCCAGAAGGGGCCGTGCTTGATGTTATCCCGGCCGCGGATGAGCAACGCGATAATGGGAATGGCATACGAGATATACAGCAGGACAATGCATGCAGTCACCATGCTGTTAAAGGCGGTGGAGGAGCCGAGATACAGCAGTCCCAGTACACCGACGATGCAACAGCTGGATGCATGCGCCACGAGCGGCACGTCGAGCTTGGGGTGGATCTGGGACAGGTGCTTGTGGAACGGGAGGCCGCGGTCGCGCGCAAAGGACCAGCACAGGCGAGACTGCCACGTATGCGAGGCGATCTGGCAGCCGAAGCCGGTGCAGAGGACCAGGGATTCCAGGGCGATGGCGCCGGCTTTGCTGTTCAGGGCCTGGTGGAAGAGCTCGAGGATGGGGACGCCGGTCGGCGTGCTGATGAGTGTCTCGAAGTCACTCAGGCTGAAGAACATGGACATGCAGTAGAACCAGGCGGTGGTGAAGCCGATGGCGACGGTGCCGCAGATGGCAATGGGGATGGAGCGCTCCGGGCTCGCGACCTCCTCGGCAAGGTGGGTGGCAGAGTCAAGACAGGCGAAGACCCAGTTGGGGTTGATGAGGCCGACGATGAAGGCGATGCCGTCGGATTTCCAGCCTGTGTTGTTGATGAAGGTGGCAAAGACGAATTTGGCGTCCTGGTGCGTGGGGGCCTTGGACGGGACGGTGATGATGATCACCGTGAAGGACATGAGAGAGAGATAGAGGGTGGTCACGGCGACCTTGGGGAGGAGTTTGCCTACGCAGTTGAAGAGGAAGCACCATGCGTTAATGACTTGGTAGGCGACGACGATGTGCCAGGATTCGATGACGCTGTAAGTTTTCTAGTTAACTATGGTCCAGTGTAGAGAGAGGGAATTTCAATACTAGGTATTTTAAAATTGAATTAGACCCAGGGGGGGGAGAGGAAAAAAAAAAAAAAAAAAATCCTTACAAGTCAGGATGTCCAAGCTGCCACATTCCAACGCCCGCAGAGGCCAACGCCAGCGCAACACTGGCAGAGGTGAAAATACTCCCCGTCCACGCAAACCAACCGGTCAGATAAGACGCAAAGTTTGCATATTTCGGAGACGCCAGCTCGTTCGCCCAGAAATACTGGCCTCCAGCATTGGGCATAGAGCTCGCGAGTTCAGACAGCGTGATGGCCACGCAACTCGAGATAAATGCAATCCACGGGATACCGTACATGACCAGCAGCGGCCCGCCCGACGAAATGCCAGTGATCAGGGACGCAGACATGCCGAACCACGAGTTGGTCAGCGAGAAGCCCACGCCGAGCAGGGAGAACAGCGAGAACTTGCGCTTCATGTCCTGGGTGTAGCCCATGGCCGCGAGTTTCACGGCATCTTCATCGAGGGAGCTTGTCTCGCTGGGGTCACTGCCCGGAGACGGCACCACACTGTTAATTTTCTCCTCATCTTTAGACATGGTTGCTGATTATTTATTGCTATCTTTTTTTTTTTTTCGTTGGTTCTGTTTTCTGTTATACGGGATTCACAGAGGTTTTGTTTTTGGTTTGGGTAGGTAGATACAGTCGCTTGGGAGGGTACGATACGTTAACAAGGCCACTATTGTTGCATTGGGCTCGAGTTCCGGTTCGAACGATGGAAGGGATCCTTTTTTTTTTCTTTTTTTTTTTTGGCTTCTGCAGTCAATATACCTTGGGAAGGGTGTAGCGCATTGGGCAGTGTGGGATATCGAGTGCTTTGTGTTTTGGTCGCTTCCGGGCGTCACAGAAGTCACTTCAATTCAGATGAGAGAACAAGATGATTCCATGTCACCACTTGTGTTTTTTTTCGTTTCTTTGGAGATTCTGACTTTCCTTACTACGAAGGAAGAAACTATTTCTCGATTGTTTCTGAAGTGGCTGTACAACAACAATGAGGGTTGAACCAGATGTGTGGCTTAATGCGAAAGCACGGGATATCAACAGCTTCGTAAGGGGCGTCTTTTTGCACCACACACTGCCAATCCTTAAGCAAAGCACAGTACAGCTATACGGATAGATGGGAGGTATAGACTGATCGAGAGGGGGTGGTATTTTTTTTTTTTTTTTTTTGAAGTCGGGAAGTAGGTAGGGTGGAGGAAGATAAGGTAACAACAACAAAATAGGAATTAAAAAAAAAATATGATAACGGCGAAAATCAACCGCTAATCTGTTGAATAATGGGTGGTGGGGAATATCCAAACATCAGGAGATACCGGGATTAATGGAGATCGCATTTATCTGTTATGCTGCTTCAGCTTTTTGTGCGATGGGCTGCGATACTGCGAGTGAGTGCAAGAAAAGAAAAGGTAAAATAGCGGAGCTCGGGGGTTTTAAACAGGTCTTAGTGTCCGATGGCCAATTTTGGCTTTCATCAGGGAACAAGCGCAGCAATTGATTTTGCATGTGGCTCTTTTGGTGTAAAGTTTTCTTGCCTTCTCCAGAGACGACACTGGTAGAGGGGAATCGGCGGGAAAACAGAAGAAAAAAAAAAGGTTGAAAGTTTAACTTGGCGGCAACCTTAAACCCTTTTTCAAAGGCGACCCTCTTTGGTATTCCCACATGTCCCGCAACTTGCAAGTGACGTGATGTGTATACATGTATACATGTACCAAGACCCTAGTGCTGAGGCAAACTCGGCCATTATTGGCCATCGACACAGCAAGGAAGTCGAGGGTTGAGAACAAGTCCAGCGGAGCTCTCTGAAAAACGTGAGAAACATCCCCCCGCTGACGGAGCCTTGCAAGAGCTAGGAATTGGATCCGCTCGCCGAAGGATTTGCCCGAACGAACAGGTCGTGTAGGCCAGACAGAGACGGCTTTGTCGGCTATTTTTTCTGCCCTTCCCGGTCGGTCTTCTTCGGGCTTTATTGCCTGTTGTTGTTGTTGTTGTTGTTGTTGGTGTTGGTTTCTTTTCTTTTTGCAGCGTGTTGTGTGGTGGGGTGGTGCAGCGTGCTGATGCGGGGTGTTACATCTCTCATCAATCTTCCAGTTGCATGCGCAAGTGGTCATCCGCGGATATTCTTTTGACCCTGTCAGCAAGAATCCCTACACTGTACAGCGTAGACATGTCGCATGTCATAGTTATCTGCCATCTGCACGCCTCAAGAGTTCATGGCGGGCGTGGCTGGAAAAGGAGGATTTCAGGTTTTGTTTTGTTGACGTCAGAAGCGGCTCTTTCTTTCTTTTTTGTCTTTTTTCTGCCTCGGCTGCCCTGAGCCACACACAGATCTAGTTAGTTAGTTACTAGTTAAGTTACTACTAAGTTAGTTACTAAGTACACACTCGCATATTAATAAGTTACTATGATAGTTAGTTAACGTTAAGTTATTAGTAACGATATTACTAACTAGTTAGTTCAACTAACGAACTACGCCACTGATGCCGGCTTGGGCCCTAAATGTTAGCGAACCATTTCTTCATTTCTTCTCAGCGGCGGACTGTATACGGAGTAACTACAGAGTAGACAATTACTTATTCTGGCTAGAGGCTTGCACAAGACCAGACCCATATGAAAAAACCTGACCTTTGGAATGAGCTTAATTCAGGAGATTGAAATGGGCTATACGTGTCTCATACATCTCCCACTTTATTAGTTGACCACTTATATTAGAAGTTAGAGAGCTCTGCATCTCTCGACTATAATATGACTCTCTCTATCTTGGCAACTAGCCAGGCAGTGAGTGGCTCATTTCCACTGAGTGGAGAATTTCATTCTTGCAAATCCCAACATGGAAACAGGAATGCTTTTCTGTTCGGGTCCCGCGTCTCAAGGGAAATTTAAATTTAAAAAATAAATAAATAAATAAATAACTAATCATTCTCAAACTATTTCTATAATAACTCTTAACTAAATTCGTATTATTCAGCTCTGAATGGGCTATTAATCATTATTTCTCTATTATTGCAGCAGCAATTGCAATTCTTTTCCTTTCCTGCGTACAAATTTTCCAGGACTTGATTGTTATACAGATCCACTTTTATTGTTTGATTCTCAAGGGGCTCAGCAGTGAAACCAGAATAGTTTTTTTTTTATCTTTTCGGTTTTTAGGTTTTATCGTTCAGAAGCCTCAACTTTATCTGGTTTAACTATCCAACAAAACCTGATGTCACTGAAGACGGCCCCCGGTTGAGGCGTCAATGGCGGCCAATAATCCCTCTTCCTCTCTTCTGATCATCATTTGTTAGAAAGTCAATGCACAGACAGAGGTACTTCTTATTTGCTCTGTTCATGTGTATTATTATTTAACTTGGTTTGAAGAAGCAGGAGTTTGTGGAATAGAATAATAATACTGCATAATAGATATTATGTATGAGATCATTAGTATTATTCTCCGTGTGTTGATCTGGATTTAGTTTAGTTTATAGGGGTTAGATAGAACAGCAGTAGTATTTGGCTGATGAACACGGCCTGTCAACTCCTACTCAAAAGTTATAGTCAAGCTTGTTAACTATACAAAAGCACTGATTGGAGAAGAAGGAATGTTGACGAGGACAGAGTCGACAGACAGACAGACACTCTCAAAAAAGTTGAACAGAACAACAAGATTGGTTCCACATCTGAAGCCTACTTACTTCCTGGACATATTACCTGTTGGAAAGCCATGATCATGATCAGGTCCTCAGCCCATCTAAAGCAACATTCGCACTACATAAGGACGCAGGTACGGACGGTACTTTACAAGTAGATTAAGGGTTAGGGTACTCTGTAGAGGTTGGATTATTATTGAATGGGATTAGGGTACGGGTGGTTAGGGGGTTTACAGGTGTGAAATATGCGGTTGGGAATAGCCAGGTATATGTGACATAACAATGTAGTTATCGAGTTTTAATGATAATGAGCTACAGGGGTTGTGGAGCACTCCTCAGTCGGGATGTATTATCTTTCTCTCTTTTACTTAGCAACGCTTGAGAAAAAATTTGGTTGGTGGTTTGTATTGTAACTTCTTGTCGATAAGGATTTGAGAGCAAGTAAATAATTATATATATATATATATATATATATATGTTAAAGCTCAAGTTCGGGCACAATGTTTTCTTAATTCATACGTTACCAGACAAGTTAAACACCGAGTTGAAGATATTATGGCCAGTTATTTAACAAACAAATACTTATTATTAACTAACACTAGAAGGAATAGGTAACAAACAATGTCTATCTCTCTGTCAATTCAAATCAACACATTGTTAACATGCGCTAACTGAAACTATGAAAAAGTAAATATAAAAAAGAAAGAAAAAAAAAAAAAAAAAAAAGAAAGAAAAAAAAAAAAGCAAGGGGAAAAAAACGCCAGAACCGGTCCGTCTAGTATCTTTTCTCCGAAGGGAATGAATGGATGAAATAAGACAATGCCACGCGGAGAGAGTCTATATACGTCTATGTATATACATGCCGTTAAAAATTACCGTCGGTGCTCCGCAGTTTCAGCACAAGAGGGAAAGGTGGGGGGGGGGAATAAATAAAAGATGAAGCAAAACTAAACATCGTGAAACGGAAAATAAGGAAGCGACGAAAGAAGAAAGAAGAAAGAAGAAAGAAGAAAGAAGAAAGAAGAAAGAAAGAAGGAAAGAAAGAAAGACATGGAGGAAGATGAAAAGAATCTATGTAAGAAATCCATCGAATATATGTGAGGTCCCAACCAGCAAACAAGAAAGTCCAAGCCCAAAAGAGAGGGAAAAAAAAAAGAAAAAAAAAGAAAGACTTTTGTTCACATCATTATTTTCCCCAATAGAGGAACCATTATGCTTCATCATCAGTGTCTGGGGGGTGAGGTGTGCCCTTGGGTGAGTTGAGCCTGGAAGAGGAGGGTTGCTGTTAGCACACGTCCATTTACTCAATGATCAAGAGGAAAGCGAAAAAAAAAAAAGAAAAGAAAAGAAAAGAAAAAAAAAAAAGGAAACGGGAGAAAGAAAAAAGTTGCCAACATACCATTCAATATGCCTTAAACGCCTCCGCACCTCACGATCCTTCATCTGCGCACGAGTCAACTTCTTCTTTTTCTTCGCTTTGAACTTCAACTCGCCGCCCGCATCCTCAGCACCAGAATTAGCAGCAGACGCTGCTGCGGACGCTGCCGCGCTCGAAACGACACTGCTAGCCACGGTGCTGGGTCCGCGCGAGCTGTCCTCAAACCGGTCGAGGGAGAGCGACACATGGCCCTTGTGCGTCATCCGCCCGTCCTCGACATGCCATTGCTCGGGGCACAGTGCACCGACGAATTCCTCGTTGTGGGAAATCATCACCACGCCACCCTTGTAGTCGCGGATGGCGACGGCGAGGCCGCCTAGCGAGTCGCGGTCGAGGAAGTTGGTGGGTTCGTCCAGGACAAGGAGGTGCGGGTTATTCCACATGGCGCCGGCGAGGACGACTTTGACCTTCTGGCCGCCCGAGAGGCCGGAGATTTGGTTGTGGTTTGCGATTTCCGGGTCGAGGCCGACGTCTTCGAAGTGTTTGGAGATTACTTTTGGTTCCAGGACGCGGTAGCCTAGGCCCTCGCGGGAGGCTTCGTGGTCGTCGTATTCTTGGACGAGTTTTTGGAAGCCTTCCTTTAGAAGAGTTTCGCGGGAGATGAAGGAGTTGAATTTGGGAAGCATGCCAACCCATTTACTGATTTGAGTGTTAGAGAGAACGGGGGGGAAAATGGGAGTCCAAGGAGAGAGATTGAAGGGGGACACGGCTTACACTTCATATTGGAACGTTTTCTTCAACTTTTGCCGACCGATCAAGGCCTCAATACGCCGGGGTCCCCTCCCATCGCCAATATCGATTGTTTTCTCCATTTGGATACGATCCTCCTCGGTCAAAACTCTGGTTTGCTTCATCAACACCTCCCGATCGTCGCCATTCTGATATCTCCACTGCAGATATTGGTTGGGTGTCTTCTCCATGTGCATCTCCACATGTTCAAGGGCGTGCTGCTTGATGTACCCGATTCGAAGATTGGGATGCTTCTCAACCTTACCGGATTGGGGAATAAGCTCTCCAGTCAACAGCTTGATGAAAGTTGACTTCCCCGCGCCGTTACCGCCAATAATGGCTGTGCGAGACGAGAGGGTCAGGGAACAGCTTGCATCTACTAGAGAGGGCTTTGTATTTCCAGGATAAGTGTAAGTCACGTTACTCATGCGAAGGATGGCACGGGTTTGCGATTTGACACCTGTCAAGATACCTGGAGGGGGGAACTTGAACTGAACATTCGACGAGCTAAGGGTATAGTAGCTCTTCGCCTCCGGCTTGACTTTGACAAAATCAGCAAGGTTACCCTTGTAGCAGACCAGTTTCTTTCCTTCATAGTGGTAGATATCGGTACAGACTTCGTCCAAGAAACCAGAGTCGTGACTGACGATCAAACTGGTGATCTCGGTGTGTTGCTTCAGGTATTCCTGCAGCCATTTCACATTCGCTACGTCCAAATGATTGGTCGGTTCGTCGAGGAGGAGAACATCAGCTCCCATGAGCATAGCTCGCGCCAGAGCCAACTTCATCTTCCATCCACCGGACAGGGAGCCAACTTTCTGTTCCTGCCGTCCACCAGGGCCAGCAGTGAATCCGACCTCGCTCAAGACCTCGGAAATTCGCTCTTTGCCGCTTGCAGCTAGTTCTGGATCTTTGGCAACGAATTCCAAGATGCTCAAATCCGCATCTTCACCTTGGTTGTGCTCCACGAAGCATGTCTTCAAAACATCCTTGGGAGGGAATCCTTCCAGCTTTCCCTCCGCAATACTGCGCATGAGGGTGGATTTTCCGGCTCCGTTGCGCCCGCAGAGCCCGTATCGATGGCCCTTGAGGAGCCTAAGGTTTGTGTGGGAGAGCAGAAGCATGCCGCCATACGCAAGAGAGAAATCCGCATTGACGATCTCAACTTCACCCGTGTCTTCTTGCACAGGTACTCCATATTTCCGCTTATCTTCCTCCACGAAATGGGCGTGAACTGCGGAAGCGATGGCAGCCTCTTGTCCCTCCTTGACTAGTTGACTAAGATAAGGTGCGATGCATAGTGGGACGCGGTCGAGAAGACGTGAATTCACGTCGTCGCGAACCATTTCAGAGATATACGTCTTCGAGATGGCCCAGAATGGTTCATCTTCCTTACGCACAATTCCGCCATGGAGCTTCACCTGTTGCTCCAATACCTTTAGAACTTCATCTGCTGTTACTTGGGTCACCGCCCCGTTGGCTAAGTTCGTGCTGCCATCGCCCATAGCGTGCTGGATGACGTTCAGAGCGCGTGTTGCTAGCTCCCGAACTTCAGGCAACGAAGCCCTGTCTTTCACCCCTTGTACACCTGGTTTCAACTTCGGCAAGAATGTCCTCGCTTCATTAGGGTCGTGGACGAGCTTTGTGAGATTCTCGACGACAACGACTGTCTGGCGAAGGACTTCCTGTGGGGTTGTGGGTGTGTTTAGGGATCGTTCAAGAAGAGGGGTGAGGAGCGCAAGTACAGGGGAGGTAACTATCGCGACGAAGGTAGTCTGGGACAAGGCAAGGATGGTCTTTTGTAAAGTTTGTGCGTCGGGGTTTTCCATCGCTTTAATCAGCAGCGGGATTCTGGGAGCCACATCGTCATTGGAGAGGACCGTCGTCAAAGCAGTCATTGTTTTAACCGCCTGTTTTGAAACCTCGTTCTTCATATCGTGCATGCCGGACTCGACGACAGGGATCAGATCCTTTAAACATTTGCCCACGGATTCGCGGAGGAGATCCTTTTGCAAACTCTCCTCCTTGGTGTCTGAGCCCGCCTGAGTCTTCTCAGCCACTTTTTCCAGCAGACGATAAGCCTCCACAGCGCCTTGCCATTTCGCAGTTGACTTGTTGAGATACGCCAATAGTGCCGGAACAAGCGCAGCGACCAACGACTCGACCTTCAGGCAAGCAAACAGCGCATCCACGGCATACTTAGCCGCTTCCCGCACCACGGCACCCTTATCAGCCAGCGCATCCAAGGCCAGGGAAAGCAACCCTCCATGCTCAAGTAAGAAGACAACCTCGCTGAGCGGTTGTTCTCGAGGAAATCTCTCGAACAGAGCGCCCAATATCAGCATTGCACTTTCTCGCTTTGCCCCGCTTTTCTTATCTACCGCCGCTTTTTTTATATCCCTCAACAAATTATAGCCGTGTAGCCCGCGAAATCCGACGGATTGAATGAGGAGGTTCGCCAAGCCATAGGAAGCGTCTAAAGACTCTTGCGATTTATCTGCGTTGAATATGGTGTTCATCAACGAGGCAACCTCCTCCTCGGTGGGGGGTACGGAGGACGGGACCTTCGGGATCATGATGGGGGCGGAGGACATGGTCGACGATTCTGATGGTGAAACAGGGTGTGGCATACTTTAGCGAGAAAGGGTAAAGGGGCAAAAAGAAATAGAGACAAATAAAAACAATAGGGAAGAGGTAGGAATCGATAAATGCGTAGTGGTATATAGATATATATGTAGTTGTAGAGTGGAGATTGTGCGATCGCAAAACTTGAGACGAGCCTAACAAGAAAGAAACAAGGGAACAAAAGACGATATCTTCAAGAAAAGCGCTCTATAGAATCGCGCTATGAACAGAGAAACGAGAAGGTAAAAAGCAGTAAAAAAAAAAGAATGAAAAATCGAAGCCTGGAAAAAGGCTATCTATCTATGTTGGGTTTATGAGCCTGGCTGGTGGTAGCGATAAAAAGTTCGGCGGCTGAGATTATTTTTTTATTTTCCGTGGCGGCGAAAGTTTCAGCTTAGTCAGCGCACCAGACGGAATTGGGGGGATTTAATTGGAGGAAGATCCTGATATTTTGGAAGATCAATGATAAGGTCATTTATAAATATATATATATATATATATACATATAATATAATATAGGTGGTCTTCGGTTGTTCCGTAGCTATCAGTCTATGTATGTATTGGAAAGTCCTGCATCTACTCAACGCGATTCCTAGGCATTGAATATGATCCCTTTTGAATGGGATCACTGGTGCGTTTAGCCTCAGATACGATGGATGGTAGAACTGCTTGGGCAGCAGAGCTATTTGCAACATGGTTCACAGCGATGGCTGAGAGTCTGACGTATGTAATGTACTATACCTGCGGTGGCTGGTCAAGCAGTGCCCATCGGAGGCTCATCCGCAATGGCTATGTTTCTATTAAAAATCAAATCCAACCATTCATTGAGATCCCGTAGCAATAAAGTGTGGGATTTTCTAGGTAAATTAGAAAGCTGTAGATGAATTCATTAGTGCGCGGGACCTCTTAATTTTGTGGAATGAGGGGGGATGGATCCAACATACAATCCTCCGTGTTGCCTTCGCCCATACTCTTGTTGGAGCTGCTGCCACTGAGAATGGAGCCGACAATGCCGTCCATATATGGGGCGCCGCTCCATTTCTGGTGCGTAAGTACATCAACTCCCATTTCCTTCTCCCGTCGCTGGATGAGGTTGACATAAGCCAGCATGCCCTCGTCCTTGAATTTCCGCGAAAGCTCAGTTGTCATGGTAGCGTTAGAGTGGAGACCAGCGAGTGAGATAAGTTGGAGGACGAAGCTAGACGCGGAAGTTAAACAAAGTTAATCGCATAGCTCAAACACCTATTTCCATATAAGGGCTGAAAGTGTGAAAACTCACCCATGCTGAGCGATGTCCCAGATAAACGACTTGAGGCTGGCTTCGGTGAAACCCTGACCCATCCAGTTAAACGAAGGGCTGAGGTTATATACCAGCTTCTTGCCAGGGTGTTTTGCTCGGATCTCTCCGGCAAACGACGCCGCCTTCTCGACACTTGGGTCGCCAGTTTCAACCCAGAGCAAGTCAGCGTAGGGCGCGAAGTTGATCGCACGCTTGGTTGCCGCGGCATTACCGGCACGGTAATGATAGTAGCCCTCACGAGTCCTGGGAATGTCCCAGGACCAGAACACAGGTGATTTGGTGTACTTGTGTGCAAGCTCCCGTCGTTCATTAATCGACATGTCCCGGTTTGCGGTTACTTGTTTTTTGTAGTCATCGATGGATGATTGAGCGGCTCCCTCGGATTTAAGATGTTGTTCCACAGCTGTATCAGGGTGTTAGCGTCTTGATCATGAACAGCAGCTAAAAGGGGGAAAATTAAGTATGAATAATTCGTGATTACCTTCATCGAACGTCACAAGTTTATGGTTTTTAACCCATTGTGATTCGAACTGGTCGATTTCAGGGCCAGAGGCCCCGTCCAGCTCCATTCTCTGCAGGGTTTCGGCGAGCGGTTTGGAGCCTTCGGTAACACCTAGGATGAACTCGTGGTCCCGGACATCAATGGTGCTGCTTAGAAGTTTTCCGCTCTCCGAGTCCGTTCTGGCGATGAGCAGATTTTCAGTCCCCATAATATCCCACTGCAATCTTGCTGCGACGAGCCTGTTGATGTGTTCGGCAATGGGGACGAGCACTTTGCCGGCAAGATGGCCGCATTTTTTGCCTCCATGAAGCTGGTCCTCGAAGTGGACAGCAGCGGCTCCGTTTTCGGCAAAGAGTTTGGCCAGTTTCAATACTGCTGTAAGACCTCCATGTCTATTTTGGTGAGTGTTACAATACTCTCTGGGTTCTCAAAGGGGGCTTACAACTTACCCCGTATCGCCATCAGCGATTATGGGCCGCATGAAATCAGTGTAGGGCGTCGACTTGCGCTGGTCCGCAGAAAGTTTCCTTCTTGCATCCCATTCTTTGCGGTCGTGCATTTGCTGGGCCTTGAAGAGCCTCTGAACCTGGTTCGGGACGGTGTTGTAGGGGTAGTCTCCAAAGTCCGGGGATACTTCGTTTGTCGTAGTGAGGAGAGATGAACACGCCCACCCTGAAATATATAGCACTTCTTGGTTGGGAGCTTGCTGTGTCATCTGGACGGGATCAATGGCACCAACTGTATGTTTGTTAGAGGAAACGATACCTCAAAAAAAATAAAAATTTAAAGCTTAGAGCGTCACTCACGCGTATGTACCGGCTTTCCAGCCTTTGCCCTCTCATCCAGCAGATTGAATAATTTTCTTGCCATTATCGAGCTTGGATATGTCTGCTGCAGCGACCCCCGCTTGCTTACGACCGCCTCTGCTGAATATGGGCGCTTGATATCCTCGAAGCGCGGGGTGTTCCACCACTCCCTCACGGCTCTTACTTGTTCTTCAAACAGCGCATCTTCGGCGGCCCCGGCCTTTTCAGCGGAAGACAGTAGCTGGAATGAGTCGGATGGGTGTGCTACTGACACAGGTGGATTGACTGGAGGTAGTTGTGACGCCATCCGCGGGCAGCCACAGGCGAACGTGCGAGCCGCAGTACTGGAGAGAGTGGAGGGGCGGGAGAGCGGACGAAGCTGTCGAGGCAAGCGTCGAGCAGCGTTGCGAATCATTGTCGGCGTGGAATAGTTCTTTTGTCCTACTCCGCCGTATTTAAATATGGGGAAACAGTGTCCTGGGGCTTCCTTTGTTGTTGCGCTTGTTTGTATAGTATTAATATAGTATGGGTGAACTGGCTAACTAGTATATAGGGTTAGCTAATCTGTAGACGCATTGAGCTTTTGGAAAAGTCTTTCTTCCCAGAGCACAAAGGGCGCACCGGGACAACAAAATAGCCCTTTGACAAAGTAATATACAGAGAATAGGTGTTTTAAAAAGTGACAAAAAAAATTCGAACGTTTAGCTGGGTATATATACTGACCGGAAAATGCGGCGATTTGGATTTATAAGAGCCAGTCAATGACAACACCGGATGAGCACGCAGCGAAAGCGACGGTATGATAATATCAGTTAGTTAGTTACAGGATTGAATAGACTAGGCATTAGCTGTAAAGTAGCGCTGTAAACACGCTGGCTGACGTCGTCTGGCTGTGAGGTGTGCTGTATACTGTATACTGAAGTAGAGGAGATTCTTATTGTCCTCGGCAACAAATCCCTCGGCAAAAACAACGCTAGCGCAATCCCGCCGCCAGCCGCCCTTTGGTCCGACCGCCGAATAGCCTCATCTTTACTTGATTCGGACAACACTAGCTCAACCCATTCGAGTCTTCCGGCGGGCGGGTCCTTGCTCTGTGTATTTTTCTCTCCCTCTCAACTCTCCGCTGTCTTTCACAAATCCCAACAAACATCCTTGGACACTTGCTCCCCTCCAATCTCACCTGCTCTGCGCTCTCTGCCCTCAACCCGCAATTGTGCAATTGATCTATATCTCCGAATACACATACGAAACAATGGTATTGGCCAGCAGGGCAACAAGACAGGTGCTGAAGGCGTCTCAGGTATGTTGTTTGGTGGGACCTGATGTTCCTAGTGCTACAATTCCGAGTATCTCAATTTCTCAATTCAATCATTACGACTTCTTCCTTTACTTACCTTTTTCCTATCTTAGAATGCCTCTCGGTCATTTGCCTCCACATCTCGGTACTACTCCACCGCAGAATCTGACCTCAAGACTGCTTTCCAAAATGCTATTCCGGCAAAGAAGGAGCTGCTCCAGGAGGTCAAGAAGCGTGGTGAAGACGTCATTGGCGATGTGACCATTGCTAGCGCCATTGGAGGCATGAGAGGCCTGAAGGCCATGGTTTGGGAGGGCTCTGTGCTGGACGCCAACGAGGGCATCCGCTTCCACGGCAAGACCATCAAGGACTGCCAGAAGGAACTGCCAAAGGGCACTTCCGGAACTGAGATGCTCCCCGAAGCGATGTTCTGGCTCCTCCTTACCGGCCAAGTCCCAACCACCCCCCAAGTCCGGGCTTTCTCCCGCGAATTGGCAGAGAAATCACATCTCCCCCAGCACATTCTGGACCTTATCAAGTCCTTCTCCAAGGATATGCACCCAATGACCCAGTTGTCCATCGCAGTTGCGGCCTTGAACACCGAGTCCAAGTTTGCCAAGGCCTACGCTGGAGGCCTCAACAAGGCTAGCTACTGGGAGCCTACCTTTGATGACAGCATTGCCCTCCTCGCCAAGATCCCCCGTCTCGCCGCATTGGTCTTCCGCCCCAATGAGATCGAGAAGGTCGGCAAACAGGAGCTCGACCCTGCTCAGGACTGGGCATACAACTTTGCTGAGCTCCTCGGAAAGGGCGGCAAGGCCAACGAGAGCTTCCACGATCTGCTCAGACTCTACCTCGCCCTTCACGGTGACCACGAGGGTGGAAACGTTTCCGCCCACGCCACTCACCTTGTTGGAAGCGCCCTGAGCGACCCCTTCCTCAGCTACAGCGCTGGCCTCCTCGGCCTCGCTGGTCCTCTCCACGGCCTTGCTGCCCAGGAGGTGCTCCGCTGGATCCTGAAGATGCAAGCTGCGATCGGCAACAAGTTCACCGATGCAGACGTCAAGGACTACCTCTGGTCCACACTTAAGTCCGGCCAGGTCGTTCCAGGCTACGGACACGGTGTCCTGCGGAAGCCAGACCCTCGCTTCGAAGCTCTGATGGACTTCGCCAGCACCAGACCCGACATCATGGCCAACCCGGTCTTCCAGCTCGTCAAGAAGAACTCCGAAATCGCCCCCGGTGTCCTGACTGAGCACGGAAAGGTAAAAATACCCGGCTCCTTTTTTTCCTGCACTTGAACAAATATATATTTAAAAACTAACTCGATTTTTGTCCAAAAATAATAGACCAAGAACCCCCATCCCAACGTAGACGCTGCGTCTGGTGTTCTGTTCCACCACTACGGTTTCCAGGAACCCCTCTACTACACCGTCACCTTCGGTGTCAGCCGCGCCCTCGGCCCACTCGCCCAGCTCATCTGGAGCCGCGCTCTGGGTCTGCCCATCGAGCGCCCCAAGAGTATCAACCTCCAGGGCCTTCTCAACCTGTCCAAGAAATAAATTTTGTACCATTGCATTTTAGACGGTGAGAAAATGGGAGGTTTGGTATAACTGTTGAAAGTCACACTGGTGGGCTTAGGGAAGATGGTAGAGGGGGGGGGGGAAATTGCCGAGCTAGGTAAATGTGTATTAGCTATGCGTTTGTATGTATGGTAACTATGTATATATGCATGTATCTACGTGTCCATTGAATGTCATTAGAAAAGCCCAGATATCCAAAAAAAAGTTGCATGTTATATCTAATTTTTGTGATATCTTTTCATGGCTTCCGTTGCTCACGATTCATATCTATCTCTTTATGTATCCGTCAATATAACAAAGAAAATGGTTATCACTGGCATTAAAAATCATTTCTTCTAAAAAACTTTCAGGAGGCTGGCTACTTTCCGCCATTCATTAAATTACATATTCTTACCCTAAAGACCCAATACCAATGATTATACAGGAAATATACATGATTTCGGCTCTTCCACATCGCCGCCTGAGAAACAACAGGAGAGCCCGCTACGTTAATTCATGTACTTTTTCAATTTGAGCAGTTTCCAATATTTGCCAATTCACGCTACTTTGAGAAATAAATGAAAATGTCCTCACCATTCGTGGATCTTCATGGCAACGCGATCCCCGAAGATCAACTTCTTGACTATGGCAGGTCGTGATGGAATGGCCGTCAAAAGGCCATTGAGATATAAAAAATGTTTATCGACGTCTAGGGCGTCGCAACGGCGTTGTCCCCTTCATCATTATCTCTAAGATGACTATTCAGCTTGCATTTATGGAAAACGGCGATCTACGTACATAGTTGGCGCGAAATCGGGCCCCTAAGTCTCTTCGACTTTTGTGATCGGGCTGTTAGGGGCTGTAATCTATAGCGTTGTCAGTTTGACCTCTTCAAGGATCTACCACTGGACGCTCGCCGAGCTACTTGGCCACGAAGGACATCTCCACCTAGCACACAAAACATTTGGCTTGGAGCTATCATTGAGAAATGTTGGACCAAAGGTGCATTTCAGAATGCGGATCGTCTGTCAGAGGCATTGGATTCCATCAACCTAGACAATCAGTCTACTCAGGGAAATGCGAAATACGATTGCTGCGAGCCAGGGAAGAAGGCATCAATACAGCCTATCACCAAACTCGCGGTCACTACTTGTGCCATTACAGTACTAGCCACTTGGATTTGGAGATGGTCTTAAGTACAATTGCCGTTCTGCATTCAGGTATGATACAATGTCGTTTTATCCACTAGCAAAATAAGCTGACAGATGATATGAGCCAGCGAATAGTGAGTGTAACTATGGTGTACTTGTGCCCTTCACAGAGCCTCATGAGTCGCCGCGCACTCGATCGAGTCACAAACCCTGAAAAGAACACTACGCGACTGTGATATTAGTGAGATCGTAAAGTTTCGGAGAATCCCCAAGCTCTAACCGTCATATACGGGTACGATGATCCACGGGCCCTTTGTAATAGGATCAGCCGGAGAGAGTTATAAAGAGAATGGAATGGAATATTTAAAGCCAATGGAGAATTCTGTTCTCACCGAGCCATCGCTCAGCGTTGACCTTCTGTGGTCACCAGGGGCTCTCGATGGTGAAGGGTGATAAATTCTGCCTGCTTGATATGTAGAGAGTGATAGACGCAAGCGCGCTTGATCATTGAAATCAGGTATTCAGTTCAGTAGGGGAGTAGGGAACTGCATGATTTCAACGACTACAGTGAAGATAATACAACTAAAGATAATGCAGCTGATAGTTCGACTTCAATCAGGAAGGATGGAAAGTTGAATGTTTTTAGATTGGGAGCGCAGGAATATTTATTCGATATTATTTAGGGTTTACTTCCTTCCCACCAATACGATACTAATAAATTCCCATTAATAAAACGAAACAGCTCATTTCTTCTTGCTTCTAGAGTTCCGCCGACGAGTGTGCAGATGGCGCCTTTCATAATGGGCCATAGCGGCTCTATTTTGTGCCCTGGTTGATCCGTCTTGTATCACCATGTTGTAGCTAACTTATCGCTTTAGAGAGTATCTGAGTTACTGAAATATACACATAAATCTCTATACCATATACCATTCTATATACAGTATTCTTGACATAGTCATATTCTCTACACTGTAGGCTTAGACCTAGCTCATTGATCATGCAAACAGCTCCTCCTGCATATATTCAACCCCTGAGGGGGCGATTCCGCAGCAATTGAGCCTATGAGCTCCGCATGGGCATTGATACGAATCTAACCTCTGGGAAATGTGAGATGATGATGATGATGATGATGTGGAACAGTATGCTCAGTAACTGCCTACCGCATGGATCTGCCTTCACAAGAGAGCAGGAGAGGATTCTGCCCTGGCCTTTCATCGATCCCATGACGTACTCCATACTGGGCAGCTTGGGAAAACTTTTGGGAAATTTGCAATTGTTTTAGCAAAATTGTCTGGATGGTAGGTGGGGTTGAGGAGTAGACAATAGTTTCCTCGTTGAAGGGTTGCCGTTCCTGGATCATTTACATGTGATCTGAGAGAAGCGAGTGATAGTACGGACTCCCACAGTATTCCACGTTGGCCGACGTGAGCAAGCGGTTCTGGAAGTTGGCGCATACGCAATAGTCCGAACATTATACCGTTAGGGAATTGGACTCGAGCGTCCACGGGTGGGGTGGCTGCTCCAGTTGACAAATGGGGTTGAGCCCTCCCCCGTTCAAATCCCATGGATGGGATGAATACTCGAGACATAAATGAGCTGGGCGCGTCCACAACAGAGACGCAGGACATCACAAGAACAAAAAATTGCCTTGCAGTAGCTGATGCATGAACATACTGTGATGGTTCAAGGGTCACTCACTGGCTTTGCACCGCCAGCCTAAATAAGGGAAGTTCAGTTTGCTTAGCATGTCAATGCTTGCATTTGTGAATATCAGGTCCGGTGTATCTATCCTTTGTATCCTTGCACAGGCGCAAGGGGCTAACTTCCCGGATAAACCTGTAGCCTGTAACTAATCCGTGGGGAAGGACATATGCAAATCATCGCTGGTTGTTGGAGTGTTGCTGCAGGTATCCACAGTGGCTTTGCGTGGAACATAATTGAGGTTCTGTGCAGCTAGATTGGTTGGCCCGCAGTGTTGAGAATGGCTTTTGCCTTTTGCTGAATTGCTAAATGTGAAGAGAAGGAGGACTTGTTATCTTTTCTGTTGTCTTTTCTCTTCCTCTCATTTGATATCCATCTTTTTTTTGGAGGTGCAGGATAGTGATTAGTAAGCCAACTTACCCAACTACTATTGAACCTCTGAAATGCCTTCATTTGCTGCATAAATATTCTCATTTTTAGTACTCCGGATGGATACCCAGAGATATGTGCTCCGCTGCCTAGCCCGATCCCAAGACACTGGCATTCGGCACATCTATTGGCCATTCCACCTTTCTTCCCCCCTGGCGCGCCCAAATATGCAGCCGTCCCACGCCTCCCGAGGTCATACTGTAGTAATACTATCCTCCGCTAGTTCTTTGAAGGCGACTTAGGTTCCTCTTCCATGGCCTCAGCAACAACCCGTTTAGGAAAACCTCTCAGCTCCAGGGCTGTCGGCGCATCACATATTAAAATTAAGACACCTGTTTGCAACTGGGAAGGGGGACAGACAGAGGACAACATATCCCAGGTACAGCACTCACCGCTTGGGGAAACCATTCATAAAAATATCATGCGATTGACAAATACCCGGACTTGCTGCCCTGCTTGCGCTGCTCTGCTTGGTTGTCTGGCTCCGGTTACCCGCCGAGGCTGGATATCATCCTGTCTATATGCGGTTGTCATATCATTTTCCTTTGGGGACCTCGGGAGATCCGGGGTTCTGGAAACCAAACCGGGCTAACTATGCAAGCAAGAGTTGGCATATAAATTATACATAAGAGATGACGGCGCGAACTGGGGAGAATAGGAGCCCCTGAGGCGATAATTTCGTGGACATCCCCGAATCGAGGCAAATGTGACATTGTCTTAGTTACTCCGCCGGGCCACTGCATGGATGGGACATACAAATATCTACCTGTAGGTATAAGTGTCTATATATATATATATCTAGGTGAATAGCCCGAGCATAGTGTGTGCGGCCAACTTCACGCAATATAGTTATAGCCATGATCGCTTCCAGCGTGGTTGACACTACCTCCTCTCTACGCCGGCTTATCGATAGCCTCGATAACCTCCCATCAAATCCACCGTCGCTGTATATCGACCTTGAAGGCATCAACCTCTGTCGCGAAGGTAGCATCTCGATTCTTCAAATCTTCAACCACCCCAAGGAGCATGTCTACCTCGTCGACATCCACCACCTTGGTGAAGCAGCCTTCACAACAACCGGAACAAATGGAAAATCGCTCAAGAGCATCCTAGAATGCCCAGTTACGCCCAAGGTCTTTTTCGACGTCCGAAACGACTCGAACGCACTGTTTTTCCACTTCGGAATCCGCCTTCAGGGCATCGAAGATATTCAGCTTATGGAAAATGGGTCGAGACCGGGTCCACTCTCGAGAAAAAAATTCGTCTCGGGCCTAGCACGGTGTATAGAGATGGACACGCCGGTTTCTCCGGCTGCCAAACGACTCTGGAAGGAAAATAAGGATAAAGGAACGCAGCTCTTTGCGCCAGAGCGCGGCGGCTCTCATGAGGTGTTCAACGTCCGGCCTATCCCACAGGCTATTATAGACTATTGTGTGCAAGACGTCTCTTTCATGCCCCTGCTACGAACACTCTACTGGAGCAAACTCACGCCGCATTGGAAGTCCGAGGTTGTTGGTGCGACGAAGGAGCGGATTCGGGTGTCCCAGACCCTCACATACCAGCCAAATACTAGGGATAAGACACTAAGCCCATGGCAGAGCCTTAATACTAAGACGGTTGGTATGGCCAATGGTCTGATGGGGCGACTTGAGTTGTTTGGCGGCAGGTGACTGGTTTGGAATAGACGGAGTGGAAGATAAACGGAAAGGAGGATGGGAGGGTAGTTAGGGGCCCCCTTATTTTTTGGAAGAAATGGCTTAAACTAAGTGCGTGTGAAGTGGATTCATATTGATGCCGTTACGATTTTTGCGGGGTTAGATTCTTCCTTTTTATTAACTTTCCTCGCCCTGATTTTTACTTGAGGAAATTGTGTTTTTGATGGATATGGCACTGTATGCATCGGAATACCTACTATCTACAAATGTAGAAATGCAAATGGAATTTCGGAAACGGGAGCTGCTGCTGTGAAATGGTTAATGCGGATCAAAATACTCCTTCGCAACAGTGCGCAAAGAGGGGTGGACATGCCGGGCTAATCTCAAAGCGTTACTAACTAGTAGTTATGTATTATTTATTTTGCAGGGCTATGACATACGTAGTTTAGCAAAGAGATTTTGATCAATCACTTTTCACCCCATTATTATTCAATTATTCCGTCGCGAACTCGCAAGAAAAAAACCACGCTCGGCGATGATAGGCCCAACGGCACGAATTCTAGAGCAAACAACAAACCTCGAATTAGGGTGCTCGGGACTTATCTTCCAGTTAAAAAGAACACAAGTAATAAAATGTGCCCCATGAGAACGACCATGAAGTTCCCAAATTTTGGGAAGCGCGACGCTCGTTTCGAGTCGTGGTGGAAAGGATATTTGCCTATCATTTGCCGTAACTAACTACAACTTCATATCACATTTTCATTTTGGTGTGTTGGAGAGTTTTCTCCGCATTCGCCTAGAATGAGATAGTGTAACCTATGCCTATCTCATTAGTTCTGGATCATAAAACCTCTTCCCCCCCCTTCTGCCCTTGAAATAATGAGCTGTGTAAACGAAGTAGCTAAAGGTCTAGCTGAACATATTTGATTGAAAAATCTAGTATTCTAAATTGGCCGCCCTTTTGAAAATAAGAGCAGCGTTGTACTAACTAACGTAAACCTGTGGTTGAAGATGTAAGTTTTGGGCTTAATACTGGACGAAAAAGGCGGGCCACCACCAAATTCTGATACAACGAAAAGAGTAAAATATGCATAATTATTGTATCACAAAGACCACTTCATAGTTTAACACGCGCGTTGACAAGGGCGTCCCATTCCCTCCGCCCAAACTCCACGTACGTATCATTCTGCGGAAGAAGCCACAAGAACTGGTCATCCCTCCCTTCAGAAACCTTCGTCCCTACTTTATCAGGATCAACACCCTCATCTCGCAGGGGAACCTTGTTCTGCTTCTGGTTGTGGGTATGGTTGGAAGCTTCAACGAGGCGCAGGAACACCGGCACCGCATACTTGGGCAGCCTTTCGCGCGCATAGCGGACAAGAGCGGCAAAGTCGAAGTTGGCCCGCTGGTCGGGCTCGATGAGGATAGCCGCACAGCCAGCACGGCCTTCGTGGGTGGGGACGGAGACGCCGTAGACGTTTGCCTCCGCGACACCGGGGTATTCGCCCAGCACGGTCGCTACTTCTGCGGTGGACACGTTCTCGGATTTCCAGCGGAATGTGTCGCCGAGACGGTCGAGGAAGTGCCAGTGGCCGTCATCTGTGCGGCGCAGGGCGTCGCCGGTGCGATAATAGATGTCGCCTTTCTTGAAAACGTCCCGGACGAACTTCTTGGCTGTCGCGTCGGGGTTCTTCCAGTAGCCCTGGAAGGCGGATTCGTCGGGGACGGAGATGATGATTTCGCCGCCTTCGCTGTAGGGAGCGCGGGTTGCGAAGCCGGTTTTTGGATCGCGGTACATGTCTCCGGTCATGGGGTCGATAACGACGGGGACATAGACGTCATCAGGCGGCGTAGGATGGCGCCGTGGTGTCCAACGCAGCGGGATTGGTAGGGACCACTGTCGTAATTGATCAGGGCAAATAGACCCTCTGTGCTACTGAAGAACTCTGCAACGTTCGCAATACCGAACCGCTCCTGGAATTTCTCCCAGACGTCGGGTCGCAGACCGTTGCCGTACATGCAGCGAAGTTTGTGGCCGCGATCTAATGGCGAGGGTGGAGCCGCAAGGAGATATCTAGCTGTTTCTCCAACGTAAACGAAGTATGTCGATTCGGAGTCATGGATGTCTTTCCAGAACCTGCTTGTACTGAACTTCTTGGCTATCGCAATGCTCACACCAGTGAGAATGCAGGCCATGACGCAGACTGAGGCGGTACCATGATACATCGGCATGCACACGTACCACCGGTCGCCTCCATAGCCCTTTTTATCGCGTAGATGCTTTTGGAAGATCGTCGTATGCAACCGAAGCATGGTAAATGCGCACCCCTTGGGCAACCCAGTTGTGCCTGATGTGTAGAGAAGCATGGATGGGAAGCCACCCTCCATGCTGCGAGCAAGGCTTTTGTCGGCTACAGTTGTCGGGAACGAGGAGATGTGACTCTTCAGAGAATCATCTAACAATATGGGATGCATCTTCACATCATTTTCAATCTCGGTCCTCTGGTCATTAATCCGCGCTGTGATTTCCGGGTCCGCGTCCACAAGTAGGATTTCCGCTTCGCTGAGTTTGAGGCAGTGAATAAGCCCAGCTCCCGTGAGGTTGTAGTTGATCATCGCGGGGCCACATCCGATAGCCCACAGGCCGAGCCATGCGAAAACAAACTCTGGGGAGTTCTGCAGATAGAATGCCACCAGCTGGCCACGCTTCACGCCAATAGAAAGGAAATAGTTGCCATACTGGCAGGCAATATCGAGAACCTGCTGGAAGGTATAGGAGCCGGTCCTTGACCAAATACAGAGCGCATCGGGGAACTGTTTGACGACGGCCTTGAAGACATACCACACATTTAACCGACCTTCGGCCGCTACATTATGGTTGAAACACGAACTGTTAGACCGGCTTGGGATATATCAAATCAGGAACAAGGAGAATTACTTACTCGCACGGACAGCAATACGTTCACTGCGACTGGTCCGATGGACCGTGTAGATGTCCTTTCTGAGCTGGTACTTGCCATCAAGATAGGCCCCCAAGGCACCGACACCAGCAACGGCGGCAGCAGTAGCTACTCATACCAATCTGTTAGCCCAAGTCGTAGTCCGTAAAAGATCGGTTAGGGGTGTGGTGTACCCAAGACCATCTTATTTCAAGTGTATCACACTCCTCTTCTTCGTGACAACGGGAAGTGCTCTCTGTTCCTCAGAAAGGGGTTACTGTTACTGGACACAAGAGTGTCCAGGTACTTGGGATGTGCCGGAATTTCAACCGGCAATTGAAACACAGCCGGAAGAAAGGTGTCAACTACAACGGCGTAACACAAGATTCAAGTCTATCGCCGCTCAAGACAGCATAGAGATTGAACAAAGAGAAAGAAAGTATTAAGCGGGGGTATAGGAACTCTCTACACCAGAAAGCCATAGATAGCTAGCTATGCTGCGACTCTCTTATCCCCCAACAACTTCCCCCACTGGACTATCATATCCTCGGCTCATCTCCATCGTAGACAGGTAGGCGCCCAAACCGACCGGTAGCAGAACCGCCATTTTGCCTAGGTAAAGGCCTCAACGGGCCGAAGGCCTGATTTGCTAGGAACCACGAAGTTCCACCCCAGTTTTTCCATAGCGCGGGTAGTCCACTTTAGAAATTAGCGGGGGAGAGCTTAACCAGCGACGATACGATGGGATAGAGAGAGAGTGGAGGTGGAGATAGTGAAGCTGGAACGGAGATGGCCCGTCGGTTATGTGACTTGATAACCCTAACTGCAATGATTTGCTTGCTTTCTATTGCAAATGACGAGCGGGAACATTAACTATGGTCGTGTGGTGTCTGGTAACCTGATATTCAGGGTGTTGGCTTAGTTTCGTTGCATTTTCGAGTAAAGAGTTGGGCTTCATAACATCCGCCTTCGTTGGGTATAGCACAAATAGTAGCAAATGGCAAGTAATTCAAAACCGCATTTAGGAGAACTAATTGTCAGGCTAGGTTATTCATGCAAAGAACAAAATTTGATATCTGATATCAAGAAGTTTGCGGATGGATCTTGAATTAGGGTTTTTTGGTTCACATGACCCGAAAGCCCTCCAACTTTTTTTCTGATGATCTTCAACTCAATCACTCCTTAATCTACATACAACTACAGAGTAGTTACACACCAACCGATTGCAATTCATGAGCACGGTGAATGGATGCCGTGCGAGAAAAATATAATGAGTACCGCTGGCTCGCTAATTGCGAGAGCATTGCCACATTTTCCCAATTTGAACCTGTCAGCTGCTATCCTAATGTCTGCGACACGCCTGAAACGTCAAGAATCTCAAATCAAGCCCGATAACATCCAAAACGGCAAACACCAGTGCTAACCTCAGACAATTGATGAAGTGATGCTCTATATACCCACTCCGCTACCGTCTCAATGAAGCATAGCCCTCATGCCTTGATTGTGTCAAGGATGCATTAGAGCTTGCCGCCCATTTCAAAATTCCCCGTTTCGGGATTCCATCTTGATATGGAAAATGCTATATATAAGGTCTAAAGGCAATTTATAGATCCTTTGGATCGGATCGAACTTTTTGGGTATTTTTATTTTTATTTTGGTCTATTCTACTATTTTCTGTCTGTTCGGCACAAATATCTTTCGTTGATATACCTCTCTATTGCTTTGATAGTACCATACCATACAAGCAGAGTAATTACGTTCTTGCAAGTCCAACTACCTTTATCAGCCTTTAATATACGTATACGATAAATGTACCAGCACAAATTCTGGTATCATGAAATCCCACTTGTTCTTCGTGACAGCGCTCTTTGCACTCGCTGCTTCCCAGAAAGTTGCCGTCCCAGCAGACCTAGCCCAATCATTCTCGGCCTCTGCCACAGAGGGTCTCCAAGTCAGTTTTAGTGGCGATGCATCTGAGGGTATTACAAATGGCCAAACGGTCAGCATAGGTGGTTAGATTATTCCCTTTTCCAATTCTCTCTCAGTGTATGCCAATTCTTACCATCCATCCAGATATCCGCAGTCCACCCACTTTCGCTCTTGGCGACAGCTCTGGCGTCAATCGTGCCATCTCGTACACAATCGTAATGCTCGACACGACCGATGATATCGCGCGGAAAGTACAATATCTTCAGACTGGCTTCAAAGCGACTGGTGACAAGACCAGGCTTGAAGCGACAGGGGAGCCGGCTGTCCCATATGAACCACCATCTGTAGCTAGTGGAGCACACCAGTTTTCGTTCCTTCTATACCAACAACGGGGCCAAGAACTGGTACAACTAAGTGCCGTACCCAGTAACGGCGCTGGCTCCACGGAGCCGTTCGATCTAAAGGCATTCGAAGCTGCGAATAACCTCCAGCCGCCGCGGGTCGGGATGGCGATTAGAGTTGATGGGAATGCTGGTGAGCTTGGGCAGAGTCCTTCATCTTCAACGTCTGCACGAGTATTCATACCAATTGGCACACAAGCGACTTCTTCTTCTATCTCCACTCCTGTATCTATTACCACTTCTCCGCCGAGCACTTCGCCCTCCAGCACAGCGTCAATGACAGATGACACAGCACCAGGTTCTTTTCCGTTCACATTTACTTTCAACTCTGTCACTTTACCTTCGCTTTCACTTTCACTGGCAAGCCTAGATTCCCAATCATCATCAGACCAATCACTCACCAGACCAGCCCCTACAACCCCATCTTCTTCCCCATCCGATTCCCCGTCTACTTCTCTGTTCGCCTCCGACGCCCCGTTGGCATCTGCAGGAAAACCGCGAACAAGTACTGTGGTCGTTACGGAAAGCCCCACTAGCACACCCTTTGACAGCTCCGGTGTACTTCTAGGAGCTGATGCGGAAGGGGATAGTGGGAATTCAGCTGCAGGAGGCTTGCATGAATCGTCGTATGCAGCCATCTTTGTAGCGGCAGTCATGCTACTTGCACAAATTAGTTGGCACACGGTAATGCTCTAAGTGTATCTGGGTAGTGTTTCAGAAAGGACTTTCGGTATAGTTTCCAAGGAAAAGAAACGTCGGTTCGCGGGTGAAATCTTCCGAATGTGGCGTTCCTTTTTTTTAGGATTTGAGAGTTGCTTCCGTTTTGGTATATGTTTCTCAGTTATGCAGGCTCATGGCTTTAATAGTTCTATTCTCAGCTGGATTTCTGAAAGTCATTTTTCGCGGGATATGGGAGTTTTTTCAGCTTGTTTAGCACCCCTTTGTTACTCCATTTGATGCTGGACATGGACATTGATGAAGGGGCTATGTGATTTTTCTTCTTTTTGGAATGGGCATGCAAATATCGAATGAGAACAATGAAGATGCAGGGCATTTGAATATACCACATGCATCTGTTAAACAAATAAATATAGTATATAATCAATTATTTACCTTTGGCCGCTAGGAACACGAAAAATTAGAAGGATAATTTAGCTGCTGACTGACTATGGCGATTCAAACTCCATAAGCACTAAACAATTATATAGTTTCTTAGACTGGTGATATTCCTTGCAAGCTGAACACTCTAGTTGACAAATGGAGATACTTCAGACTAAAAATAACAATAGAACCAGTTTTGCAGCTATAAATTCAGCTTACAACATCCATGGACAGACCCAGCTTCAAAGAGATCCTGGCCCTAGAAGATAGAGGCAGTCTTGGTAAGTAGGGGCCTTGATATGTCAGTCGTTCAGCTTCATGAGCTATGCTTATTGATCCATAGAATGACAATATGGACGAATTTCAAAATCCCCATCATTCTCCTTGTTGAATGCCCACCTTTCGTCAACAGAATTTACTTCATCTTGTTCTACTCAAACGTCCTCGATAATGCCTACCAAGCCCGTCGTCGTGATCGTGCCCGGCTCCTGCCACAGGGCCGAACACTACCAGCGATTAATCGACGAACTCGCAAAATGCAACTATGAAGCGACAGCCGTTACCCCGCCGTCACTGGACTCCAACCCTCCGCACCGCAGCTGGGACCAGGACGCCCAGGCGGTACGGCGTGTGGTCATGGAGAACGTCGAAGCGGGAAGGGATGTGATTGCACTCGCGCATTCATTTGGCGGCGTCGCGATGGGCGAGGCGGTAAAGGGGCTGGGCAAGCGGGATCGTGAAAAATATGGCTTGAAGGGGGGTGTCGTGGGTCTTATCTATATGACCGCGGTGGCACTCGTTGAAGGACAGAGCCAGGCGACCCTGATCGTACCGCAAACGCCGAAGGAGAAAGAGTTGGCGTTGGCGTATCAGGAGGGCATGAAGAAATATCCCAAGGGCATGACGCCTATCAATGAGGTATGTAAAAGGAAAACACCCATGATACTGAACAATGCTCTTCCTTCCACCCAACCTTCTAATTACGGCGCTTCTCGACCCATAATCATGCGCCCTGTCTGATTCAAAAATAAACTGAGTACCTCATCAGGCTGGGATGATAGTTCCTGACCGGGAAACGACCCGCCAAATCGTCTATAGCGGCGGCTGCGATCCCAAGGACGTAGAGGAGGCCCTCGATCTGCTAGGAGCCCAACCCATAGCCCCGATGGGAGTGCCTGTGACGTACACGGCCTATCGAGAAATCCCAAGTACGTTCATTTTGTGTGAGAATGACCTGGCCGTCCCGCCATACATCCAGGAGAAGATGGTTGCGCAGGCCGGCGATGCCATGGAAGTTGTACGTTGCCAGGAGGGCCATGCGCCGCATCTGAGTAATCCGAGATTGGTCGTGGAGTGTATCCGGCGTGCTGCAGGCGAGAGTGTTTAGAGGGCCATTGAGCTCCTTTATGTAACTGCTTGCCACTTATCAAGTTCTGTTCGAGCGATTTGATGCGTGTGTAGCCGCCGTTATAGAGATCTTGAATGGCTTCGTCCTTCGTGTTCGAGAGTTTTGAATGTTATACTCTGAGTGTTTGTTAATAATGAAAATGTACCTCCGTGGGAGTAGCGAACGAAAAGGCCTTTCATGAACAGTTTGACAATTAGATTTAAGTAATATATCTAGAAGTATAAAACATCACACGTTATATATGTTATGAGGTTATATACTTCCTTTGCCAATAGAATACAAATGAAAAAACAGAATTTGTACAAGAGAGAGTACATAAAAGTTACTATATTTAAGATGACGGTGTGATAGGATACCCAGAAAGCGGTAGTGTAGTGAAGAGCTAGAATCATGATTGAGGAAGTGAATTTAGAATTATGTGTAGAAAAGGAAATAGATACAAAGATAAATTTTGATTGGAAATATGAAAACCTAGTTCATAATCATAGACACAGGAGTTCTCCCTCAACTGCTTTATTAACCATGAACCTAATTGGCATTTCAAGTCAGAAGAAAACACCCGCACCCACCCTCTGGCATACTTTTAATCTATGTATATACATTTTACATTTTAAAATATGTCCATCTCAGGACGACGTAGCCACCGGCGCCCTAATCCTCAAGTCTAAAAATCGACTTTTTCCTTCACGTACAGATCGACATACTTATCAATGTCCATAGCCTCAAGGGTCTTCTGGTCAAGGCCAAGCTTAATAAGCTGGTCAACCTTGGTAGCATCATAGTGCCCCTCGAGGTGTCTCTTGTACTTGGCAAGGATTTCAGGCTTGGCCTCTTCACGACGTAGGCGGTGGCCGAGCGGCGCATCGACCACGACCTCGTCGAGGACAGTGCCGTCGTTTAGGGTAACGGTCAGGGCGTTGGGGATGGTGCGGAGGGCTGGGTCGTGGTAGTCCTTGGTCATCTGTGGGTCCTCAACGCACTTGATGCGCTTGCGGAGAGACTCGAGGAGCTCAGAGGTGGCGGCTTCGGAGCCGTCGGTGTAATCGGTTGCGACGAGGCGGTTGAAGACAAGCATGGTGGCAACCATGTACTAATTCAGTGTCAGTATGTTATTTTAATGAAGAGGTCTGAGGGATGGGGGGGTGATTGTAGGACTAACCTGGATGCAGTGGTCGCGGTCAGCGAAGTTGTCCATGGGCTTGAATTGTTTGTCGATGATGCGGACGCAGGCCTCGTGGGTGCGGATGGTGACATCCCTGATGTCCTTGGCGGATTTGCCCATGCTGGCCAAGGTCTTGTTGATGTGGGTCGCAGCCTCAATGGCGGTTTGCGAGTGGAATTCAGCTGTACATGATGCGTTAGCGGGTGTTATCTATGGAGTGGGAAACGCTTTCATAGCACGAAGAAAACTTACCAGGCCAGGAGACCTTGAAGAGTACGTTCTCCATCACGTAGCTGCCATAGGGGCGCTGGAACTTGAACTTGTTGCCCTTGAACAGGACATCGTAGAAGCCCCAGACTGGAGCAGAGAGGACAGTGGGCACACCAGTCTCACCCCTTTGGACCTTGAGGGCGAGGTTGACGGCGCGCTGGCAAGCGTCACCGGCAGCCCACGACTTTCTCGACATGGTGTTGGGAGAGTGTCTGTAGGTTCGCAAGCTCTGACCATCAACCCACGCCTGGGTGAGGGCATCGGCGGTCTGCTTCTCATTCAGACCAAGCAGCTTGGAGACAGCAGCTGTTGTAGCAATCTTGACCAGTACCACGTGATCCAAGCCGACTTTGTTGTAAGAGTTCTCGAGAGCGAGAACGCCCTGGATTTCGTGGGCCTTAATCATAGCCTCGAGCACATCACGAACAGTGAGGATTTTGCCGTTGCCCAGGGATCCGCCAGCGCGGTTTGTCCGCGAGATCCAGTCAGCGACGGCAAGGATACCGCCCAAGTTGTCAGAAGGATGACCCCACTCAGCAGCTAACCAGCAATCATTGTAGTCCAACCACCGGACCATGGCACCGATGTTGAAAGCACCATTGACGGGGTCGAGCTGATATGGAGTTCCAGGGACCTTGGTACCATTGGGAACAACAGTTCCCTCAACAATAGGACCCAGGAGCTTCGTGCACTCCTTGAATTTCAGAGCCTCCAATCCACACCCTAGAGTGTCAAGGAAGACCCAGCGGGCAGTATCAAACTAGAAAGCAATTCGTTTCAGTAAACATTAATTTGTACAGCAAATTGGGAGAGCTATTTTATTTAGGAATTGCAATTCCATACCGCGAGATCTGAATCGACTTTGTAGTGGTGAATGTAGCTAGCCATATCATTGATTTCAGGGTCATATTCACGAGCCGGAGTCGGGGTGACCGGAGCAGCAGAGTTGAGGGCGGACATTGTGGAAAAGGAAGATCTGGATTGCAAAAGCTTGCTAGAGAAAGCTGATCTGGAGGAAGACGGGCGAAGAGAGGAGGCTGCTAGAGATGAGGTTGTGAGTTGGCGGAGGGGAAGAGATCGTGGGGCGCGGGAAGACAGCTGTCGCAGGGTTTGGCTGGCGACAGACATGGTCGGAAGCAAGTGTAGGGTAGTATGCACTTCTGTTTACAACAACTCAGCAACAGGAAACAGGATCCAGCAGATTATATACAAGCAACAAAAGGTAGGGGAGAGGGAGAACGCAATTGATCTGGAATTCCTTACTTGAGAGATGTTGTCCTTGATGTGTGTCTTGAAGCAGTTCAAGTTCAATGCGTTTCTTGCTTGGGGGAAGAAGTTCGGAGTTTGGGGAGATAGTCACGTGGGGTATTTGTCTCAACCATGGTTGCCGAGCCGAGGATACGCCGAAAACAGACCCGCATCCAGCCGGTATGGTATTGGTATTATCGGATACTAGCTTGGTTTGTATGAGTTATCGGAGACTAACTAGGACGTATTAATCAGTAAGTTAACTGTGCGTATTCCCGATATCACGAGGCTCGGCTACGAGCGAAAGATTGAGTGGTTCGGTCGCATCCGATAGTTATCTTATCTTATCTGATGCTGGTGCCGAAGCTGGGCTAAGAACATCGCCGGATGCTTCAAAATTGCTGCATTGGGGAATTAGCGAGCTTCAACTTTACCCGGGAGTGGAAGATGTCTCTATATGCTGACCATATTCGTGAATTATTATTTCTTTCTATTAATAAGTTATATGCTTTGTCTCTTATTTGCATTGCCATCACCACAATAACAAATGAACGATCGTTTGTAAATGATCTGTTTGTTTGCCCGCTCGCTACGGATGTTTCCACCGCAATCATTCTTTATTATGTACCCTAGAGTTATCGTACTACCTTGTATGAAGGAGAGTGACACTACCCAGTGTCCATCATGTGTCAGACAAAGCCTTTTGTCCACGGCACGTTCCTTATTATTTCCAGGTTTCTCTCGGGTCCTCTTTTTTGGCCTCCGTGTCAAGACAAACTAAAGCTATAAAACAGCTTGATATCATTGCAGTACACGTTCATAGTTCTACACTGCTATCGACCGCTTTACTCTTACAAAAATCATATTTGAATATACGATCCTGCCTTTCATTCACATCTTGTTTGATATCCCTGTGCCAACGAACCTATGGTGTCCCTTGGGAAGCCGTCGTGGATGACACGACGCTCAAAGAATCGCGCTGCCGTATCCCTTGAAATCAAAGCACAAGCTCTGCTAATCATGGAACAGATATACCTTGATATCCATCTTGCCTCTCTTGAAAGTCAGAATAACTCACTAGAGCACATGTCAACAAACCCCAACACCTTCGCAGCCACCGCAAGCCGCACCCTGTCATCCGTCGGAGAAGCCATGATGAATGAAGACGCCCCACGCGACCTTCAGCTACAGCGTTTTATAGACCTAGGCAAGTCGCTAAGCTGGATGATTCTGGGGATCTGCAGCCATTCAACTCACTTCATCGCCGCTGCTGCTGCTGGGGACGGCGACGGCGATGAACTCTGGAAGGAGCTGTACACCCTAATCCGCTCAAACGACATCAGCATTGAACTCTTCGCGGAAGTCCGTTGCCTGAGCTGGTCCCTCGCTGACCCCATCGCGGCCCGGCTAGATAAAGGTGGAAAGTTAGGAGTCGAAGAGCAGGATACGTATCCCTACGTCATCGACCTGGCCCAAAAAGCCATCTACCACCCCAAACACTTCACCAGGAGACAAGAAAACATCACCAGATCTCGCTTCTTTCGAGATGTCTTCGACCCTTCCGAAAATCTCCGCCGCCAACCCGGCGATGGCAACTGCGCTATATGCACCAGCCCACAGATATGCGAATGCCAGCTCGAGCTAGCGGAAGAGAAACACCCACTCCTCGAGCTGCGCGAGTACCCCGATCGCGGCATCGGCGTCCGCAGCCTCCGTTCCATCAAAGCAGGCACCTTCATAGGTGAGTATGTCGGTGAGATTCGCGATCCGGCCTATCGCCTCGGTTCTACCTACGGGCTCCATCATACCCTACATGGACGGTCGATTGGCGTCATCGATGCGGCTGTCTATGGGAATTGGACGAGGTATATGAACCACTCGTGTCGGGCGGGAGTGGTTTTTGTCTCCACGGTGGTGGGGGATCGTGCGCGTGTGCTCGTGAGGGCTATTAGGGATATTGAGATGTTTGAAGAGATTACGGTGGATTATGGGGATGAGTATTTTATGCCGCGGCATAGGGTGTGTAAGTGTGGGGAGGAAGTATGTCGGTTTAAAGAAGGGGGGGGAAGTGGAATGGAGAGGGCGGTGGAGGAGGTGGGAGGATATCACACGTTGTATAAGTCTTTATCTGCTGCGCAGCGCTATCTTTAGGAGGAGAATTCCCCCCCCCCAAGGCTATATGTACTGTGCACTAGTCGGTACGAGTTTCAGTAGCCTACCTACATAAATTGCCCCTATCCAGAGATGTTCTCACAACTCGGCAAGGCGTGAATATTGGAGAGGAAACAGATGTAACATTCCGTAAATGCGACATGGAATTTTCCTAATATTGATGAGAAGGCCACGAGATTGAAGCAAGCAATAGCGAATTAGGAATACCAGAATCGTTGATGGAAAATAAAATCCCTGACAACTAGCGTAATCTAGCATACATATTGGCAGATGGGAAACATTTCAGCGGTACAGAACTCCCACTCCAGCTTCCAGTAGTGCATGGAACAAAAAAGAAAAAGAAAAAAAAAACCAAAACCAAGAACAAGAACAAAGATTTCAACATAGATGGCAGAGATGAGAAAGATGTCCAGACATGAAAGTATGTACAACGATAAGACAAAAAATGAGCAGATCAAGACAGAGGGACAACGAAAATAGCACAAAGAAGGCATCCATACCCAACACGGCCGTACACGTTTCATATCATAGCGTCAACAACGTATAGCAAGATAGAAAATTTCTTCTTTCATCTACATGCCACCACACATCATACAGGCCGCTCAATCCCTTCAGAATGAAACACACACAGATCCGTTCAAACACTCACTCACAGTATCTCCACCATCTCCCTCACGTCAGCATCAACACCAACACCAACCCCACCACCAACTTTTCCCTTCCTCTTCCCCTTCTCCACATCACCATCAACCCCATCAACCCCTTCCAGCGCCCTCCTCACTTCCAAAAAGATCGCCCGCCCCAGCACCGGCGGCACCGCATTCCCAATCTGCCTCTTAACGCTCTTCCCGCAAAACCGATGCTCAAGCGGGAACGTCTGCAGGCATGCAAACTCGCGGTACGTGAACGTGCGCGTGCCGCTCGGGTGGTAGTTCTCGCCGCCGTTGCAGGTTATGGTCTTTGCTTGCGTGTGCGGGTCGTAGGGTGGTCGGGCCATCGGGCGTCTGCTGGCGTACGGGACGTCGTGGTCTGGGTGGTTAGGAGGGATTGCGGAGATGGCGTCGTGGATGGTACGGTAGCGGGGGAGGACGGGGGTGTTGTATGGTTGAGTGTTTGAGGTATCTGGGGGGCCGTGGGTGGGTTTTGGGAAGGGGGGGAGGGGTTCGCCTGGTCTGTAAGTTGGTGGTGAGTTGATGGTTGAGATAGAACCGGGGATGTATATATATGTATACATATAGAAGAAAAAGAACTCCGTGAGGATTGAGGGAGAAAAGCGGCTAATAATACATACCCTGATGCCAAAATAACCAGCCGTTGACGAGACTGGGGGACCCCGTAATCCTGACACCGGAGCAATTTCCAACGACAAGAATACCCCAGTTCCGCAAAGGCATTTATGGTCGCGAACAGGAATTCCTCATGCCTCTGTTGCAGTCCCGCCGTTTCCTCCATGGTCACAACCCTAGGCTTAGTTCTCTCTAGCAGCTCGCGCGCGCAGAAGATGCACGCTTCATTATCATCGTCCGTGGCGGCGGCGATCGTTTTCGCCGGCGAAAAAGTTTGACAGGGAGGGGAAAAGTGTAGGATATCCACCATGATTTCCGCGGGGCTGTTGGCGAGAAAATCCGCCACGTCAGATGTATAGCCAATTGCGCTCTCGAAATTGAGCCGGAACGAGTCCATGGCGGATAGGGAGTGATCAAATCCCCAGTTCAAGCGGAGACCCGCTTGTAATGCGCCCCTGGATACCCCGCCTGCACCGCAGAAGCCATCTCCAAATGTGTACTGCTGGACGGTTGTTGAGGTACCGCCCAGGATTGTCGGGGCGTTCGTTGACAGATCTATTATTGTTGGTGTGATTTCTTGACCGATGTAGCTTCCACCCAGCCGCGTTTCACCTCTCCAGCGAAATCGCAGCGAACAAGCGTCAACCGAATAGCCAGAGTCTGCTTCGTGCGGACGGAGGAATTGAATTGCTTGCTCTTCCATCCGTGGTTTGCGGGCAGACGGAGAAGCAGAAGTAGAGGCGGAAGGAGTAGTCCATACCCTGATATACTTCGCGCGGCAGAATAGAATCCCCTCCCGCCGTCGCTCACCCTCCGTCGCAAAACCGCCATTGTCACCATGTAGCATCGGATAAAGCTTGTTCGTAAACCGAATGATCCTTAAGCCGTTAACTTCGTGTAAGCCCACCTCGTCGACCTGGGTAGTTATACCCGCAGCAGCCTCCTCGTCCGAAATATTCACGATCCAGCACAACTCATTGATGCGCTCAGGCATCAATCCGTCCATGGTATCTTGTCGCTGAAGCCGCCAACCCCGCAGTGATATCTCCCCTCCCATACCCCTTGCGACCTCCAGAATGCGGAGAAAAGAACCATCGCGCAGCTCCACAGATTTCCCACTCTTGTACGTTTTGCCGTCGGAAAGGAACTCTGGGATGATTTCTTTGACTTCGGAGGGCGCAGTATGGTTGACGCAGGGGGCGATATTGGCTGTGAGGTTGGAGAGGATCTGGGGCAATTGCTCGTCATCTACGAAGTCATCCTCGTTGTATCTTGCGGTGAAATCTAGCTCCCTATCTTCATCGCCATCTAGGGTGTCACTGCTGTCGCTCTCATCTATTACGATGGGAGGTGGGCGGTTATGTCTGGTGTGGTGGGATTCATGGATCTGCTGACGGCGTCGACGGCGGGATCTTGGAGTCAGCGCGAATAGCGGAGGGGGCTCACGGCCTGGGGCTATTTGGACCATTTTCTGTGTTGGGGGTTGTAAAAGCTAATATTTGACAGATGAAAGGGTTGAAATTGATATCAGAAAGCTGGTGTTGGCAAGATTCAGAGCTGAAGTGTTCAGCTTAAAACACTTCTGATATAGATAGAGTAGATGTGATGAAAGCGAGAGGTATCAGTCCTTAGTAGATTCAAAAAGATAGCAGAAGAAGATCAGAGAATACTGTCCATCAACAAGATAAATAACGAACTTAAGAATTCGAGAATTTGAGACAGTCAATGATCATAGATTCTGTTGTGTTTGTATGGAGCAATGAATGCTTCAGACACTGTTTATACATACATTATTAGTCTAGAAAAAAACTTCAGATTCTGACAGTTAATCAAGTCAGTGTCTGAACATCAACTGCTCAGATCTTAACTCTTTATTAAAGAGAGAGATAGCTCATGATTACAGCTTTGCAGCTGCATTCTCTCTTCATCTCCCTAGATAGATAGAGAGCTTATGCAGTAGAGTAGAGTAAGTCACTTGTTATTGTTCTTTGAAAGAGGACAGCAGATCCAAGCATAAGAAAACATGATTAAATAAATAAATAAATAAAAAAGAACAATGTAGACAAGAAGATAAACTCTTCTTTTCTAGACCATAAATAATCACATCAACAAACTAAGCCTCATTGTTGTTGTTGTTGTTGTTGCAGTCAACAAAGATCAGTCTGACACATAACTAAGTTACTAACTTAAAGATATCAATCAAGTCTCTGCAAGAAAAGGGTTTAGAGCTAACTTCTTTCTCATAAAGAAAAGCCAGCTTCAACTTGTAATAAGTCACAGTGTCTGGTCTGTGACCCATATCTCTCTCTTCCGCCCAGGATCCAGCAGCTATGTTCAAGGAGATGCCATGTATTCCTTCATGCACTCATGTCCTGTTGTGTTTGTTAGTTATATATAACAAGAGAGTTCATTCCGAAAAGGGGCAGCTTAGGGTTTGCTGACGTCAGCTGACTACGCCAAGACTCGGAATATTTTTCATTTTTCATTTTTCATTTTTATTTTTGTTTTTGTTCCTTCAAACAATAATGATGAGTGTGTGGTTGTATTATTTGGAGTTGAAAAGCACGGCAGATATTATCATGAATAATAACTGCAGTACTAAGGTATTATTTTATTTTCCATCTATCAAGAGTGGGAAGCAAAGAAAGCTCCGAGGATGAGACTTCCACAACCATGTACGGAGTAAATATGATTTTGAACAACAACATCGCGGGTATTAATAGATGGAAAATAGTAGTAGTAGTAGTAGTAATAATAATAATAATAATAATAATAATAATAATAATCAAGTTCTCCTTGATTCAATGGGCGGGCGGAGAAGTTATTTAACTAGCAAAAATCTAAGTTTTCTCCCGCCGGTGAACCGCAACCTTCTTCTTTTTATTCTTTTTTCTGCCCAACTCCACTCACTCCGCTAAGAAAATAACTTCTTCAATAATCATCATGTCCGCCGCTATTCTTCTTCTCCCAGTCTCCGTCTCCGTCTCCGTCTCCTCCTACTCCTATCCCCCGATCTCTGTTTCTTTTCTACTCGCGTCTTCATTATGTTGTAGATTTGCTCTCTCTTCCTGCTCCTCTCCCCTCCCCGCCGCCTCCGCCGCCGCCGTCGTTAACCCAACATGATCTAAGCAAGCTTTTTTTCCATCTCAACTCGCTCTTACTAGATCTCTTTTTACCCCTCCAAATATCCCCATACCAGGTGGTAAATTTATAAATTCCTTCTCCCTATTTCTAGGAAATCCAGCGGGAAAGAAAAAAAGTAAGTATCAGGTCTAATTTGACCCTGGGTTACGTTGCTGTCTGTCACTTGAGCCCGTCTCCCCTCCCTGTATGCGCAGTACATTCCCTCATCCCAAATCACAACCAACATAATAATCCCTACAGATGATGAACAAGTTGGAAAAAATACATGGATGTTAGACTTCCTAATTTTTCTTGCGGAGAACTCCAATTATTCTGACCCCTATCTTGTGTTGTGTTTTGCACTTTTTTTACCTCCCTCTTTTTAATTTTAATGTGTTGATATCTTTGCCCCCCCCCCCCCCCCAACTTCGTTCTTGTATCAAAAATGACAGCTTACAAGAAAGACAAGAAAGAATTCCCAAATATCTAGTTACTTCTATATAATCCACGCCCAATATGTGCGGCATCCTAGCCCTCATCCTTGCGGACCCCAAGGCCAGCGCCAGCATTGACCTCCACGAGGCCCTCTACCTACTCCAACACCGTGGCCAAGATGCCTGCGGAATCTCAACCTGTGCCTCCGGCGGCCGCATATTCCAATGCAAAGGAAATGGCATGGCTGCAAAGGTGTTCAACGACGGAGCCCGCGTTGCCGACCTTCCCGGCTTCATGGGCATTGCACATCTCAGATACCCCACAGCTGGCAGCAGTGCCAATGCTGAAGCACAGCCGTTTTACGTCAACAGCCCCTATGGCATCACACTAGCCCACAACGGCAACCTCATCAACGCCAGCGACCTCAAGAGCTTCCTCGATTACGACGCCCACCGCCACATCAACACGGACAGCGACAGCGAGCTGATGCTCAACGTCTTCGCCAATGAGCTGAACGAGACGAAAAAGGCCCGCGTCAACCACCAGGACGTCTTCACAAGTCTAAGCCGCATGTACGAGCGCTGCCAGGGCGGCTGGGCCTGTACGGCCATGATAGCCGGTTTTGGCGTCCTGGGTTTCCGCGACGCATACGGTATCCGTCCCTTGGTCCTCGGCTCGCGCCCATCCGCCACCGGCGAGGGGATGGATTACATGATGGCATCTGAATCCGTTGCGCTCGACCAGCTAGGTTTCACCACGTTCCAGGACATCCAACCAGGCGAGGCCGTCATTATCCAGAAGGGAGGCAAGCCCGTCTTCCGCCAAGTATACCCCAAGCAAAACTACACCCCGGACATCTTCGAATACGTCTACTTCGCGCGCCCAGACTCCGTCATCGACGGGATCAGCGTGTACCGCAGCCGGCAGCGCATGGGCGACAAGCTCGCGCAGACCATCTACAAGACCCTGGGCGCCAAAGCCATCGAGGAAATCGACGTCGTGATCCCCATCCCCGAAACCTCAAACACGTCCGCGGCCAGTGTCGCGCGCTACCTCGACAAACCCTATTGCCAGGGCTTCATCAAGAACCGCTATGTGTTCCGCACGTTTATCATGCCGGAGCAAAAGGCGCGGCAGAAGGGCGTGCGGCGGAAGCTGAATGCCATGGCCGCGGAGTTCAAGGACCGCAATGTCCTGCTTGTTGACGATAGTATCGTGCGCGGCACGACGAGCAGGGAAATCGTCACCATGGCCCGTGAGGCGGGTGCGAAGACGGTGCATTTTGCCAGTTGTGCTCCGCCAATAGCGTAAGTTTTACCCGCACATGCACACCCAACCACGATATATATCCCCCTGCCCTGCCCACATCTCTCATCAAATATATAACACAACCTACTAACCAAGAAAACACCAAACAGCCACGCCCACATCTACGGCATCGACCTCGCCTCCCCAAGCGAACTCGTTGCACACAACCGCGACGCAGCCTCCATCGCCCGCCACATCGGCGCCGACACCGTAATCTTCCAAACCCTCTCAGACCTCAAAGAAGCCTGCGTCGAAAGCTCCCAGGACGACCCCACGCGGCCACAGAACTTCGAAGTCGGCGTCTTCTGCGGCTCGTACATCACGCCCGTGCCCGAGGGCTATTTCGAGCACTTGGAGAAGGTGCGCGGGGAGGGGAGGAAGGTGAAGGTTATCGAGAGCGCGAGGAAGGCGGTTTTGCATGGCGTGGCGAACTCGAGGGATATTCGGGTTGCTGCTAATGGGGCGGATGTGGATGCGTTGGGGAGGATTGTGCCGGCGGGGATGGAGAATGGGGTTGTCGGTGGGTGCGGCGGGAGCGGCGGGAGCGGGAGTGGCGATGGAGGTGGGGATGGGGGGGTGAATGGTGTGGGGAGTGCTGCTGGTTGTGTCGGTGGTGATTACTCTTTGCAGACGGAGTCTGCGCGCCCGAATGCGCATGATGAGGCAGACAATGATACGCCGCAGGTTAAGGATCGGATGGATATTGCCTTGCATAATTTTGGTGATTATTCGTAGCGCGCGTTTGTTGTTTTTCGTGTATGGGGAGGGGTGTATTTCTTTTTGGCGTATCATCCCTTTTTACGTTTTAAGTCCCTCGATGTTGTTCTTTCTTTTCTTTTCTTTTTTGTCATGCTTTGTTATGGTTGATGATCTTGAATGTGTTTCCCCCTTTTCCAATCTCATTATTATATTCTCTTGACATATTCTCATTTATGTATCATTCACACCGGACATAGTTTACCTTAGCTACTCTTTTTCTTCTGCCCGATTCTCCCCTATTTTTGACCAGCCATTACTCAATAAGACAGAGGTTACATGGATCCAATTTTTATCGACTTGAGTTCATTCACCTAATATATGTTGATAATTCTTTATATATGTAGCAAGTATTCATTGAAATAGATCTGTATGTCATTCTTATAATGTAAACAATGGTTGTCTGATGTCCACTTTTACTCTAAGCTCTTCTGTTCTCTCTGCAGACTGTTAAGAAATATATTTTCATCTCATCTCATTTTTTCACAGCATATCTATCTACCAGTTATCTTAGTGAGACAAAAGACATTTAGTAATTTTCTATCACTTTCTCAACAGTGAACATTTTTATCACTATTATTATTTATGTGATAACTTCATAGTTTCTGTATCATCATCTAAGATAAAATCTAGATCATGTTCTAAAGTCACTGATGATACAGATTAGCAATTTTTGATAGAGAAGATCTGTAATGACTGCCTGTCTCAAGACAGATCAATAAAAAAGCATTGCTATATCACTGATAAGTTCTCAGTCAAAATTGCATTGTTCATTTATTAATTCTTGCCTGTCAGTTGTTGATTCCACCTGAGGATAAAGTGGAAGTACGTACCCCTGTTCATGATTTTTATGGATTTGATATCAGTTCTCAAGCAACTACTCTTCCTAAACATATTCTCAAGACACATTAGAAATTAGTTTGTAGATAGCTGCATTGAAACAGGGCATTGAAGCTGGTGACATAAGTGAATTGTGAAAACATGTTGCACAATATCTATATGACTCTGGCCGGCAGGCTGGGTCTTGACACATTGCATGCCATCTCAGTCCATGACACACACAGTGTTATGCTTCTGGGAAATGATTGAGAATAGTGTATTCTAACATGCAAATAACCATGCCAGCCCAGCCGCATCCGTTGATCCAATTTCTAGACCATCCCTTAATTTCCGTTTTACCACCGAAGAGACCATTGCCCGCTGGCGGCAGTCCTTGGGAAGCAGTCGTAGAAATGGTGTGGGGAGCCCAGTGTAGCCAGTTGGAGTGGGTGACGTTTATATACTCTTGCATGACAGAGTTCCTGGGGCCGAAGCCGCCGAACAACATACCTCCTGCCCCCATGTACATGTACATATATGTACATATTATCCCAGAAGCGTGAAATATGCCCACAGCATCGACTTGCCAGGACTAGCTGACAAGTTCACGCAACGCGTGACGCCTTTTATGACGGTCTCCAGATATTGATGCGTGGCTAGGTTAGGCCGCCGGGCGTTCATCACCACCTGCTCCCCCGTGCTGCATCTTTCAGGCTCCTGTCAAGTCAACCGTGCTATGTCTTTCTCCCGTCGCCGTGCGTTGTGTAGTTCTCCAGTGATTGGTTGAGCCTGCACGTCTCCTTGAGCTTCATACATATCGAGGTGGCTGTTGAACCCACCCAGCTGGTTTTTGCATCATGGCCTAATAGTTTTGAAAAGGTAGTGACCGGAGGCAGCACTTCCACCCCGTGGCATTCAGTTGCAATCGCGCCCTTTTCTTCCTTTTTCTAATAGGGCCTGTAGCCCGTGCAAATGACCTTACCTTAGGGCTCTGCGATTTAAATAACTCTGATATCGAGTAGCATGTCACTGATAGGGTTGGCGGGAGACTATCCTATCCCCCTTCAGCTGCCTGTATAGTATAATCAAAGCCCTATGTAAACGTAGCGCCCAAGACTAACCTATGCTTTGAAGACATCTACCATAAAGCATCGTGATCTTTCTTTTCTTTTCTTTTCTTTTCTTCTTCTTTTTCTTTTTCTTTTTGTTTCTGTGACTGCCTCTGAATCAGCATGTGCAGTTCACCAAGCCCCACGTAGCCAGACGGGAAAAATTAGACGCCGTAGAACTCTGGCTATATCATGCCTCAGATTGTAACATTCACGTTTGAAGTTTTAAAACACAGTTGAGTTGTAACTTATAATGGGCAGGCGGTGAAGTGAGTCCTTACATCCTGGGCCGGAAAGTCGCCTGGTTAGGTAGGAAATGGACGGGACGGGACGACTGTCGGGTGGCAATCAATCACCCCTTCAAAGCATCCCATGTCGCTACAGGTGTTGTTAAATCGTCGGTGGTAAGGCTTCAGATGCAAGCTAGGTGAGCCCAGGTTAGTATCTGATACGAAAAAAAATAAGGGGGGGCAGGGAGGACCTGGAGAATTTTTAAACATCCAAACAATCATTCTTTTGATTTTTAACAAAGGTTACAGCCTCTATGTAGTGATTCATTCTCTCTGCCGACGACGTCGGTTGGGGCTTGTATCACACATTTAGACAAAGTCGAGCGTCGTCCCCAGAATCGAACAGTACGGGGTACACGGAATAAAAATAGGAGACAACAATTCTAATTCAAAACATAAATTCTATACATCTCGCCTGGGACCTAGGTTTTTGATAAAAACGCAAGGCCCCAAATCGAATCACACAACCGCCCGCACACACTCCCATTTTGTGCCAGCTTTGATTATACTTGAGAAGTTATAGATATGGAACAAATATCTTAGAGATGACAAAAGGAAAGGGGGAAAACGAAGACGGAAATGGAAGTGGAAAACGGGGAAATTCTGTAGTTTACAGAAAGGAAAGGTCGCCGAATCGTTCCTGAGAGGGTGGGGAATCATCAAATGTTAGCATGTCGTTCCATGCGCACAAGGCATAGTTGATGGCATCGAACCAGATTAGGAGACCAAGGTGACAGTTCCCTTTGCGGTATTTGTCAGAAAAATAAAATTGAAAACGAACCTTGTAGCCAGGTGGCATCCATTTGCCCTTGGAGACCAATTGGGAAGTCTTCTCGATGATATCCGGTCGAGCCTCGCTGACCTCGTCCTGCGCAAGTGCGAAAGAAAGAAGAAAATAGCCATTAGCGAAGGAAACCTCAAACCAAACAAACACAAATCTCTAAGGAGAGATCCAAAACATACGACCGTAAGGTCCTCAAACGGCCTCGCTGTCTCAATATTCTCCAGCGTCTTCTCAAGGCTCCGCAACTCAAGCTCAACCTTGCCCTTCGTCTCCTCCGCGTCCTTCATAGCCTGTGCCTCGAACGCCTCGATGGCCTTGAGCTGCCTGTTCACATCGAAAGTGGCGGGCTTGAATGTTTTGAAGTGCTTCTCAATCTCATCGACGACGGCTTGGTTCTTCAGCACGCTGCGGTAGTACGAGAAGTCGACGGTCTGCGCTTGCTCTTCGAGAAGCTGCACCTTCCGGCGGGCGTCATCGTTGCGCTTCTTGAAGGCGGCGAGGGATGTGGCGGTCTGGCCCCGGAGGCCGAGGGAGGTGGACACTTTCGCCCAGTCGAGCTTGAGAGCTGCGCTCCGCTGTTGGTCGTGGGATGTGTCCACGATTGGACACACGACGTCAGCTCCATCGGTTGTTTGCTTCGGACTCTTCGGCCCCGGGTGGAGTGGGAAGAGGCAGGAGGAGATAATGTTGATGAATTCGATGGAGGGAGAAGGCTAAGGGGTGAATTGACTTACTGATACAGCCATTGTGATTGTTGGAGTGGAATTGGACGGGTGGAATACCTGGATTGAACTGTGAAGAGCCGGAATTTGAGGGGATGAAGTTGTTTTTGACGAGAACTTGGCGAGAATGGAACAATCACGTGATACACATTTCTCTGGGCTTGGCGTCAAAAAAAGAGGAATTATGCCGGACGAAAAATTTCAGAGGGAAAGGAATAAGAGCACTGAATTGATATTGGGGACGCAGCCGGTCCGGATATAATTAAAACTACATACATGGAGGGAGGCCTGGGTAATGTTTTGTTAATTCGTTTCATAACATAAGGCTGTCCACTTTGAGTCCCCATTTTGCATTTCTTTACCAAAACCATACAGGGAATAAAAAGACAAAATCATCACGAAAAGAGGCCAGGGCTGTTGTGTAAGATTGTAAATTTTTTTGCTAAATAACTCAAAAAGTAGAGCGAGAAGAAGGAAAAGGAGAAACAAGGCAAGAAATCAGCCAGCTATATATGCTGAGATCATACACTCAGAGCCATGATAGAGTTGACTATATCGTTATCGTTCTCCTTGAGGGCCTTGACAGCCTTCTTCCGCGACACAGACGCTTGAGCCATAACCAACTCAATGTCCTTGGCTTCCAGCCCGGTGTCATCAACCTCCTCCCCATCGTCCTCCTCTTCCTCCTTCTTTTCAGCGCCCTCGACGGCCTTGCCCTTGCCGTGGTCGTGACCAGCGTGGTCGTGGCCGGCGTGCTCGTTGCTAGCGGCCTCGGCGGCAAGCTGTTGAGCAGCGGAGGCTTGAGCCTGGGAATTCAGGTCCTCGATCTTGGCCTCACCGAAGATGCTTTTGGATTGGGTTAGCTGGATCTTTACATGTACTTACTTATATAAGAGGCAGTTGGTCCCGAAAGCCTGGGGTAATATAAATAGAACTTACATCCAGGTGTTGCTAGATGGGGATCGGTAGACATCTGGTTGGTTGATGACGAAGAGAATCTGATATTGCAATCATAATTAGCATGCAGTCAATGCATAGAGAAATTCAATCGAATGGGCACGTCCATTGCGCCAATAGGCAAGCATAGTGGGGCGTCGACGCAAAATTTCCGGGGTTCTTCAGGCGCCTTACATTCTTCGGTCTGCGGAGAGTAACACGAGTGATGCCAGGGACGTGCTTCAAGCCCAACTTGCCAATGGCTTTTCGGGCCTTCTTCTCGTTACGGGAGTGGACAGTGACAGCAGCGCCACCAGGGATGATGGGCTCCTCGGCACCCTCAGCTTCGGACTCTGAGCTCTCAGCGGCATCCTCGACGGTGGGCTTGGTAACGACCTCGTCGTCGGGAAGCTCTTCTATCCGGGAGGAAGACATGTTTGTTTTTGAGGGGACGGAAGGTGAGAGAGTCTGCTACCAATCAATGACGGGTGTTCTTGTTAGAAAGTTTTGTTGTATTAAATATTTGACCATGCGCGCGCGTGAGGGCCACTTTTCCCGCCCCTCATTGTCACCCAACGGTGGGAAATTATATGTTCAAGCCACAGGGAATCATTTCATCTCGGACTAGGGAATACACTGGCACATACCTTGGCGACAGAAGGGAGATGGGCGTGGGCGTGGGTAATTTTTGTTCGCAGCGTTTGCTGGAGTTCTTGTTCTGTTCTGCGGTGGAAGCTGTGTGAGGTCGCCGACCACCTGACCTGGGCGCCTTGCCGAATTCTGTTAGCGAGCAACCCACGGCCAGCCACATATCGATCGATACATATCGGCTGTCCATTCAACACTCGGCTGTGATATTATAATACTGCGATAGTCACTGCAACACGATTGCAAATACATGTCTACACGGCATATTCCGATGCCGATGCTACTAGCATAACTGCGATTTATCTATATAAATAGAAAACTGCATATTTAAGCATTGTCCCAAGGATTTACCAGATCCACGGATAATGATACTATGCGTATAAACCAGGTCTAATGAAATTGAAATGCCCAACTCAGTACTCCGTACGGAGTATTTGGGCGTAAATACTAAGTTTGTAAATGGACTTTTTTCTAGGACATGTACTTTTGTTGAGAGTGACTTTTAAAGAGATGCTCATCGGAAGCAGGCGCCTTTCGGGTCCAAATGGTGTTAGAAAGACGCCCATATGGATCGCTAGTCTGGTGTTGATGAACCTGATAAGATAACGGGCATTCGTTCGGAGGGATAGGTTCATCTAGTTCACCTAGTTTTATAACGATCCCGTTTTCCAAAGCATCATCGTAGGGGTCAGTGGAGCAACCGGATTGCGAAGTAAACCATCAATTGCACCGGATTAATGTATATGTTTTAACAAAAGAGAAAAAAAAAATGTTTGAATGATTTCGCCGTTTCAAATTCTCAAATGAAATTGTGTACACAGCAGTTTTTCAGGAACAAAATGGATATCAAGCGATTCCTTCGACCCATCGCCAGAAACCCATCCATTGTTCCCTTTCCCCCCAAACCCACACAACAGCCAACTCTCATCAACACCGTTTATGAAGCAGAAGCACGGATCTTAGCGTGTGCCTTTTGCACCTCGGAGCGGGCCTGTATGTTCAAAAGAAGCATTTATTAGCAAAAATCTCTCCATATCAAGAGGATGCGCTTGGGTGGCGGGGAAGTCGCAAATGTTTCCTGAAACCACGAAAATTCCATCGAAAGGATAACAATGCTCTTTTCTGCGCAAAACGCAATGATCCCCAAATAACAAGTGAAATAAAAACGCACCTGTTTCTTCAGTCTCATAACCTTGAACCGTTCGAAGTCGGTGAGATTCCGTCTCCGATCAGCCTGTTCCCTCCTCTTGGCGAACTGGCTGTTGGCCCATTTGGAATCGATCTCCTCCTTCTCCCAGAGCTTCTTGACGGGTCCGGTACCAGCCGAGCGAGGGAGTTTAGGGATGGTGAAAGGTGTGAGGGTGGCGTGAGCGAGAGGGAGGGAATGTCGAGGAACGACTTTGTTCTCTTGGCCGGCGGGACCATCGACCAAGACCTGTTAAAAACGAACACAAATTTTCCCATCAGAATTCCGTACGTATCCACGATTTCAACATAGAAAATTAAGATTTCTCTCTTTTTCATTTTCCTCTTCCGTCTTCGCTCCCATCCCATCCTGTATATATTGAAAATCGGTATAAAAAGGGGATCATGGAAACGTACGCGCTTGTGATCGATTATCTCAACGATAACAGCCAGCTTTCCCGTGTAAGGACCGCTCCGGATCAGCACAACACGGCCGACCTCAACGAGCTTCCATGACGAGGTTTGGATGTCGACTTGAGCCATGGCGTTGAAGGGGCCTACCTAGATCGGAGAGCAGGCACTGGGTCAGTCGAGGGGGGCCCGGAAACACACAGCTGTACAAAACCAAATCGAAAAAAAGGTAGCAGGATCGGCGGGAACTCACAATCGACCGGGTATGGGGATAGGCGTAGAGTTGGGTGGGTGAATTGTCGAAATTGTCGATGTCGTCGATGTTGCTGGGCGGCCTGGTTATCGCGAATTTCGGTGCTGATATTCTTAGCGTAGCCCACAAAACCCTCGCTTAATTGCCCCGACTAGGGCTCCCGAATGTGGGTTAGCGCCGTTTTAGCCGAATCTGGGTGTTTTGTTTAAAAGACGAGAAACTTTTTTTCTTCCTCGTCGGTTTCTTGTTTCTGCAGAACATGGATTATGAACGCCAGCAAAAGACTTACTAAATCCTTGTTCTCTGTTGTTATTGGATCCAGCGCATGTGCCGCTGTTATGATGGTGCCATACGGGATAAAATGTTTCTAGAAATGAATAGGAACAACAATACACTGATGAGATGAATGGCTTCTGATAATTAACAATGCAGATGGCTCAATCGCCGTGACTAACTGGTAAGCAAGGATTCCCCTACCCTCTGTTCCTTTTCCCTTCAGCCTCTATAGCCTTAAATGATGCGGTAATTTGCGGTTGAACCGTTTACTGTGAGACTCTCGCCGGAGTTTCAAATGCAGTTTTCGGCTGTGATATTCATTTTCTTACATATTCTGAACCTTCTAATGCTATCTTTTATCGATGCAATTTCGATCTTCAAATCATTTCTTGAAACGATTAGCTAATGTTTTAGCAATAGAAAATTATATAGACAACATAGCAGCTTCGTAACAGGTTCGGAGGACGTGCCGGCGGTCATTTCTCGGCCTCGTTCCCTATGGAGTGGTCAAGGCTTGGGTCAAATATGGTTCGTCCTACGAATGTCTGTCCCTTTGGACCCCGTGGATAGAATACCACATCGCACCATTTAGGCTATATTATCCACCAGGTGTGTATGCACTTATTATTGCTTTTGCTTCCCCTCCCCGAGTCCAGTGATGACACCCTTACGCACTAGATAGTAGTTGATGCCTCAAGGCGATGAAATTTCTCTTTACACCAAGATCGCTGAAGGACTCTCCCTCTACCGCTATTTTGTTTTAGGCATTCAAGGCAAACCGCAGATTATGCTAACTCGTTACAAGATGTCTCTGAAGTAGGTCGTTTTCCCCGCCAGTTGGGCCAGTTAGAGCGATTGTGCTTTCATTAAAGTATACTCGCGAAGGATTAGGCAAGACTTGGGTTGTTTGCTTCAGCCCAACATTCCCCAATCCTGTGTCACACTGGTAGCATGGTTTGTGATATGCGAAATGTACCACACGACAAGCATGGTAGGGATTCTCTATATACGTAATGACCTAGTATATTCTTTGGATCCGAATCAATGCAACGTTTCTACATTCATTGTTCCTTACAAACGGATGTGGCGCTTTTCACTAAGTCCAATAATAAGCACTGTAAAGGGTTAGTGATCAGGTATCTTATAAGGATGATCCTCAGAACGTTCCGTATCACCAATAGAAGCTCGATTAGAATCCATTCTTTCCTGTGTTTTATGGCATGCCTGTAACTAACTACCTATGGGCTGTAGCGCAATATATTTGCGTGCCAAGCCACACTTCCCCATGCAGTAATAATAGTAACAAATGTATCATTTCCAACGTCCAACCTCAGCTCTCAAGAGTCTATGCCGCCTTGTGTCGATAAACAACGAGAACTAGATGCAAAGCGCGTGGAGAAAGCCTAATATGAGATCTCCAGCCTGATCTAGACATATGTAGAATTCCATTTATTCAGCCTGACCCAGGTATTATTTCCTTTTTCTTAATATCCGTGGATGTACAGTAGTACATCTTTTCCACAGCATCATGCAGCTGCGAGCGCCATGGGCCCTGCGCGATATAGAAGATTTCCTATATCTACTCTGCGTTTTCCATATACGTTTTCTCCGGGTTGTTTTTCCTTATCTGCTTTTCCATGGGGTCATTCCCATTCCTGGTTACTTGAGATTCCCCCGGTATATACAGATCAGCCGTCCGGGGACATACATGCCCCGTGAAGCAGAGATGTGGATATGAAGAATGCAGTAATGGAAGAAGAGGGTAGAAGCAAGGCCATTTACTTTCCTTTTAAAGCTGACCAGGAGAATAGAGTATAGAGTATAGATAATCTATACTATAGGCGTCAAGCGTGGTTCTAGTATAAGCTTCTATATGTGATACAGGGTGCCTCGTTCTATCTCCATGGCAGCGGAAATGTCCGCAGTGTTCTCGAGGGCTTTTGTTTGCATCTTTGAAAATATTCATCTTTGTCGCTCTCCTCCTGCTCTCCGATTCCCCTCTTCTTCTCATATACGCACAACAAACAACACATTGGCGTAGATTCTCAGCGGGGGCGGATCCCCACATACACCTTCTTTTCTCCATCCCACCCCCTCTCTATAGACTCCTATTCCTCTTTACCTTCAACGTCTCCTTGCTTTTGCTTATCATTCATTCACTTTTTGACTCTGATATCTCCTTTCGCTTGCTTCTGTCAAATCAACTCAAGTCCCGTCTACCAAGCACTTATAATGGATGACTTCCTACCAGGCTGGGGCGATGGACTAAAGCCCCTCGATGCACTGGGCATCGTCTACGTGATATTCGACATTGTCTGGACATTCCTGGTAATGCTCGGGCTCATCTGGCTGTGGCGCAATAGGTCAATTCCCTCCGTCCGCATGCGCAATGTGCCCCTGGCAATCTGCTCAGTGATCTTTCTGCATGGTTACGGGGGGTTCTACATCCTTGCCTACCCACTCAAGGGGATTCTGAGCTGTAGCCTCGAGTTTTGGCTCATGAGTGGCGTACTTCCAGTGGGAATTGCATTGTTTCAGGCTACCAATGTCCAACTGCTGAGCGTGGCAACTCTGCAACAGCGTTTCCTAAGGGACGATGGCACCTTTGAAGAGCCCACTCCGCGAGAAATCCGCTGTCCGTTCAACAAGTTTAAGTGTTGGTGGACACACTTGTCGTGGGCCAAGAAGACTATGGTTGCGATTGCAATTGGGATGTTTATCGAGGTAATGATTTCAGTGAAACCTCCGGTAGATGTGGAATAAGGAGTTAGCTGGAGGATCTTGGAACTAACTCACCTTAGATTTGTTTGTCTCTATTTGTCTATTTCGGGTCAAGAAAGTTTCATTCATATGGCTTATGGTCTGCGTTTGAGAATCGTCTACGGTGCAGGCAAGGTGCCGAGTGGTAAGTACTGTTTCTTGATACGCTTCACTGTGTTGGTTGTGTTATTTACCTAACTTTTATCGAAAAAAGGCTTCCAACTGTTATCTGGCAGTTTTTTTGGTCGTGGATATTTGCACCCTATGTCTTGTTCAAGATTAGAAATATTAGAGATGTCCACTGCTGGCGTTTACAAACGACCCTTTGCATCGTTGCCGGGTAAGTTGGTGCCTTTCCCTAGAATTTTGGAACCATATTGCTCATTCCGATCTACCAGTTTAATTGCTCTGCCGATGTGGCTTGGGTCTCTATATTCACCAAACCTCGAATACAGTAAAATGAACATATATTGGGCACCGCCTTTATGGTATGTGACCGCAAATTTCATTTCACCCCTTTCCCCCCCTTTCTCCCCTTCTCAACCAACCGGTATCTTCTCTTCACTCCTTAACACGCTCCTGGCAAACATATATAGGTTCCTCCCTGGAATCATGATGATGGAAATCGCGACGCTGTTCTTTCCTTTCTACGAGGTCGTGTTTTCACAGAAATTACGATCCCGCACTGTTCATGCAATGGGCGCCATCGAAGAGTTTCGAAGATCCAGCTTCCCTTCCAAGAACAACAATCGCGACTATAGCATCGTAGCACTCGAGAAAGTTCTAAAGGGCGATTCGCCTTCCTTCCTCCACTTCGCCGCCACGCACGACTTCTCTGGTGAAAATATCATGTTCCTCAACCACGTTCGAGACTGGAAAGCAGCCTGGGCCCAGTCCCCAGCAAATCTGAAGTTCCAAAAGGCGAACGCAGAGGAGATAGAAAGCTACCGCCGTCATCTTTACAACGTCGCTCTCGAAATCTACGTAACGTACGTCCACCTGTTCGGAGCGCAGTTCCCTATCAACATCGAGTCAGAAATCTACCGTGACCTGAAAACAGTCTTCATGCCTGCCGCGATGACGCTCATGAGACTCCCGAAACGCAGACCCGGCCAACTCGGCGTCCCTGCAACCCCAACCGACATCGAAGCAACCGCAGACATCTTTCCCATCCACCAAGCACCGGAACCGGACTCTGATATAAGCTTGCGGAAGCGCACCCCAGCTCAGGAGTACGAAGATATCTTGTATCGCGGCCACCAGAACATTGTCAACATGGTCCCCCGTCTTCCTCCCGGTACAGTCATCCCGGATACATTTAACGAGTATGTGTATGACGCTGCAGCGGGTTCTGTCAAGGTGCTGATTCTTCGTAACACATGGCCCAAGTATGTTGATCACCAAGCTTCGATTCGGGAGCGGGAGGTTAAGAAGCATATATACGCGCGCTTCGTGGCGTTTTTCAGCCGCCAGAATCCCGTCGACGGCTGAAGGGGTAAGTATTTTCTTTTGGGTGTCTATGAACTTCAAACATGTTCCCGATTAAATGAGGTATCTTACGACGTTTTCTTTTATTCCCCTCCGATCAATGGTTGTTGTTATCGTTTCATGCTGGTTTATTGTTTCATTTGGTGGAATTTTATGGCGTATGTTAGCTGCTTGAAGGCATCAATGAACCGGATAGGCGTTTGTCAGGAAACATATCAAGGTGAATGAAATATGGGGTTGTCAATGATAATGGAATGGACGGCGGAAAGGAGTTAGTGGCTGGAAGGCGCACTTTTGGCTTGATATCTGGCGCCCTATTGATCTACAATGTATGGTGGCCTTGCTTTCTTTATTTTATTTTTTGTTTCTGGTCTTCGCTCTTCCCGCATCATCCTTCATAGAGCTTGGTGACTCCTAAATATCGGGATTGGGCTTTTTGTTATCTCTTTTTTACTTGTCTTGCCCTGTACACTTGTTGCCTAAACTGGAGGGATTCTAGTTGATGAGCATGGATTTGTGGCGGTAACTTTTAGATTTTGTTGCAGCGTCTGTGAACTGTGGGCCCCTAATGAGTACCTTCTCCTGTTCTAAAGAAAGCATATACTTCAGGAATGAGGTTAAAATATCATGTAGTTAGATTTGATTTAGATATCTAATTAATCAACGAGCCGGTGTGATTCGTTTCCTATGTAATTAAAATATGTGTACGACCGAGACTAATATGATCATACTTGGTGGGCTTTCATTGTTTATGTGATTTTGATTTTCGGACCCTAACTTATATACATAATTAAGGGTATGGATACACCTGGGAGCTATTCTTTGAGCGTTTCATGCTGTTTCCAGGGATATAGTTATTAAGTACCGGCGTTGTGAATGGAAGCCGGGATGTTAAAAAATCGACATATATTTTCCCGGGAATAGTTTGCGATATAAATGTTATATATAAGCAAAGGAAAGGAGTCTTCGAGCTTGCGTGGTTTATCCAGCCATCGACCCATCATTAAGATCCAAAGAATAGTCATAACATTGAACGGAAATATGAAATACGCACTTCCACCAAAGACCCGTCCAAAATCAATTCTTTATATTCTATACCTAAAACCTCGCGCATAGAGATCCGCAACCTCCTCCTCCCCTTCCTCCTCATATGAAGTTGAGTGTATTTTACCTTGCGTGCGACTCTCAGTTTCCACCACCACAGACATACGCTCTTTTTCATCACGCGTCGTATTCATCCATTTCAGATAAAACCTGAGGATAAGTGAGATTACCACAACCATTGAGTAGCAAATGAGGATAGCACGGAATGCTGTTGGGTAATGGGGAGCCTCTCTTGATATGAAGAATTGGGGACCGGCGCTGGAGGGGGGTATTTGGTTAGTGGAAAATAGAGGAGAAAGGGATATCGACCAAAGTCGGGAACGGATGCCTAGTCGTGTTTCCTTTTGTCTTTCTCTTGGGGAGGCAAACTTACATATTTCCCGCACAATAAGCTATGAATAAAATAGACGTCATGGTCATCATCTTGGTTGAGCCCTTATAGTTGACTGCTAAAAGAGACATGGCAAGGGGCAGTGCCGCGGGCCCTGGTGACATGAGATAGTATCCAAATAACTTGACGCCTTTGCTGACGCTTGAGTATATAATCGCGCTCCCGGCAACAGGAAACGCAACGATTCCACAGATGAGATACGTTGCCACATTATGGTATTTCCCGGAGAGCCAGCCACTGTTTTTCGGGAAGTATTAGACAACTAACTACAGGGGAGAGTAGGTTCGGAAGAGAGGATAGAAATAAGGGAAGATGGCTAGGCTTACGTTATTAGAACTGTAGAAATGGATATAATAGATGCTGGCGTGATAATTAGAGTGGTTTCTAGGGGGGTGAAAAGGACGAGATTGCCGAAGTTCTGAGTTCCACCATTGGGTATCTGTGACGCCCACGACTAATAGATATGTCTGATTATTCCATTGAGAAGGGCCATCATGTAATTTTGTGGACCACATACCTGAGTCAAGATCGAAACACTAAGAAATAGGTAAGTTTTGGGGTCCATGAGGCATTCAATCACTTGATCCAACTTCCACTCGTGTCGGGTCTTCCCCGTGCCAGCGAAAGCCACTCGCTCCTCCGCATGGACTTTTTCTCTTTGATTCAGAAAACTACAGGATGCAATTGTGTCCGGGAGGAGGAGCAACAAAACAAACCCCCAAAGAAAGGTGCCCACTCCTAGGACCTGAGATTAACGCCATTATTGTAGGGTCAGCGGTTAACTCGCACAACCTGGTACATAGTTCGATATGCCCGACATTGGAACGTACAATGAATAACCAATGCCACGGCGCAAGTGGCTCCTTGATATGCCCGATGCCATAAGCCAGGAAATTCGATAGCATCCCGCCGAGAGAGTTGCCTGAAAACCATACTCCACATTGCCCAGGGATCTCCTCACGCGTCCACCACATTGCAGTAATGTAGACGAATGCCGGGGAGATTGTTGCCTCTGCGACTCCCAGTAGGAACCGGACGGTGATTAGTCCGCCGAAGTTTGTGCATGCAGCGGTTAAGCCGACAACGGCGCCCCAGAAAAACGCATTCACAGATACATACTTGCCCACGGGCAGCTTTTGAATTAGGATGGACGTGGGAAAGGCCCATAATAGATATCCGAAGTAGAAGACGCTGGAGACCCAGCTGTATTGGGACCCGACAAGATGCTAACGCTGTCCGTTAAAGGAGTGAAAACCAGCTTTTGCACAGCCATGCCACGGATGTGGCGGGGATGCTCACAGTGTCTTCCCGCAACCCAAACACTGATGCACTAGACAAAATGGTTTTGTCCATAAAGTTGAAATTGTACGTCACGAACAGCAGCGGGAGGATTCGCCGGTCTATTTTGCGAATAACATCCTCGGCGAGTTGACGATCGAAACCAATATCACCATAATTCCCCGAACTTCCTGGCTCTAAGTTTGAGGAGCAGTCTTCCACTCCGGCGATATGTTAGATCTATCTTCAGTAGCTGCCATATTTGCTGAGAAGAGGCGTGGTTTCAAGGAGCTTCTAGGCATCATTTCGTAGGTAGTAGATTTATCTTGCAACAGAAACCACAGGTCGTGTTGAACGAATACTGCGCCTGTGACACTCTTCGCGTCCAGGTCTAGAACAGGAAAAGGGACAACAACGTAAGTTACTACACCAGTGAGTTGTCCTGGGAATGAAGAGGAGAAAAAATAAAGCCCCCAAGCCCTCTCATCCTCTGTTTCTGCATGTATCCGAAGTGTGAGAGGTTGCATGTCCCGCAACGCGGACTTCCCTAGAGGGAAAAAAGAACATCACGCCAATTTGAGCTCATCTAAGCCGCTGGATCGCGGATGTTCTGTGGTATTTAACTGGCGAGACTAGCCAACGAGGCTTGAGTTCCAGCTCGTTGATTGGGCGTCGGGGAGAATATCCAAGAATTTAGCATAATCGAGTCTGTAGATCATTCGCTTTCTGGGCGTTGGACTTCAGCAACCCGTACGGAGTATTGAGGCGGGTTTAAGATGCCCGCCCTTTTTCGGGATCTAACCAAGTTCATGTGCCTGCACGGCTTAAAACCAGTAAGTTGCAAAACAGCAGACGATCAAGATCCAAGGGCCCGCCTGCGTGGAATGAGTATTCATGCAATCGACATAAATATTTGTGTGAAGTTCGCCCTTCGAAAAGGATAAAATTGCTCTCTAATAATTATACCAACAAGTCAACAAGGTGATGAAGAATCAGCACAGGAAATTTAGGGGCGATCTTCCTTACGGCATCCTGGGAGACATCTTTCCTAGTCTAATTATCCGGATGGGAAAATTTATCCACAACAGGAAAACAAATGAGAAATGAGAAAGTAAAGGCAAGGAAATGAATACTCAAAGTCTCAAGACATTGGCAAACGCGCAGGAGGGCTTGCTCTGAATCTATTATATATATATTCTGTTGTTCTTTTGCCCTCCAAGCTATATTTCCAGCTGTTCTTAAGAACCTAGGGAACAAGAAAATCCGCAACATATGTTAAATTACAGAGCATAACAAAGGCATGAGCGAAAGTGGCCGTACCATAAGGCCATTAGAACGAGTCGCAAGGGGGAGGGCCCAACTGAAGCGGAACGATAGGATATCGGGGTGCTCCCAGGAGGTCGTCCTGGCGTATATCAAGGAATACGAATATACACACTCGACGGGAAAAGCAAACACTTCGGTTATAGGTAGAGGAAAAACGAAAGTAAATAGTAGTCCTTGGCCACGTAGTACGTGTATCCGAGAGGTTCTGCGCGCCAAAACCCGCTGGAGTTCTGTTTAGGTCTTTTGTATATAAAGCCCGAAAAAAGCATAAAAATAAAATAAAGACGAAATATCGTCATGGGCTTTCGTCATCATCGGATTTATAGTGGTCGTCGCTGTCATTGTCGAAAAATCCATGGGCTTCAAGCTTGGTACCTCTAATGCCGAAACTTAGCAGGAATCCGATGAACGCTACACCGCCGAAAACACCAAAGGCCATCGCTTCGCCTTTGGGTTTGATTCGGGTTGCGAGGGTGAAGAGGCTTCCGGATAGAAACGGTCCTACAGTCCGCCCTGCAGCGGATAGGGTCTGAGCAAGCCCATTTAGAGAGCCTAATACTTGGTTGTTTGGGACAGAGTTGGTGATCTACAGCATCCGGGGTGTATTATTAGTATTCCATCGCGTACGAAACATCTTGGCGTCTCTGAGAAAGATGGGAAATAGTAATGGGTTGTATTTGATCAAGAGGAAAAAATGAAAACGGCCAGAAGGTTGTAATGACTTACCAGTAGAAGAGCGCTTGTTAAGCCGCCGACGGTGGCTACAGTCTTCACAAGTAGAACTGTGCATAGCTCAATAGCGAGGAGGATGGAGCTCTTAGATACTTTCCCATCTACAACAGCACCATCTTTATACCCGACAAATGGCATCAGGACAAATGAAATAACAAATCCTAACAGACTGGCTCGATATGACCATTTATTGCCCATTTTACCCCGAAGTCTCCCAAATATGCAAATCTGGAACACAATCGTGACGATACCCGCAAACGCGAGCGAGAGTCCGATCTCGCTTGGCTTGAGTTGGCGACCCGTTGGTGGTGGCGCTTGAGCAAAGATGGGGTAAAGAGAGTTGAACGCCACATTCGTCAATGCAAATATCAAGTATGTAATAAGTAAGAGGATAGTATCTCTATTGAAAACTTCATCCCGTTCGAGCCCATTTGAAAGATTTGGTGAACGGAATAGCGGGGTGGTCGGACTCGCGGAGGACGAATAAATATCGGCATCAGTTTCTTCATCTGATACCGACGAATAGCTCTGCCGTGTTGCGCTGCGGCTGTGGTGACGCGGGCGGGATGACCGCAGGTATGTTGGTCTTGACGAGCTTGTGAATTGCCAGAGCCACGTGAACAACTCGCGGACCTTCTTCTCAAGTTTAGGAAGTGTAGTAGAATTTTCAAGACTTTCCTCCAGGAATATATATGCTAAGACGAAGTCTGCCGTTAAGATAGCGGCGGAGACCATGTTGGGAGTGAGATAAGGAAAATTTTTGTTCACTTGGCTGGCCTTTGAAACGAGGAGGCCACCAATTATCGGTCCAGTGATTCCTCCAAGTCCATAAATCACTGGGAGGTATGTAAACGCACGAGACTGGTTCGTCCGGTCTGTAATTTCGCCTAGGCAGGTTGCAACGACACCTTGGTTCCCATTGACGAGTCCCATCAAGGCCTGAACGACAATGGCTTGCCATAGCGTCCTGCAGAACCCAAAGGCTAGGAAACAACCAGCACTAAGAATTGTCCCCAATAAAATTACCGGTTTTCGGCCAATGCGATCTGATGCCCAGCCCCAGAAGAAGTTTGTCACAAACTGCGCAAGTGCAAACGCAGATGCGATTATACCCACATACATCCCTACTTGGCCATGGCTTACATTCGGAAATGAAGCTGCCATGTGCGGAAGGTAGGGGCTTATGGAGTTGAATGCGGTCTGCTCGCAGAGGGCAATAACCGCGAGAATTGTCATTTGTCTGGTAGGGAGCGGGGATTCGGGGATGAGAAACTCTGCTTCACCATTGGGACTAGATAAATTCGACTCGCTAGACAGTGGCCGCCCTCGGGATTTGGGCGGAGGAGTAGAGAATGTATGGTATATCTGTGCTGACGAGCGCCGGCGGTCCGGTGGCTTCGGAGTGGATGGCATGGCGTGATAGCGCTCAGCGACGCGGAGATGCCAAAGAATTGACCAGGCTGTAGGGAATTCTTTCTTTTCTCTCGGGCTCCTCTCAATGGCAGTCTCGTCTCTAGATCATCAGACCAGGGCCAGAGTTGAAATCAACGTTCCAGTATTCTTCCACAGCGCGCTCAGATATCCGGAGGGTTCGTGTGGGGGGGGTTGGTTCCCGAGGGTCAATCTGGGCCTGGAGGCACTCCGATTTGCAGTCTCATTTACATGGCCATGGCCTTATCCAAAGCGATTGATCGATTACAGCTTCACAAGCGCGGATAATACCTTCAATGGCGCATGGAACCAACCAACTTGCGATGGATGGCAGAGGTAGGTTCTCGGAGGTTCGGAGACTCGTCATCGGGGTGTGAGGTTTTCCGGATGCGCTAAAATGCTTAGTGAGCGGAGGTCTTATCTGATAAGATCTCCGAACCCAAAGAGGGAAAATGCGACTCCCACTGTGTAAAAGAGGGAATGAACCAGATGGTTATAGGAAAATTCATGACCAGAAGGGAATCTTCAGCTATACGGTAGGTTGCTTGTTGAATTCTTAGAATGTGATATTGAAAAGATGTCAGACAAGCTGCTTCTGCTGCAGTATTAGTCTGAAAAATCATCAACTTGCAGAGTTGTGAATGCCAGAGTCTGAAATAACATTTGTCACTATTAGAATAGTTATACTTCACTACGGAATTTAGGAGTTTGAGGTACTACGTGAATAACCTGTTGTTAATTTGACGCGGGACAAAAACGCATTGGAGAATGGAACAAAAATCGCTTGTCTATGGTTGCTACCGGCTGGACTAGAAGACATGAGAGCCGACTTATTAGCGCAATGAGACATGTTTCGGAATTTCGGCCTGCATTTTTCAACTTGGGAGAACGGTGCACAGGAGATACCGATCGTCCTGCTATCGGGAGATAAAAGCTGTCAAGGCGGAAACATCCTCTTTTGACGCTCAGAGGTAGGTAGACTTCGATTTAAGATACAGGAGATAGCTGTTGACGAAACCTAGTTTGGACTAGAAAATGTGGCAAATGCTGCTGTGGCAGCCATGCATTTTAATAAATCATGTAAGCATCGATAAGCAATTTCCGGTGGCGCAATGGGCTGCAAATATCCTGTGTCAGCAGCAGCAATATGCGCAGCAAGTGTCAGAGACACCTCGATCGTGATAAAATAGCTACGTTTTCATTATAGCTGGCTCGTAAGAACCGAAGCCAGTTTAATGGATCTGGATCTCGTTCTCAGCCCTACGGTGGCTTGACCTTGGGCGAACTTCCGGGAGTGCTAAAAGTTCTTTTTTTATCATGAAAATTTGTTGACAGCGACTCCGAAACTCCGGTTTGGTCTGCTGCCAACGCTGGGGATTATCACCAAATCCCCGCGACTCCTCCAACTCTGCCATTCGACATTTCACAACAATTGAGAGTTGCGGCCAATCAATCATGGATGTCGGTCCAGCATCTCCACCCAGAATTGCAGTGAATCCCCATCTAGGTTATGGGAAACGGACAATGGGCTCCATGTTACTGACATGCTTGCACAACTCCTTGACTACATGCTGCTACCGTTCTTCTGCTACCAAGTTTCACTTATATGAGGGAATTGAGAGCGAATACAATTGCTCAAGAATGCTCTGAGTATCATTTCAATGTCTCTTCATTCCAGCCACCGGTTTGACAGCGAGGCTATCGTGGAAATATGTGACGGTCCCTAATGCATGTTACATGCGCTGATCCCAATTGCTCAGGGCTTCTGCTAGCCCACAGGTAGTGGACTTATAAAGTGCATATGGCTTTCCCCGACTTCAATCGTCCCGTGCTGAAATTTGCTGATGCAGCGGGGAGTGTACCCGGGTCAACGGTTACTGGAATAGGATACAAGTCGGGCTAACCTCATCGCCGATAACTATAGTATATTTGTCAAGGCTTGCCACCCCCAAGTGCACTGACGCTATTTACAATCGGGAAGGGAAGAGGGCTTGGGAGTGGCTTTTCTAACCCTGACGAAAGGCACACTGCCTGGTATCAAAAGTTTACACTGGATGCTGGTTCGGTTGTTATATATTGAGGGCTCTCTGGGTGTTTCGTTCTATATATTCCCTTGATTCGGTTACCGCAAAGGCATAAGAATCAAATGCGATATCTATCTTCTCAGTGTGCATTTTTCACGTTATTCGGTATTACCAATTTGCGTCCAGCTTTATTTGGCCGATATATCCTTTTGGCATCTCGATAAGCTTATACCCTCGAGATGCAGCAAGATAAAAGGGAGCTTATCAATGCTTTGCGCGCTCATCGTATCAATACAATCACCGAATTGCGCACAGCGGAGAGGACTCTCATGCAATATGCCCTTACGGAAGTTACGGAACCACTGTCACAGGCCTGGATATACTATGTCAACTCAAACAACCTCCTCTGCGAGTTGAGAGCCCTTACCAGAAACTATCCCTTTAGTTCCGAATGTCTCGACGACGCCAAAGCCCTAACCGTTAGCGACCCCAAAAGCGCGCGGAGCTGGAACTACTGCTGGCTTGTGCTCTCTAAAATGCTGGAACAGTAAGTCACGTCCACCAGTAACATTTTCCCCTTTCCAAGGAAAGAATTAGGGCTGATGGTTTGGAGAGCGGAAAGGCAATTAATTCCCAAGCACGCTAGGGATATTGCAGCAAATCCAGTGATGTGGGGAGGACGAGCTCCAGCCCTGACGGAGGCCGAGCAGCTTTCAGATGCGTGCACCGCGGAGTGGACCATGGTTGCTCAGCAAATGCTACGGCACTGGGAACGACCCCCTATCAAGTCGGATGAATAAATTACCCGGGAGAACAACGGCTGATAGATCCAAATAGGCGTACCGCATCTAAGCCCTATCTTCAGCCTTTACAGCCCCCAAGATGAAATGTTCTTTTTTTGTATCGATATCCATTGTACACTACTTAGATCGTGTTAGTGTTTATATTGCCCGCGTCTAGAATGGTTTGTCGAGTGCGATAGATTTCATTGAGTTTGCTTGGAACCTCTAAAACCGCTAGCACATATTGAATTCTTTCAATAAATAGTAAAAAATTCTCTCCCTATAGATGCCAATGTCTTAAAGTTACAAACTGAATGCAGGTAACTCTACAAACGCAAGCTATATATATCCTTAATTTTCGGGCACAGGTTGTGCAATATGCCCGATGAGACCAATAAACATCAAAAGCATATTGAATTGCATTTCTTGCCGTTCTTCCTCTCCTAAATTTCTTTGTTCCCCTACTATGACATCATTGCCTCCGGCCTACTGGTGAGAATAGACAAAATAGGGAGTTGCTCTCGTCTACCAACCCGGGGTGTAGTCGATCTATCCATTATGCGTAAAATTGCATTGCTCTTCTGTACTAGACTGCATTGTTGTCCGCAAAATCTGCCGATTTTCTTCACGATCCTCGTTGTAAATTTTCAAACCATACACGTGGAGAAAAAGGAATTCATTTTTGAAATCTATCCGTGCTATATTTTCTTCTCAAGAGGCGGACCACGCGGCATTGATCATGTAATCCACTTCTCCCTTGAGGGAGGCGGGGCCATACAAGGGGCTACATTGTTTCATTGGGAAGAATCGTTTCGTCTTATTGAAGTATGCGATACGGCAACTCAGTGTGTCTTTGATCGAACTTAATGAAGCTGAGTTCGTTTCCTCGCCCCTAATGAGGTTGCGGGCTTCAAACAGTGGATTTCATAGGATATTGCAGATGGGGGAAGGATAATGAAGGGAGTTTTTCAGGTAATGTAGAACGGCTCTCGAACCTGGGCCGGTTTGGTTCGGTGAGCACTTCGTTACGACCAACAATAGGGATAGGATGCTTTAACATTCCATGGGCATCACTTAGCTCTCTTTGAATAGATTCCGAGAACCATGCTCGGTCCCTGGCGACGCCGTACTGGTCATTGGGATGGGGCACCTTGGCCGGTGCATCCTGACAAACATATGTACTGTACGGAGTACATACATTCCATACATACTTACTGAACATTCGAGACGCTGGAGAACGCCCAGTCTGGACAACACAGCGCTTTTTTGCTTGAGTCGGTCCCATCGTTGCAGTATTGGAATTCATTCATTTGAAAGCCCTGCTAGGCAAGCGCAGGGGGTTAATTTAAGGTTGTGGAGCCTGCCAATAAACTTTAAGGTTAAAATCCAATGACCATCTTGGTGCCCCGAATTGGAATATTAAAATCGGATTCATCTAGTAACGAAAACGTGTCTGCAACCTTGATATTGCTTTTTAGTTGTCAAGGGCTCCCTACCAAAGTACGGGCTCAACGTTGATCCCACACGCCTAGATACGGCGCCCTTTTTGCAATTGGGACTGTTACCCTTGTATGTGGCGCCCATGGCCGTTTTATTTAATGGCGTTGTATTGAGAAGTAAGAATACTAGGTTCGACTAGTCAAGAATATGGTATGGAAGAGCTGAGAAAAGTTGACCAGATAATTTATTAAATAGGCACCATGAATTCGATGCTTAATTGATGGAATGTGATTAAAAAATAGTATTCACAAAATACCGAATCGACAGATTTAAAAAGGAAGAATATTGAAATATTTGCCATTAGATGTCGGATGCTCCTGAAAAGGCATCGCAAGTAAGATACATAATCGGCAAAAAGTTTACTTCATTAGAAGCCCAACTGCCCAAGGAACGCTCAACCCCCTTAGATCACCATAATGTTGGCCAACGCCTAGGAAAACAATCGGGATTCCGGTGGCATGAACCATACTGACAAGCGTGCCAACCATGTCACCCACCGTATCACATTTGCTGATGATGAATCCATCAAGTCCTCTTCCAGCGCCAAAGGCCTGGTTGAAGTTCCGAGCTTGCATGACACTGTCTGTACCGACAAGAGCTTCGCCCACCATGAAGATCTTATCAGGTTGCGCAAACTTCGCGAACTTCTCTAAAGAAGACATGAGACGCTGGTCGTTGTGTCGACGGCCGGCTGTATCGATGAGGATAACGTCAAAGTTATTCGCTGCGCCGTAGCTTACTGCATCCTTGGCTACGTTTGCTGCATCCTTACCGTAACCCTTTTCATATAGCTCCACATGCCCAACGTTCTCCCGAGCGCTTAATTCTTTTAGGTTGCGGGCATGCACGCGAAGCTGTTCGACTGCACCGGAACGGAACGTGTCGCAAGCCGCGATAAGGACACGGTAGTTGTTCTGTAGCAGGAAGAAGCAGATTTTACTAAGATTAGTGGATTTTCCAACGCCGTTTACCCCGACAATTGAAATGACGTATGGGCGGCGTTGTTTCTGTGTGCTTGAAGGCGATGTGACGGCTTCGATCTCCCGCAAAAGATCCAACGACGATGTGGGCGTGAGGATTTTCCGAAGCGATGACTCCATTGCAGTTCGAAGAGCGGAATCAATACTTTGAAAGTTTCCAGTCTTTTTCCCGGTCAGCTCCTTCTCGACGCCATCACATAGGCGAATAGCCGCTTCGCGGGCAACATTTTTTTTCAATAACTGCTCCTCCATTGCCTTGAGGGGCTTTTCCAGGTCTGCCTTGGTCAAGACTTTGCCGCCAACAATATTTCGGAACAGGCCACTAATAGCGCCCAAACTGGAGCCTACAACACCATTGGTCGGGCTGGCCCTGTCTTTAGCAGCATCTGCATTTTGTAGAATGGAGTGGACTTCATCACCCAAATCCTTCAACACAAATTCGCCCTTTTTAGTCTTTGTTCCCCACGATGCCTGGTCAACTGCCTCTACCGGCGCAGATGGTTCCTCCGATTCGGAACCATTCACGTTGGAAGCGGAATAATCCAGAATTTGGCCATCATCCTCGTCCGCAAAGCCTTCCGCGTCCCATTTGCGCATCTTCTTCGCCGCCGACTTCAAATTCTTTGCTTTCTTAATAGTATCCTCACCCGACGAAATATTTGCATTTGAATTTGCAGCTTTGCGTGCGCGTCGTGAGGTACGACCACCTGGACCAGATTTCGCAGTAAGGATGTGGCTGGGCGTAGCTGGTCTCGACGGGTTTGGAGTCTGGGAAGGCGAACTCTCATTCGAGTTCGCCGCGGCCCGCGCAGCGTGGTGCTGCGCTGTTAAAAGTTAGCATGTCGAAAACCCAACGGTAGCGTTGGAGAAAGCTTACCAAGGAGAAGGCCAGGGACTGGAGGGGGAGGTGGGCCTCCGTTATCTGCATCAACAAGTGTATCCTTCTTATCATCAGCCAACAGAGGGGGCCGACTCTCAACTGCTGTTCCTGCAGCAGATTCTAATTCCTTTACTTGTTGATCGAAGTACTTGTCAAACGGGTACTCGACAATCCTGGAATTTGGCTGCTTGAGCTGCTCCTTATACATCTCCACAAAGATCGTTTTGATATTCTCCAGCAGTTCATCAATCCAGGTCAAATGGAGCAGAGACTGGTAAACGGCCTAGGACCAAATCCATCAAACCCCATATTAGCTGTTGCCCAGAGTATAATTGAAAAATGTATAGATGCCATGCACAAACCACGAATATCAAGCCAAGATCCTTTGCCTGTTTCCATTTCAATGTATATTTTTCCTTCTTGTATCTCGGAGCTACTATACCGGAGCCGGCCTCCTGTTGGAGTCTCTCCTCAATAAACACATCGTTGATCAAGCTATTTATGATCTGGACTCCCACCGGAGCATACGATCTTGACCATAGGACCACACCGGAGGTGGTTATGATTTCGAACGAGTCAAGCATGGTGGCTCCCCGCAAATCGACAGTAAGTAACGAGCGTAAAAGAAATATTCTCTCGAAAACAACAAGCAACAATCAACGGTTGACTCTGCTAATTCTCTTAGTTAGTTATATGCCGGGTTTTCGCTCGGATGAGGAAAGCACAGATTGCGGCAGACCAGAACGCCGCAAGCGCACGGACGGAGATTACGTCAGCGAGAACAGACCACATCAAGCATTTTTGGCGGTTGACGGCAATATACCAGACGGTATATCGACATATCACATATCCTAACATCACCCCTCTCGACAACACTTACACCAAATGCTTGCGTTCCATACTATATCGTACTACACCCAAGCTGCCTCCCTAATCCCGGACCCCTCATTGACAATTCCAACCAACTGTCGGTACCGCTAACTTGTTCGGGATACTGTTGCCTTTCAATGCGAAATCCCACCAAGCTCTCGATCCCACTATGCAACGCACTCCTTTTGCTCCTGCGCCTGCTCAGTCTCCGCCTCTCCATCATCCAGTTCCCCAACATGTGTCTACAGTCCCGATGATGCGGTCACCTCCTCCTCCAGCTCCACAGCATTCCCAGCCGTCTGGTTATGGTAACCCATACCAGCCTGCCCCTGCGCAGGGGGGCAGTGGCACATTTGCACCTGGCTTCGGCGGGTTCATCTCTGATCCCACAGCGCAGATGGGTTTCCAGGTGGGCAAGAGCGCTGTTATGGCAGGGCAGGAATATGTGGAACAAAATGTAGGGTCATTCTACTAAGAGATCATTAAGCTCAGACCTCCGTCCCCACTCCTTTTATATTTTATGCACGTCTTGTCCTAACTACCCAATTTAATAGTTAAACCGCTATGTCTCTATTCCAGCCTTAAAACACTACTTCAACGTTTCGAACTCATATGTACTCAATAAAATCACCCTCGTCCTTTTCCCATGGCGACACAAACCCTGGTCCCGCCAACAAGCACGCTTAAATCCAGTAACGCCGAGTGTAAATGGCCAAATCACACAAGCACAGTACACCTCAATATACCTTCCTCCTCGAGACGATATCAATTCGCCAGATATGTACATTCCCGCTATGGCGTTGTTGACCTACATTATTTTGTCGACAGCTCTGGCAGGTCTGCGGGGCGTATTTCACCCTGAGCTGTTAGGATCTATTACCACGACTGCCCTTGCAGTAGTTATTTTCGAAATCCTCTGTCTGAAGATTGCGATGTACATTCTCAGCATTAGCAATGATTCACAACTCCTGGACCTGGTCGCGTATTCTGGCTATAAATTTGTGGGCATCATTGTTACTCTTGTCTCGTCAGAAGTTCTCACACCAGGACAAGGTACCCGTAGCTGGGTTGGCTGGACCGTATTTACCTATACTTTCCTTGCTAATGCCTTCTTCCTAGTAAGTTTCCATGTTTAGCTTTACTTTTGCTACGTTATCCGTTTCCATGCTCATCCTAACACCCTAAACAGCTCCGATCTCTTAAATACGTTCTTCTACCGGATTCCTCCAGCGACTCCCCGATGCGAGGAGGCACTATGCCCACCGTTGCACGCTCGCAGCGCAATCGACGCACGCAATTCTTATTCATCTACTCGTACATCGTCCAACTTATTTTCATGTGGATCCTCGGTCGAGCAGATCCTGTGGCGTCGGCTGTGGTGTCTAAAGTCGGAGGGACTAACAAGCCGTCTTAAGAATATCCGTATCTCTAGCCATGCCCTGCTCATGTGCTCTTTGTTAATATCTTATGCATTGAACAGCATAGGACAGCGAGAAAATCGAATATCAAGGGAATCTCTTCTCGCCTCCTCCCAGCGGTTAGCCACGTGCGTTTTTTATATTCTCCTTCCATCTTTGGGAACAATATCTGGTTAATGAGCGCTTTTTTGCCTTTTTCTTCTTGTTATTTATATCAACTTCATTTTGTACCCCCTTTGTTTGCGTTTAGTGTTCTTTCATACTTGGCTATTCCTACCTACTCTGGGTTTCTCACTATTATGAAATCGTGAGTTTTCTTTGTTGACCTATATACTTTATATATCTTCGTCCAGGCTGGGAGTTTGCGGGTGGCGTTTTTCTCATACAAGAAATCAAAATGCGAATCGCGGTAAACTTAATGATTTGAGGGTTCTTATTTTCTCCTATTCTCCTTTACTTTTACTTTTTACTTTTTACTTTTTACTTTTTTATTTTTTATTTCTTATCATTGACCAGTATGTAGGCGAAGATATCCAATGGAAAAATTCCTGCTTATCCCCAACATAATTCCAACAGCAAGGTTTCGCACGTTACCTGGGCTAGCTAGGAGTTTTTTGTTAAAAATCACCAAACAACCAAACAGAATCAGATAATGAACATGGGTTACCCATAAAGCACCCTAAGTAAAAAACAAAAATGAACTGAAAATAGGAAGACAGCTTTAAAATTATAGAAATGAAACGCAAAGTATCCTCATGCGCACAAGCTGGCAGCACCCCTGCAATGGCTGCATGGGCAAACGGCTATAACGCGACTTGATTGTGGGTTGTCAGATATGCCAGCTTCGCATAGTCTTCAGATAATCCTCCACCATAGAATAAGAAGTAACAAATAAGTAATATAGATCGATGATTGCAAGAAAATAAAGAAGGGAAGGTTAGGATCAGCCACGCAGCTTCCCAAGTGTCAAACATTCCGACCCATCCCCAAGTCGGTGACCTGTGGACAGGCCATAGATGGCCTCTGGCATCGGACAGGCTCTGCGAACATATACCCCATTATGTCGAAAAGTCAATTGGGTTCCTACCAAATCTCAAGTGGTAGTGATTGTTAACCTCTGCGAGAATGCGTCTAGTTAGATGCAGACAGTATTTAACGGCCCACCTCCGGATATCGGGGTATGGAACTGTGCGAATACGCTCCCGCACCAGATATTCCTCTAGATACTCCACGGCATCATCCAGATCATCAGATGTGTAAATATCCTGGTGAGCATCCAAAAAGTAAACCTGGCAACAGAATATGTAGTTCCATGGCGGAGCGAGGACAGTAAGCCCTCCCCTATGGTAAATCACATGAAACTAGAGGATTGAGTCGTCCGTCAAGCGTTCGCCCAGCCGTTGCGGGAACTGCAAATCTGATAGGACGTTGGAATCACAAAGGCCCTGCCTCAGTATGGCTTCGTCAACGGCATCGCTAAGGACGTTAGTCTCTTCCCTTGTGAGCCGGTAGTTGAAAAAGGCTATGTCATCGGAGCAACGCAGGATATCAAGATGAACCATATCCACGACATCTGCACAGGGCTATTATGGTAATATGTGCGCCTTGTTGATAAAGATATTCGGCGACGATGCGAAGGGAGCATAGCAGCATTTCTTTTGAGAAACATAATTCGTCTCGGATATCGCTTGCCGCCAATGAATCGGACGGCCTTGATGAATTCCGCCGCGAAAAGAGCCTGGCGGTTGGCGTGAAAGGACTGTATGGAAGAGGGCGAGGATCCGACGTGGAATAAGGCGGTGGAGGCTGGCTGGATCGGTATGCGGCTGAACGAGACAGCCTCCGCGGCGACAACGTACATCCCATGATCATAATTTAGGAGTCAATTAAACCTTTCTTTCAAGCTGTTCTGGAGCCTTACGTCCCCATGGCATGGCAACTGGGCATTCTAATTTCCGTTAAATATGGACATCTGGGAAGACTCTATACCTGCTGATACATATTTCGATACTCATGTCCCTCCAAAGGAATATTTGGACCTGAACTCACCTGGCCTATTGGTTCCTCCTGAGAGAGCTATTGCAGATCAAAGGAAGCCTAGACTAGTTACATGTCCTTGTCCACATCCATGCTGCATATTTATGGTGTCAGTGCGTTTTGACAAGATTCGGAGAACATTTGATGGCATTTCATTGGACAATCGGAAAGCCCTGCAATTGCTCTCTTTGCTCTATCAGATTTGCTGCTTGGTGGTGGGTTCTAATAGAATTGTGCGTTAAACTTGGGTTGTGAATGTCTCAACCGCTGGAAGGTTTGGAGACGATGATAGGAGAAAGTATTGCAACCTTCCGAACGGCGATGTTCCGTGAAATCCGTTCAGTTCCAATTTGATAACCTGTGGTTTACAGCAAGCAGTGAAAGGACTTGACGCCGCGTCATTGGCGATATATAAAGGGGTGTGTATCTCGGTAAAGTTTTGAAAATAAACAACTTCACCCCAGTAAATTTTCTTTGCAGGAAGCCGAGCGGGGAGATCCGTGCTTTAGCAATAATGACATCGTGGATACCAGCAATGGCAACTTTACGTCGATGACACCGATCAAGTCAGTTTGCCGCTGCTTGGATTTCGAAGGGCGAGTTGCACTGACCCAATCACCAGCATGGACCAAAATGTCGCCGTCAGAAATGACGATCTGGCTAAATATCACAAACGACACAAAACAAACGGCTTTTGGCAGCGAAACGATTAAACCTCTAAGTGCAGTCTGCAGTATGATTTCACTTGTTGATAATAGGTGGCATTAGACACTAGCGGAGAGTAGTAGATCAATATGTGTCAATGAAGAAAGCTCACGCTCCGTCACCAAGAGCGTTGTGCGGGCCTTCAAACCGGAGACTACTGCCTGATATATTTCCCGTGAATGTATGTACGTGCAACTTGGTTCATCTCCATGTCTGCTTCTCCATGGCTGCGTATCCAATTTATATCTCCCATTATCGGGCAATGAGGGTTGAAAGTTGAAATGTTTCCTATAGGCAAGGGACGGTGTGTGGTCAAGAGGGTACTTGATATAAGTCTCCTAATTCATTTCTTGTGGATTTGACAACTCAGGAGGAATTATCAGATCCATTAAGATCCACCAGTTAACATGCGAAGTGTATATATCATGTAGTATGAAGAAAGAAAGTAAATGATAACACCAAATCCAGGTGAAAAGACCGGCGCTCTATTTCAATTCCAAACCAACGTGTCCAGCAACGTTTTAGCTCCATTCCAGGCATAGATATATAAACAAAGCATCCATTTATTCCAGAATGTATGGTTGACTCCTTAACGAACACCCCTCACGCTATTCAAAATGAGAAATTATACCATTCCAGTTTACCTCCCTGAGTATCTTATTGAAACAAAAGCTCTATAACCAAAAAAAAAAAAAAAAAAAAAAAAAAAAATCAACAGCAAAGATATAAACAGAGCAATAGACAAGGACCAAAAAAAAGGCCAAGAAAAAGAAAAGAAGATAGAAGATAGAGAGAGGGAGCAGACGGAAATAGTTACGGAAACCAGTCACAAGGTACTTGTCGCATATCGATCAACAAGTCCATTATCATAATACCACGACAAATTTGCTGCCGGCAACGCATGGGCATAGTGATGCATCTCTGCCGGGGGTGGTAGTGTATGCGATGCCATCTGTGACCAAGCGTATGGGTCCATTACCATTTCTGGGCTGCAGGTGCTTGTGGTAACGGGAGGTCCAGCTAGTATATTACCAAGTTGTTCGCTCGCAAGGACAGCCCCTGTCATCATCCCTGTGCTCGCCGCCGGTACCCAAGTTGTTGCTTGTTGCGCCCTTCGCTGATGTTGTTGTTGCTGTTGATGCTGTTCTTGCTGATGCTGGATAGGGGCTGAGATGTTCGAGTAGATATCGTGCTCAGGGTCGCCGAAAGTAGCATCCCTTTGCAACTTTTGATGCAATGATCTCAGTATTTGCGAACCTTTTGCAGCAATTGGTGAATGATGTGCCATCTCATTCAGAAAATTCAACCCCTCCAAGAATGCAGCATTGGTAGGACCTTCGAGTTCAGAGTTTTCCGTAAAGGTTTGGACACCCTGGCGCGACAAGCGGATGTATGCTCTTCTATTCCTTCGAAGGCCCCTGACACACAGACTAAGGACGACGGATGCTTCCAATGCTACAAGACTGAGCAAAAAATACTTTTTGCAGCCACCAAGTAGCATCTCTGCAAATCGCATGGTTGATTGGATAGTATCCATGGTGCATTCAATGAGTTTCTTTTGAAGTTTGAAAGCTGCCTTTTGCTCTTTCACAGACGATAGGTTGGTGAAGTTTGGTTCATGCTGCATTCCAGTGTAGGGACGATGAACTGTAGTGAGAGTGCCAAGGATTGCTATGCGGAGCCCTACGCGTTTTAAGGGGATACTGGGAAGGATGTTGTCAAACTGTCCATCATAATCTGAGAGGCTATATGGCAGAGGAAGTGTAGCTATGATTTCAGTTTCAATACTTTCAGCAATGGCTGATGCTGAAGCAGGGCTTGGGACCCTAGGCTGTTCTTCTGGTGTTTTCCGAGAACTGAGCATTATCATTAGCCGCATTTGAATAATTCTATTGGTGAACGGGGTGGGGGCGCCAGGCACTGATGGTGCTGCAGGCAGCGCGTCCCGAGGAAGTTTGATGCAACAATATGTCTCAGGGATGAGCGGCCAATGCCCTTGGAGTATTGACATCCATCTACAGATGGAATAATTAGCTTAATATCAGATTAAAGGCTAGAGTTTTATATGAAATTGGGGCACACTGTTCATACCTATCCCACATGTAGATAGTACCGAAAATTCGCTTTCTCATTTCCATTTCAAAGTCTGAAACTTTTATCCTTGGATGCTCCAAGTGTAGCTCTAGAATGTGTGCCTCTTTGATGATATCTGCAAGGACAATCCAGGTTTCTCTGAACTTTGACTCATTTGTGAGATATGACGCGTAGTGGAACATATGTTGTATTGTTGTTAAGGAACTGTATCTTGGCCGAAAGGAATCGAGAATGCTAGCTGCATTTTGGCACCGGGTTTCCAGCTCGTTCAAGCTGCATTGTATTGCCCTTTCATGAGGGTAATTTGGATGAGGGAGAAGCTGTATACTGCACAGGCAAAGCCTGAGGACCAGGATCCCAAACTGAATGTCTTCACTTTCTTGGTAGGCCTGCTGTAGCCACCAAGAAGTGTACCGTTCCATAAAAGTTGGAGGATAAATCATTTCATATATCCAATTTATCTCTTGCAGAAAGTACTGAATAAGGAAGTCAACAACCTTCCTGTCTGGGAACAATTCAAGAACAGCCTCTTGACTACGCCGTGGATCATTAGGCGTGTTGTTTCTGCCAGGAGGGGGATAGAAAAAGCCGTCCAGAGGCCTGCAATAGTTTACTCAGTCAGCCACTTGAAAGGTCAAAGTGCAACATAAGAATAAACTGGACCACATACGGTGTTCCCAAAACCTCCTTGGCTAAACTGCTAGCACTTCCAGCCACGTAGCCCAAACTCTCTAGGATTTCCGAGTCAGTCTGCTCAGCATATTCATCTGCATCTATGTTAGAAAAACTATGTCCAGAGGCCCAAATAGGACGAAACGAACCACTGTTTGACGAACTTGGAGGTGAGATCTCCACAGGACTTCTATTCATGGATGAAGTGCATCTCTTGATAGTATGGTCATAGCGACAAAGATGAGCTCTGGAGCCAGCGCAGTTATTGCAAGGCCAATTTCTGTTGCACTGGGAATTGGTGAGTGCTGTTCAGGCGATTTGCGATATAAAAACTAGTTGTATCTTGAGTATGCACATACTTTTTGCTTTCGTCGACTGCATTCTGAACACGAGCGTACTAGCCTTCTCCGACTGCCTTTCCGCGCAGGGGTCTCGGGAATCTGGGATCTTCGCATCCTGACGCTCACGGTGCCTGTAGATGTCTTCAGGGAAGCAGCAGGAATCGCCATTTAAATAAAAGAAGTTTGGAAGATATAAGCACATAAGGATAAGACATGCCCCCGTTTCCCATTTTAAATATCATGATCTAGGGCTGCCAAAACAATCTGCAGCGTAAGGGTTTTGCTTAATAGCCCTGTTTCCAACCGGAAGTAGCCAAACTGGTAGCATCACTAAAAATATCGCCCAAGCAGTTAGCTTTTTAGCCTCTAGTTCGCCAGTTGCTTGGCAAATTAGAGCTGGGACCCCTGGACAAACAAGCCCCCTAGTGTTATTTAGAGAGAAACAGCGGTGCGGGCACTTGGGCGATAGTAGTCTTCCGCTGCGCCGAAAGTGTACGGGCGAGGGCGTGTAGGGCTCTTTGAAAGTCAGGGACTAAAGCCAAGTAAGCCCAGTGAGATGCGGGAAAAGCCCTATATTTTTCATTCATATTGATTTGATAAAAGCACGGCGATCTTCGATGTGGAAATCTTTCATGATGAGTTGTATCCAACGGAAAAAAACCGAGTGCGTCCTTGGGAATTATCAGCCACGAAGCCACGATCGGATCCTGCAGGCTTTTCTTAAAATGGGATTCCAGGCTAACTGGAGGCCAAATGTGCACGACGCATCGACCCGACACAACTATGGTTTTGGTTGGACGTTAGATAATGCGGAGAGACCTACGGAGTACCTATTTTCTGGATTACAGTCAGTTAGGAATAAATGTCATTTTGCTCAAGTGTTGAACCAATAGGGGAACCAATGTTGTGCGCTTGGGTCTCTTTCCACATCATTTTATAATAATAGCTCAATCAGCGACCGCACGGACGCGAAACATTACGTGGAATAACCATGTTTTCTTCCAAGGGGATAATAAATTCCCCTTTTGAGACCCCGACCACTCAACTGTTTCAAACAATTTGCGCGTTCTAATGTGGCATCAATGATGATGAAGCTGAGGTAAAAGGAATGCTATATGTCAGGAGCATCCGTCCATGCGATCCAAGGCTTAGCTATTATTTGGCAAACGACGATGCGCATCAGATGCTCGAGGCATCGAACAGGCTCTGCTAGATCTCTAGCTGGCACCACTCCCTGGAAAGGTGGAGGAAGATGGCTAGGCTTCTTGAGCTTGGGAACATGGGATCATTCGAGAAGCGTCCTGGACAACCCCACTAGTAACTAGCATCTAGTTTCTCGATAAGGCCTTGATTAATCGGCCGATCATCAAGGTGAGGAGTCTCGGAAACTTGTCACGTAGACGAAAACCCGCAAGGAAAGGCGCCGATCAATGTACTGTAACTACTGTAGTTACATGTACGTTAGTTAAATCCGTCTATCCTATCGGTGAAAGCCGCCTGCCTGTCATGTAACTTCGGTACTTCGGTTGATAACAAGAGGTGATTAAATTGTCAGCCCTCAAGGCCCAAGTTCCTGATAGCCAGACAGATAGCTTTCAGGAAGGCACGAAGTCATATGGCGTAGATCAAATAAACTTGTTAACCCCCCCGAGGTAGATCACATCGACGTTGCGTTGCAGGGCCGGACGTACGCAGTTAACGCTTATCGCGTGGGCCAGTGGAATCCAACAAGCGTCTTACCGAGATGCCTCCCACACAGAGGTAGTTAGTTAGTTACTTAGTAACTTAGTAAGTTGCGTCACCTTCCAGGCAGCATTCATGTTTGTCAATTTTTTTTTTTTTTTTTTCTAGCTTGAAGTAGCGACGAAGCCACATAGTTCTAATAATGAGAGCGGATGTGCTTCGATCCGGTGAAGGCTTAGAATTTGGATGCCAAGGGGAGAAGGAAAAAAAAAAAACAAAAAAAAAAGAAAGGGTTCTTGTAGTTGGAATCTGATCAAACAGCGTCCTGATCTAGCAGCGTTACGGAGTACAAGGGTAACAATATCCTAATACTGCTGGGAGTTCACTGGTGCCGATCGCACCGTAAAAACCCCACTTTTTGAAGGCTTCATACCATACGCAGCGTACGGAGTAGTTGTGACAGAACAGTTTTCATTATTCTCTTTGAACGACGATGGTGTGGTGTGTCTCCGTGGAAGGAAGCAGGCCGAGTCCAGGCCAAAATTATATCGGTCGTTGGTCATGGTTTGGGGAGTGAGTTGAGGAAGCCAAAGGGAAACGCCAGTGGTCATCTCCAGGTTAACATACATACTTGGAGGCAGCTTTGGTTTCCACTCGGGATTTGTTCATTGTTGACAGTAAAAAAGAAATAGAGTTTCTTCGGGACTCCGTATTATTATTATTATTTGCTTCGACCATGCATGAGGCCGAGCGCAACAAGTTATGTGTGAGAAATTGGGGGTTGTGTGGCGGGGGACTCCGACCGATACTGAACACATAACCAGGATTCCCGGGAGGAAAACAATGGCGCAAATGATCAATCACACTACGCAGTACGCAGTACGCTGCGTTATGGAGATATGTTGTGTTACATGCAAGGGTTGACGCGGTCGACTTACTTGCGTAAGTTAGGCCAAAGGCTGCTGTCCCGCTGATTAAAAGAATGAAAATAAGCCCCAAAAAAGAAAACAAAAAGAATAGTTCTAGCGTATTCTTTGGTGTGAGTCGTTTTAGCCTCTTATTATTATTATTCCAGAGGATTTTGTTTCCAACCCTACCCTACCCCTACCACGGAACCCTCCCGCCGAAGATATTCACATAGAACACCCCTGCAAGTCTCCTAGTTCTACAAATCAGCACCACTACTATGCCTATGCGATACTTGTCACGCGTTGAAGCAGTGATGGTATCGTTCCTGGCTTCTGTTCCGCGCCTATGATGATGGCGCGGACTTTTGATGGCTTCCAGAGGTCCAGTAAGGGCCCATATAAACTTCCCCCTCGTTGGAAGCAAGCGGAAAACCTTCACCCCCCCCTCCCCCCCCAGTGTTAAAATAGAGCGTTAGACCAACCTATGAGAACTTTAGGTGAGATGGGGCGTCGACGCTCTTGCAAGATCAGCATCTTAGTGAAAGATCGTCCCTCCCAGCGGTGCGAAGCCCCATCTCTTGCTTTGTTTCTTCTTCTTGTTGACCAATAAAATAATACGATGAAATAAAATAAGAAAAACGAAAAAGAAAGAACAAAAGTGTGAAAATGAAAAGAAAGGACAGGAAAGTGAGGTTACTGATCCATTGGTGATTCAAGCGTGGCGTTCAGTCCCCCTTATTCATCATGCTAGAGTCGTCTTTTCCCGCTGGCTGGCTGGAGAGAGAGGGAGACACGAAGAAGGCATCCATGAGTAACGTAGTGGTAACTAGTAGTGGTGATTTACGGTGAGTCGCCCACTTAGCCACCTCGCCGCTTACCTACCGCTGTTTCCAATACGGATTCCATAGATGGCAATGCAAAAGGGGATGGAACTGGGAATCCACAATCCACAATGCGTGGAACACGACTCCTTGAAGCAATCGGAAGCTCGCGCGCGCCTGGCTTTAGGGCAAAATACTGTGTCATATTCTTGAACACGATGCGAGAATGCGATGGAAGCCCCATTCTTCCGTCCTCGATACTGCGTGCAATAATGGTGGCAGATGGTGGCAGATGGTGGGGTTTGGCAGGCCGCCACATTGGCAAACACATTAGTTAGGGCCTGGATGGAAAAGGCGTCAGTGGCAGATTTGCATAGCAGATCATTTCAGTGATCAAAACCGGAAATTCAATTCTGATTTCTGGCCGAATGGTACAATATTCCACAAACGGCTGTGCTTCGGCCCGTTCGTCGATGCAAGTCTCTCCACTAGTTATCCGTGCCGACAGAAGAACAAAATATACCTTTTCCCAAGAGTTGAAACAACAAGTCATGGTAAACTTTGGACGCTGTGAAGGACGCGCGTGGAGGCGCAGTTGAAGCATACATAGCTGGAAGTCTTTTTAAGCCTTGCTTATTGTTGATGGGAGATTTTTGAGGCGCAAAACCGATGATCGCCTGCCAAACATGGTTGGAATCAAGTTTTTATTTTTTTTTGATTCTCCCAGTTATCGACAAGAATTCATTAATATTAGCGGTAGAAGGTCTCTCGTTTCTGCTAACGTTGGGACACCAAGCACACAGTGCAGAACCTTGATACTCACCGCCGGATCCATGCGTTGCACAGATAGCATACGTTACCAGTGTTGTAGGCTAATTAATGTATTGGCTTTCTCCCCATCGCGGCGGAGGCCTGGCCCGGCTAACTGATGCGGCTTTGACGACGCTTTTTGGAGGTAGGGTAGGGGGTTGCAAAACAGGGAGGACTTCTGAAATTGACATCACTTGGCTGAAGTTAGGAATACAAGCTTTTTCCAATGAATAATTGAGAATGCACCGCCTAGGCCCGGCAGTGTCACGGAAATTGTCACCCAATTTACCAACAGGTTCAAGTCAATATAGATTGGTACTCGGGACAGGCAGATCCCCCATCCTACCCTTACTACTGTATGATTACACGAATAGAGGCGGATTTAGACGCTGAACCGCGCGCCATTTGGGTATATAAAAATCCTTGCTAACAGAGAAACCAGTGAATGGACATCTATATCTGAGTTGTGATGCATTGAGGGATCATATCAGGAAAACTACCCTGGTTCCCTGACGCCCGTCCTGTGGTACTTGAATGCTAAATGCCAGAGGGCTGTCTGTCTCCGCCTGGAAGTTCCGCCGGTCGACGTCATTCTGACATTCAGATAACTATCATTTGGTTAACCCCTCCATACAAACACTGGGAAGATGACGTCGTTCCTAGGCCGAATGTATTACATGCCTCCGCGTCCTCCCTTCAGACAATCATGGAAGGGAATTCTTTATTTCTGTCAAAAAGTTGTCTATTCTAATCCTGAAAAGTACCAGAAACAGTATCTAATCAATCGCCCGCAATGACTGGCAAGGCAACAGAAGGGTTTCGTAAGATGAAGGGGCTTGTGGAAGGCGTGCAGCCAGGCGAGCAAAAGATCGCAGACCTCGCTCGCGATACTGCAGACGTTCATTGGTCTACACCGTTCACGACTGACCATGGCGTCAAAGTGAGCAATACGGACCAGTGGCTCAGGCTTGCATCCGAACATCAAACAGGTCCAAGCCTCTTGGAAGATCAGATTGCTCGTGAGAAGGTCTCAGCTGCCTACCCACCGTGTCCTGCTTTCGTCTAAGTTGTCTGAACAGTATATGCTAACGATCAAGTTAGATCCACCGTTTTGACCATGAAAGGATCCCAGAACGTGTTGTGCACGCTCGAGGAACAGGTGCTTTCGGGCACTTCAAGCTTCTCGAGAGCGCAGCAGATGTTACTTCTGCCGGAGTGTTGACTGACACATCGCGGACTACTCCGGTGTTTGTTCGGTTTTCCACCGTCCAGGGCAGCAAAGGCAGCTACGATACAGTCCGTGATGTCCGAGGTTTCGCAACTAAGTTCTATACGGAAGAAGGCAACTGGGACCTCGTGGGGAATAACATTCCTGTTTTCTTCATTCAAGATGCTATAAAATTCCCGGATATAAGTAAGTATTTAATCCATCATCTCTTCATCACATAATACATAGTATTGATATCAACCTTGATATTAGTCCACGCTGTGAAGCCGGAACCTCATAATGAAATTCCTCAGGGGCAAACCGCCCATAATAACTTCTGGGACTTCATGTATATGCACCCTGAAGCTACCCATATGTTTATGTGGGCTATGTCAGACAGGGCTATTCCGCGATCATTTCGGATGATGCAAGGGTTTGGCGTCAATACCTTTGTTCTAGTGAATAAACAGGGGAAACGGCACTTCGTTAAGTTCCACTGGATGCCAGAGCTTGGGGTTCATTCGCTCATTCCCGACGAATCATTTAAACTCGGTGGCCAAGACCCAGATTTCCACCGTAAAGATCTGATGGAAGCAATTGACAACAAGGTGTACCCGAAATGGAAGTTTGGAATCCAGGTTCTTCCGGAAGAGAAAGAGCATGACTTCGATTTCGATATTCTCGATGCGACTAAGATTTGGCCGGAGAGCCTGGTGCCTGTTCGATATATTGGGGAGATGGAGCTTAACCGCAATGTTGACGAGTTTTTCCCTCAGACAGAGCAGGTTGCTTTCTGTACTAGCCATATCGTTCCTGGAATTGAATTCTCCGACGATCCTCTGCTCCAGGGACGTAACTTCTCCTATTTCGATACTCAAATTTCCCGCCTTGGTATCAACTGGGAAGAGCTCCCTATCAACCGCCCAGTTTGCCCTGTCATGAATCACAACAGAGATGGTGCAATGCGCCACAGGATAACCCAGGGAACCGTGAACTATTGGCCGAACCGCTTCGAGGCCTGCCCACCCACCAAGCCCGAGGATGGAGGTTTCGTCACCTACCCTCAAAAGGTAACACAGAGCATCAAAGCTAGGATGCTTAGTAGCAAGTTTCGTGAGCACATCAATCAAGCGCAATTATTCTACAATTCTCTCTCGGATTACGAAAAACTCCACGTCCAGAATGCCTTCTGCTTTGAGTTGGACCACTGCGACGACCCTATTGTCTATAACAGACTTGTCGAGCGGCTTGCTGAAATCGACCTTCCCCTCGCCCAAGCCGTTGCCGTCAAAGTCGGCGCGCCCACCCCACAAAAAGCCCCACGAGCTAATGAAGGTCAGAAGACAATAAACCTCAGCCAAAAATACATCAACGACCGCCAACTGGCCACTCCCACTATCAAAGGCCGAAAAATCGCTATATTGATCGGAGATGGCTACGACTCTGTCGCCTTTGGCACGGTTAAAGCTGCAATTGCCGCCATGAACGCGTTGCCCGTCGTAATCGGCACGAAGCGGCAAGCTATCTTTGCCGACCATGAGGACAAGGATAGCAGCAAGGGCGTGATTCCGGACCACAACTATATTGGCCAGCGCTCTACGCTCTTCGACGCTACTTTCATCCCCGGTGGCTCGCATATCAAGGAACTGGGCCAGCTGGGCGCTATCCAACACTGGATCGCCGAGCAGTTCGGACACTGCAAGGCCATTGGTGCTACGGGCGAGGCTGTTAATCTTATCGCGCAGGTTCTGAACAACCTGCCTGGGCTGGAGGTATCATCGGCCACTTCAGGGCATCCAGTCGAATGGTACGGTGTTGTCACGTCCAGCAAGCTGCACGAGCCCCACAGCTTGACGGAGGGGATCAAGATGTTCCCCGAGGCGAGGGATTTCTTGGGCAAGTTCTTGTATCAGGTTTCGCAGCATCGGAATTACGAGCGAGAGATGGCAGGGTTAGCGGATAAGGTCCCATTTTGAATGGAAGCGGATCGGTTGAAAGCTGGTGGAATCAGGACTGATAATGAGGAATACTCAGGCCTCGAAAAAACAAAAACAGTCACAGGAAAGCGTACCGAATGCAGATTGAAAACAAAATCCTAGGTTTGAAGTTTTGCCTTCCTGTCTTCCCATCTTCTCCAAGTTATTTGATTAGTAGCCATCTGCTACGTTGCTTCTCACACAACTCATCACATGAAAATGGCAAACTAATTCTTGAAAATGTATGATATATGCGTCTTTTTTTCTTCAGAAATAAGTTGCTCTTAATAATTGAACAAAGTTATTTTCGATTCTATTATCGAGACACGTTCCTGCGGTAATTGGTGGCGTCTGTAGCATGCTTATTAGTACGTTTCTGTCTCCGTGAGTGCTGCTACTTAACTATCCCTAACCCCTGGAGGAGACGAGAGCCACTGATTTTAAGAGAAGACCGGGAGGATTTAGAACTGAATAAGACTATTAATTTTCAAACCTATAGACACTTTATGATACGGTGCGCCGTAAGGGAAATATTTGATAGGATGTCTCCCAAAAAAAAAAGCACACCCAACAACATAATCAGAAAGAAATAACAAATGAATGGCATATTGGGTATATGTACGAAAAGGAAAAGAAAGTAAATTAATCATGCGTAGGAGGCAATAGCAGCATCAAGAGATGTTTCGCTAAATTCCAGAAAGGGAATGAAGAGAGGATCGATCCAGCAACCCAGTCAATGAGGAAAGGATATAGTTGAGACAATGTCAGTTCCCGGCAATACAGATGGTGTATATAAAAACATAAGGGAATTGAAGGTTGTATGTAGACAAGAAAATAGAACAGAGATTTTCGCCGTGCATATGTATTGAGACGAACGAAAATACCACCAAAAGCAGGGACGGGGAATAGCAAATAAAGAATGGGATATTATCAAAGCCCCCATCATCCTCTCACGCCCATCTCCACACAGGCCTCCATACATCTGCCTCCGTCTCTCGACTATGCTCCATAGTCTTCCTCCTATACATGCCATTCACGCCAGCACTGTCGTTCCCATCAACGCTTGCGCCACCAGCCGCACCGGAAATACTGCTCATATGGCCCGTGGCCGACGTCTCGCCCGAGGACAAGGCAAGGGGATCCACATGTCCGCCGCCTTGCAGCAGCAAGTTAATCGCCGCCGCAACATCCAACGACTCGCCCGTGTCCGTGCACTTCAAAGCCCATTTGGCAGCGTGCTCGTCGAAACCAAGCTCCTTCACCATCTTGTGCATGGCGATGTCGACTGGATCAAGGACTTGAGGGGCCGATGAGGAGTAGCGGCCGCGGGATATCTTCTCTTCAGCAATAGTCTCGGGGGTGGAGAATGTGCGTTGGTGTTGCTTGGGGATAGATACAGCGTGGAGAAGGGGGAGGGATGATGGTGCTGAAGTGAGTGCCGCGCCAGGTGGGGGCGTCGGTGATTCGAGGGTGACGGTTGGCAGTGGGCGTGCAGAGCTGGGAATGGAGTCGGGTAGTAGTTTTCTTATAATAGAGGCATCGGAGATGGGTGTATTTTGAATGCTAGAGCTAATGGGCTGTATTCCTCGCACTGTTGTATCGATTGGGTGTGGGACGGTTGCTGGTGTGGGTGGAACTGGAGTGCCTGGGTGCTGTTGGCCCTTACTATTACTGGGGTCAAGGTTCTCGATCACAGTAGAGAAATGAGAGATTGGCCTCTCGTCTGTGAAATTTGTAACCGGAGGGGTCATCTCTAGACTGACATACATGTCAGAACCCTGAGACTCCTTTCGTTTTCGGCGAAGCTCCGAGGCAAATCCAGCTTGCGTCGTCGGCTTGGGTCGCCAGGTGGCGATGACAGAGAGCATGAGGATGATCTGAGATGTTGCGAGAGTGGCCGCGGTGTCTGGCGATAGGGCTGGGGGAATGTGGCGGTGGTGAGTTGGACTTCGGCGTCCTAGATGATGCGGGAGTGTGTGTGTTTGATAATCTGGATTCGTAGACTTGGGACACTGCTTCTTTCAAGAATAATCTTGGTGCACTGCCATAACTCAACTCGGGGGTCTTCCATTTCGTCCACCCGTTGGCCTTTGCTCTGGAGAAGAGGGTCTCAATTGGTGCTTCGGGGTTGATGCTGGTGAGAGCAAGAATAGCGGACGGCCCAAGCGTGAGAAGATACTGGGTCCAGCTTTCTGTTGGTTATGTGTGAGCACAACTTCATAAAGGCTGCCCGAGATGATTGGAATGTTAGCTGCTTACCTGTCAGAGATTCCTCCTTCGCAACATCACCATCTGCCACCTTTAAGCCATCAAAGACTCCAAAATCTCGAGCCTCCTTACACTTCCCATGGAACATCTGCAAAAGGACGCCAAGACAGGTCCAAATTTCCATCATGTCATAGAGTTCCGTCGCCGACAATCCTCCATGATTGCCCTTGCTAAAGGCAGGCGGCGCGTTGAATAAAACGCTATGCACCCCGGCCGGATATTGTATGACAATGCTGGTGCCACGGTTTTCAGCCTCCGCAAGTCGACCGCCATTGAGCCAGTCGACTTGTGCAGTGACATCATCTTCTCTGCTTTTTCCACAGCCAAATAACTTACAGAAAGTCCACACTCTCCAGAACGCTTCGTCAACCTCCGCGCAACGAGCGTCGTCTAACCCTGCCAATGCTCTGGCTGTATCGGGTCGTAGAAAGCTCTCGCAGCGAACAAGGATGAGAGATTTCAGAGCGACCATGGTATATAGGTCGCGCGTGTAATGCTGTATGTATAGATTTGGCGTGTATTCCGGCACAGGCATATCAATATCTCCAGCTTCATCACCCTCGGCCTCCCAAGGTGGGCATATCTCGCGCAATTCCCATGCAGCAGGGGACATGCGGAACAAGGTATCTTTTATGAGGGTCAATGAATGGTCTTTGAAAACGGAGTAGAAGGCCTTGTTGATGACCGCGAGATTAAACAAGTCCTCAAGGTTGTCGATCTTCTGCATGATCTCGCATATAACACTCTTTGCTACCTCGTTTGGGATCGGTTCGCAGAGCATGGCTTTTGACCCCGCATGCTCGCAGGCGGGGGCCGGCTGGCAGTCATCGAGCTTGAAAACGAGTGGAGGTGCTTCTACTGGATTATCACTATCGTTGTTACTGTAAGAATAATCCTCCCGAGTTGGTTCTGGCTGCGCTGGATCAAGCCTATCGAGACCCGCCATGACGTGCTGTTTGGGGCTGCTGTGATCGTCGAGGTTCGGGTGGTTTGTTTGGTTGGTAGGCGACTCCACCACGGCGCTGAGGTTCACAGGGCCCCGAATCGACTTGGCGCTGAGCTGCGTTCGTAGGCGGGGCAGACGCATGCGAAGGTTACGCTCGACACTCTCGGCCCGTGGCTTCGTGAACATTGCCATGCGGTTTATGTTTTCTGCGAGCTTCAGATCGTCTCTGCCATTGTTACTGGGAGCCGTGCTATTCTTTGTACTACTACCATTTGCACAAACTTGCAATGACACTTCTACTTGTGCCTGCCACGATTGTCGCCTGTTATCATCTTCTACTGACTCGCTTATGGTCGGTGAAAGTTTGATCTTCCCTTTGCCATTCCAACTCTTCTTGGGCGAAGATCGCTTGGTCGGAGACACAACTGAATACGAACCAGACCTTCTCCAAGACGAACGTCGTTTCAAAGGCTTAGGTGGGGTATCTGCAGGAAGCTCAGAAGAGGAGCATTGATTATGCCCTATCTTCAGCCAACCGGTTCTATTTTGCATCGGCATGGATAGAATAGAAAGTTGTTCTTCTAGCTCAAGGGTAGCCTTGTGCAGAGACGGAGAGTTAGAGAGTGTGTCTGATCCAGAAGCTTGCCCCAATTTCGATTTAGCACATTTATTAGGCGATACATGATGAAGCCCTGAACGACGGAATGCCTCGTCCAGAATATCGAGGTCAGATGGTCGTGGGTCTCGCGGGAGGAAGAGTGGTTTACTTGTCGGTTGGATTAACCGACCGCAGTGGGAAACGGTGCCCATGGGCTCTGGTCCGGAGGTGCGGCGGATGGATAGCGGGGGGATTTTTATCACTGGTTCGGGAGGAAGAGGTTTATTTCTTTGCTGTTTAGGGCTAAACTTGTGTTTAAAGGTAGGAATCCGCCTCAAATCAGCATCGTCGTCGTCAAATACGCCAGCAGTAACGGGAGATATTAACGAATATCCCTTGCTGCTTCTGGAACATCCCTCTGTGGATGGTGCGACGGGTTTTTGAGGAAATTCCTCAGAGTATATACTAGATCTCGAGGAGCTTGGGCTATTCGGTGCAGAGACACTCCTACCGAACTCGGACGATGTGGCTGAACCACCACTTTTCCCAGGTTGGTCCAAAAGCGGGTCTGTTTCGACTTGAATGATCTTGTCAAAGGAAGGAGGAACAAAAGCTCGCTGAGGCTGGGGCATATCGATTGACAAGGGTGAAACTATGGTCATGGGCTCTATGGACCTCGAATCTCCAGAGGAGGCTGGGATAGCTTTTCTCTGAACAACCGAACCCACGATCGGCGATACCTTCTCAGTGGTGTCTCCCGCGGATATGCTCTGTAGCGTGCCAATACTGGAAACTTTGTAGAATGGCCGATTCCGTCCAGGATGCATGGGTGGTGGGCTAATATCGCAAACCGGTGCCAGGCTGCGATCTAAAGTTTGGCTTTGGTGTGCTGCTATCGGGTATGAACCCCCTGTTGGAGGCATATGTGAGGATTTTGGTTTAGTATACATTGAGTCCAATGCCTTTGTATGCTTTTCGGGGCTGGGTGTTCGTGGTGCAATCTTCTCAGGAAGATGTACGCTCTCCAATGCATGTACATCAGAGGATTGAGGTGAATCCCGTATCTTAATCCAAGCGAGGGTTGAATTCAAGGGTGAACGATGGGATAAAGGTTGTGCGCTGGCCTCCAATCTGCTATCATTTTTAAGCTCTAAGCTAGTGGTCGTAAGCATAAGAAATGAGTCAGTGGATTTACTGCAATGTAAATCTACTGATTCGCTCTCCCTGTGCTTCATAGTGCTATCTTTCGATTTCTTTGACATGGGAGACCAGTCCGTCGAGCGAGCAGCACGCATAGGCCATCTAACTTGAAGCGCTCCCATTGAATAGCGAGACTTCTTTTCCTTGTGCTTCGTCTCTGGTAATGGGGCGACATTATTCGTCGGGCGCGGATTGAAAGCCATAATCATCACCAGTGAGCGAGATTGAGTATCCTGGCTGAACTCATGTTAGCCTCGATTTTGGGTTTTTGAGAATAAACGAAGCATATCGACTGTGGAGAAAGGAGAAGGCTGGTGAAATTGGAGACAAAGGAGGGCGAAAAGAAAAAGGCCTCATATGAAGCCTTTGCCCAAGCATTGACCTACCCCTTGCGAACGTATCTTTATTGCTAAAGAAAGGCAAAAATATGGAGCAATTGGTCCTTTAGGATTGAGGAGAAAAACTATGGCGTCCACAATCGCAATCGGAGTATTCCACAATCAAGTGGTATTATACACCAGCAATTCACCCTCCGAAAGGAAGTATAAATTCCAAATGTACAAGAATAATAATAAACATAAACCCTTGTCGATATCCTTTCTTCGTTCCGTTCCTTTAGCTCCTCCTCATTCAAACTCCAACAGTCGTACAGCAAGCAGTGATGTAAGGTAGAGTATTGAACAGCAATATATAACAAGCTGCCTTATATGAGTCAAAAGTATAAGAGTACCAAGAAGCAACCTTAAAGAGAAGGGAAGAGATTCGATAAGAGACTGTTGCACGGCAGGGCGTGTGAATATGTATGCGAGGGATGGTCTGGTCGCATATAGGCGCAGCACCCCGACATAGATATACGACCCAAAGGCAGTTAACTAACTGGCCATTCCTCTGCCGTCGCAAAAATACCCGAAGGGGGAAATAAATTACTGTACCTTATCCGCCCCATAAGATCTATTAGCAGGCACGGCAGCAGGTGTATTTCCAAGTGTATTTCTCCTCGCTGATAACATATGCGAATCACTCCCCCACATTTTGGCTTCAAAATGCCCGAGACGACAACAATGTGACCACATGGATACTCTCAGATCCAGGGGCATGAGGCATATTCAGTGATGGAGCCAACCCCATCTGCATCTGCCCTGCGCCATCAGCTGCAGGACGGTTCAGTCGCAGCAGCCAATAATGGCTCCGCAGCACAGATTTCTGGAGGCAGGGCAGGATTGAGTCCAAAGTGCCGGGGTATTTTTTAATCTTTAGGCTGCCGGCACCAACGAGTGGCGTTGCCCGTAACTATCGTTCAAGCCGGGAGAACCCAAACAGGGAGTTGGTGTGTTGGAGCCATCCAGATGTTGGGGTTGGGAATTCAGGCCCCCAGCCCCCGCAAGCCCCCGTCCAAACGGAGAGGACCTGTACTCCGTAGTCTGTACTTACTACAGCGTAGTTATGTGTAACTAGTTATGCATGTAACTAACTTACGGTAGCTAAACCCTTTAGCGTTTGGAATGGTTCGTTAAAATACCTCATTTCATCTCTATACCCCGCGAATAAAGACTTCGGGTTGAGCGCGAAAAATGGATCCCATGGAAGTAGCAATGAGAGCCTGGCCAGATTGTAGAAATGACTCTGAACCCACTGTAGTTGACAATAATGACATCAAAATAAAGAGATTCCTAAGATACGAGAATACGTGGGTGGGTGAGTACTCCGTACTGGGAAACTTCTCAAAGGGTCCAAGGTTGGGGGCTGAGTAGCTTGGTAAGGAAAAGCCGGGAGCTTGCTTTTGTCAAAACCCAACAACTACTTTTTCTCAATTCTATTTTCAGGCATTTGCCATTTCTCTCGGCTTTGATGGCGTTATATTTGAGTGATTTCCCCTCCATATCACCACTAGTGCTGCTGCCTTTGGATTTTATATTTCAATACCGTTCCTTTGTAGACAGTGTCCGGCATATAGCCTAGATATCTGGTCGGTATTTTCCCTTCGCCGGATAGGCGAACATCCCAGTTCCCCAACTACTATAGGTGTAGTTGGTGTATCTATATTAATATGGCAGCTATGTACTGTAGCAGTTGGCTTCCATTAATGTTCATGAGCTTGGATGTCAGTAAGAAGATGGCCAAACCAATGAACTGTGCTGTGCCTCTGCTTTATTCAGTGATGTTTTCTTGTCTTGTCTGAAAGCCGCGCGAAGTGTTGCGGCAATTCTTTGTTTCTCATCGGAGTGTAAACAATAAATAATCCTCGAAAGAGGGCATGATAAATAGTTAACCTAACACGTTGGCCCGTAGCAAGTGGCAGAGTTGCTTTTACCAACAACCAACCAGTCTTGGGATTTCTGACCCCCTTTGCACACCAACTCTTTCTCAGCGTCTAATCAGCCTTTTGTTTCCCTGTTTGTCAATGAGAATGTGGAGAAATATCCGCGGGGACGGCATTCTTTGTTTGCGACTTCGAGTTGGTTTTTTAGCATTTGGTGGGGGCGGAAAATCATTCTTAATTTTTGAGGGTGTTTACAGATACCGTCGGCGATGATGAGATTCCAGCTTTGCAGAGCCAACAAGGCCCTAACTAACCAAATAGGCTCTGACCCTAGCGGCGATTGGCCTTGATGGTATGGTATGAATCGACTTCATAGAGCCCGAAGGTTAAAAATACGAGACACCAGCATGATCCGTTTGCGACTTGCTCCGGTCTAACCATTCTCTCTATTCATAATATAGCCCTTTTCGTAACTTTGTGGAACATAAATCTCGACCTCAAGGAAGCTTTTCACCAGCTGTTGGTATCCTTGATGGTCTCCAGAATGAGAAGCAAAACAGAAACGAGCACAAGCAACTCATCCGTCAAATCGCGTGTTTGACACCGGGCCACAAGAAACACAAACGAAGAGGCGAAGTATAATTCCTCACGCGTCTCGACTATCCAGTCAAATTTCGAAACATGGACTTTGCAAAATCCTTGAAGAGTTGTAGGTATATTTTCCGTTTTCTTCGTGGTGTTGGCACAGGATGTGTTCTTGGATCTCGGTTTCAGCGATTTAAGCTCATAGAAACGCACTGGCTGATCTACTGATCGGTCTGAAGACTCGTATTTTGTGCTGGGCATGGCCTGGCTGGTCAATGGTCATAAAGCCCAGAAGCAACTTTCTTCGTATCTGTCAGCTGTTTCAGCTCATGAAACACGACATGATGTTGTGTCTTGATTCGATGCCCACGTTCCATTCCGTTCTGAATTTCTCAGCATGGGAAGAAAGTAAGAAACAAACGTGGACGGGGTTTTAATTAGTCACCAGGGTTAAATCGAATAACGCCTTCTAGACACATTTAAAGGTAGATAGATGATCTATATGGAGATATGTGTACACTGCACATTTATATACTCATAGACATGTTTTCTACCAACAGCCACAAAATAACTGTAAGGACTTTCAACTGCCTCCCATTGTCCTTCACAACATTGGATATTCCTCCAAGAGGACCCGGACCAAACTAGAACCCCACGCCCCCTTTACCGATCTTGTATCTATCTCAAACGCAGCTCGTATATTTCCCTTGCTGATACACTTGGGAAAGTCCAAAAAGGGTGATTTAACAGCAATCTAAGGTGGCTTGGATGATGCGACGCGGGAGCGAACAGATCACTTAACGAAAAAGCATGGAATGCGTTGTGTCCCTACGATCGAAACGCGAGAAGAGGACTTCGGCTTTTCTCGTTCAAGCTGAGGAGGCATAATCTTCAAGACGGAAGCATGGACAGTGCCAGCTGAATGAGGAGCGGGACGATACGACTTGTCACCATCATGATTCGGGCTCTGCAGTCTATGTAATAATAATATCCGGGTTTACTGCGGGGGATAGTGGGACAAGATGATTTCCCCATCTGCAATATTAATGGGTATGTATGTACATGTATGTACTAAGTTACCTCTTCCAATAATATATTAATACATCAAGTCATTTCTCGAAATCGGTTTGACCTACAGTCACATGATGATTGTTTCCCGGCGCCACTGCCAAGAACTTAGTGTGGTTATATTATTGGGTCAAATCACTTCTAATGACAACGGGCGGGCCGTAACTTTCCCATTGTAACATGTAACTTATTGAAAGACGTGTCTATTTGTAGTTAGTTAACATATTCTATCACCAAGTGAGCCACTTTGTACAACCACCCTGTCAAAATTTATATGTAGATTGACTTACCATGGGTTTTATGTTTGTTTTAAAAGTCACTCTATAATATACAAATTTTGGCAGGGTGCAACAAAGTAGCTCGCTTATTTGGCACGACTCGCTTAGAGAACCACGTTATGCCTCTTTATCTTCTGCATAAGGCCAATCAGGCGTGCATCAGAGGATCTCCATGGAAGATTAGACATCAATAGACATATAGAATGTTTCTTATTATCTGATGTGACAAAATAAGCCAACAACTGAACAGTTGTGTCAGCTGAATTTCTGTTCCTCGCCCGCAGCCGTTGTTTGTCGGCAAACAACAGTTGCTGAGACAGTGTAGGGTGGTGTGAGCCTTGACAAAACATTGCTAACCACAGGAATCCCATACCGCTCAAAAAAGATGAGGTCCGACTCTTTCAGCCTTAATAACGACGACGATAGTGCTTACTCATTAAACTTCCGCTACTACAATTCAGTTATTATTGTAGAGGGGCAGGCGTATGATGAGGATCCACCAACCTGTATTCACTATTGAATTGAATAATGGAAAGTTACCCTCATCAATAGAACAGTGGCCAAAGATACAGAACAAGATCTGATTCTTGCCTCTGAATTCCATTGAAGGCTCTTTCTTCACCTGAAGTTGAAGGAGTTATTGTGCTGCAAATACCCACACAGAAGCATTGTATCAGATGATACATCTGTTGTGATATCAGTTGCTCAGCTTCAAGATAAACTTACTCAACAGTTTGGTCAGACAAGTATTGACTGACCTGCTATTGAGAAACAGCTTTTTGAATGGGGTGATCACTTTCTTACTGGCAAGAGAATGAAACTCATGATATTGTTCAACTACATAGAAGACAGTCAAGGTTCAACAGCCAGTTGCAGAACAACTGACAAATGAGATACTTTCATCTGCTACTCAGGGCATGCTTCAAAATCTTGACTGAGAGATCACCACAGAGGAGGAATTGACTGAAGAACCTGCTGCCTGGAAACATGTCTATGCATTAATGCGCTATTCTAGATTCCTATGAATTAGAGCCACATTGTTGGCAGGACCCTTACAGGAAGAAACACTATAAACTCTATAGAGATGAACTTTTGAGCCTGGTCAGGTATGTGCAGAGTGGGAAGAAATTAGATTCTCATGAGGATGTGCCTGGCATGATCCGCGAACAAATCTATAGGGCAGAGAGGTGACAGCTTGAAGGACAAAAGAGTCATAATCACCTTACATCTGAGTCAACCTACCCACCGATTACCATCACAAATGTCCTCCCAACACAGACCCCGCAACCGGCTCTGTCATCATCACCACCGGCCTCGGAAGGCACGCACGTCGTCTATTCAGCCAAGCCTCCGCGTCTTAATATAACAGGTCTTCGTGATGCCAATGTTCAAGCATACTGTGACTGGCAACAATCGCAGGTTGGGAATGTATCGTGGAAGGATGAGTTTCGAAAAGCGTGTGATGTGGCTCTAGACGATGGGTTAGATCTGGACCAGATTGACGAACTGGGTGACCCTGAATACTTCAAGAATCGGGGTGTGAAATGGGGTATTGCCCGTAGATTTGTTGGGGATATGAGATACTGGGCGGACAACCATAAGTGTAATGTTGAGGGGTGAGAAGACATTTATTGCTAGCACATGCCATAGACTTTGTTTGGTTACCTGACTATCTATCTGCTTTCGTACTTATGTGATCTATGCAGCCAAGGCATGCGGTTTATATTCTTCAATAGTGACACCTGCATGCCGAAAGGGACCTTCGGCACTCCGCACCCTTGAGCCAACAACACTGACACACCACTCAAGAAAAGCATCGAAACCTTGACCTGATGTGAGGATAAGCAGAATATGCTCGGGCAGCAGAAACAGCCCATTGTACTCATTATCATCGCGCGGGAAAATATTTTCAGTCGGTGTCGTCAAGGGATTCAATCCTGCAAAATTCGAAAAGTCCTGAAGTCTCGAATCTGAGATAGTGTCTACAAATTGTAGGCTCGTATCTTTGTGCGAATGTCCCTGATATCAAATGGTAACCCGGTTGTCAGGATAAGTAGAAAGCCTTCGTCGCCTATCAAGATGTTCCGGACTTTACACTGAGACTGACAGATGTAATGTACATGTATGTACATGTCAGTAATTATTTGCAATCCTTGATTCTTGCCACTGAAAATCTCACCATCGTGATTTTTCAAGCTTTGATAGTGGAAGATTTGTTGTCCTCAGTGATGGGGCGGGAAACCGATAATCATGTGACTCTAGGTCAAACCGATTTCGAGAGTATGACATAGTTAACCAACTGTTTTTAATACCAAAACTATACAAACAACTTTGTTCCTCAACTTGGAGAGAAGTTCATTGCCATTTCTGCGGCAGACACCGCCCCACTAGGCCTTCTGATGGCCTCATGCAGCCTGCAAGCTACCAGCGATCCCTTTCATTCCTCATCATCTGATTTGTCCATGCATTTAACTAAACTAATCCCTCCATTCCAACCATGAAGTGGTGGACAGACGCTTAAACCGTGCATCTTGGCAGCGAAAGGCCTTGGCCATGTGGCTAGCACATGAGATCACGTTAGTGTTTCGGTGCTAGTTAAGTGGGCTGAGGGATTTATAAATAGAAACCGTTGCACAACCCGCAGGCAGGGCTTGCATAGGAAATTCTGTTTTCTTGATAGGATAGGGTTAAAATACTTGTATAATTGAGGCCTTGCTAATGAATCTATTGGCAAGCTGTTTTGCAAAGAATTGAGTGAGTGCATGAGAGCATTGTTAGATGATCTGATACAGCCCTTGAAAATCAGCAATTAGCACAGTTTTAATTGTTATTCATAATATTCAAATTGTAAGAAATGAAAACCTAGTTTCAACTGCTGCTTTTATAGATATAAAAAATGCTTTTGATTATGCTTCAAAGCTTAAAATGATTCAAATTCTCAAGAATTTGAGATTGCCAAAATCTTTAATAGAATGAGTAAATGATTTTATATTGTGATCTAGAGAGATTCACCAAATGCAATATGTACACATAGCAGCTAGACTCTTAATATCAGCCAACTACTTGTTACATTGCCAACAAAAGTCGTGATCGCAGAAGCTGCAAATTAGGTAGGTAGCTTTTGTGTTGCGCAGCATTGTAAACATGTTGCTCTCTTCTTCGCACGAGCAGGTTGGGGGCTCAAATCGAGAAAAAAAGAAAAGAAAAAAGGAGAAAAAAATAATTGAGAGTTTCGGGAAATTTGCATACCGCTAGTTCTATCCCGACGTGCATGCATGTAAATTCCCCGTGCATGTGCATGGATAACGGAAAAGGGCAGATCTCCATGACCATGCTATCCTACTCAAAGCCGGCTTTGAGCACTTAAAAGAGAAGTGCCAGGAGGGTGTAAATATCCGAAAATAGTCGCTTGACAGGAGTATTATCCCGCAATTCACTTCCGCCAAATTGACCGGCTTTTCTAGAATAAATCCCGACAGTAGCGGCAACTCCATCCATATCGACCACTATAAACTAACCCGATTCATCCGGCCCCCATGGGTGTTCTTCTTAGGTTTCTATCCAAAAAGGGAACCCGAAGAGGTACCGCAAGGCAAGAAAAGAAAAAGAAAATATAGTGGAGATTTTATCGTAGTTCCCGCAATGGAGCAACAGTGCCGTGTGGGGATTGTGCCGTACGCAAAGTGGAGTTGGTACTGTGTAGGCCGAAGGGGCTGACATCACTCTTCGGTTCTCAAGCTAAGGTATATACCCCAGATCATGCCGAATAGATTCCCCGTCAGCACTCTCTTTTCTGGTGGAACCATTGTGAAGCTGATCACTGAAACCATTGGCCAAAGCTTCAGGCCAGCTATGATAATGGGAACGAAATCCTAGTTCGATATGGTTATTATTAGCGTTTGCGGGGAAAGATACATGTGGATACAAGCTCCACACAACAAGCGGGGCCAAATTATGTTTCAATCGAAGGTTTATCGCGCAAATCCGCGCAAATTTGCGCATAGAAAGAAACAACTTATAGTTCCTTTCCTACGTGTAATTGATCTCTAATGGGCAGGTTGAAGAAATGAAGAAAGGACCGCAAATGTAACCTACCCTAAACAATGATTGCTGAATCGCGTTGGCATCCTGGCCATTCAAAGCAGAGATAGTTACAATAAACAGCGCTGTACTCCATCCGGCACCGACAGTCTGATCTATCAGAATCTTAGAAATAGTATTCCAGGTATTCTTTTCTTGGATGGGCTCCTGTGTTTCTTTTCGTTCTGGTTGATTCGTTTGGACCCCACCGTGTGGCACCTCTTTGGCAGTCGTGTTGGAGTTGGAGGTTCTTTCACTGTTGCCCTCCATTTCCGCCGGAATCCTCCTGGCATTATCCTGAGGTGACGCGGGAAATGTGGCTTCGAGATAATCCTGCCAGAGGACCATAAACGGCGTAGTGATAAGTGTACATATGATGAAGCGAATCAATTCAATGTAGTCGAGAGCAAAGGTAGCCTTTTCGTCCAACACCAAATTCACCAGCGGCATTTAAAAATGCCGCACAAGAATTTAGTTAGCATTATTTTTTGGTTACTTGCGCGACTTTCATGTTCGTGCTAATAGAGGACAGCAGCAGTTTGGACCTAACATGTTCCCCACGAAAGAATGAAATTCCGTCAATAACGAAATGAGCAAAACAAACTCGCCATAAATCCAATACTCTGCGGGATATAACGAAGCCAAACCCGCCAAGTTTAGGAAATAGACAAGAGGGATATCCCTCGCCGTTAAGCCAGTGGCAAAATGGTAACGTTCGGATGTCTAAAAATGAAGATAGTAGAGAAAATTCAAAAATAACTTACCCCATGTCTATACGCCGTTATCGCTTGAGCTATTACGTTTGAACTGCCATTGAGAACGGCAGCCTGAACGGTGGTCTTGAAAATCGCCGGGAGTGACATAATAGTCGAAAGTGCGCAAATAACTGTGTGAGAAATGGTGAAATACTAGGTGGCTAATTAGTATGAGCTTTCATGCATGATTTGTTAAATAAAATTGGCAACTAGGCTTCCTAAAATGAAGAGGCTATTCGGAGGAAACGAATGAGTGATCGTACGAAGCGATTTGACTATTCAGTTGAATCTGGAGGATCACTTTAATTCGCGGAAGGAACAATAAATTCTCTCTTCGTTTGTGTGCATGAAATGTAAGGAAAACCAGACTTACAAGGAACTCTTCCTCCTTCACTTGTATAGGGTTTTGTTGCTCCTGGAGAACTTGTGAAGGGTCTGAACCCCCGACGAACAAATAGGTGACTCGGTAGCAAAGGAAACACAATCCTTTCCGTGTCCTTGCTGAATCACTCACTTAGGAGTTCATAGCTAGCCCTGGAGCGAAGTGCAAGTCAACGAAACGTTTCCTTTGACTAGCTGTTTGAGGCAGCTTTTGATACAAGTCGACTGACTTATGGGAATGTCAAACTCAAATTTGCATGTCGCAGGTTTCGTATGGAAGGAATGGTATAAACAGCCTGACATGGGGCCAAATGCCGGTACCGTGTTCCACCCCGACTTGGGTATTAGAGAGGGACGTTGAGACTTAAACTGTCCGTCTCGTCGATATGCGATGTTGATGAGGTGTCCGGAACATACGAAAGAAGCGCTAAGGGACAAATCACGGGATCATGCTTGCCCTAACTGGCTAACTACCCCTATCTCAAAACTGGACCACGCAAATTTCTTCTTTATACCAGCTTCTGACTTACTATGTGCAGCTCATTACAATCTAATGCTAACTAAATATCAAGAGTGTTCCCGAACTTGGTATAATTGGTTTGTTCAATATGAACTGGAAGCGCGTATTTGGGCTGTCTCGAATACAGAGATGCGACTACGCAGTTGCAGTTGAGAGACTCTAGGCTAAATCTTCTACTGGGCAACCGTGCTGAGAAGAAAATCATACGCCATACCCGGATACAGTTCAATACGCCTCCACGGATGTTGTTACCAGGCAAGAGAATCTTTAACCATCATTTGACACGCAGGACTTGAGCTAATGGAACCCTCCAGGTTTTCGAGCTCTTTGCATACTACTTGAGTATTAGAAAAAAGAAGTCTTTTATGAAAAAGCTATACTCGTCTCCATAGCTGGGGACTGAAAACAGATTATTAAATGGAAGCTTACATTCATTCGCGAGCTTGTATCTGTCGCTTGTGCTTGACCCTCTGACTGTTGGCAAGATCTCTTCTCCTGCAACACGTTCAAGCTTGAGGTGAGATTTTAATTTCAAAAGGATCATCTCTTGTACTGTGCGATCATGAGTGCAGTCTGCAAAATAAAAGCGGGGGGCATATTAGCATGCTGGCCCAAATCGTCCATTGATTAATCCTAGGTCTGTAGAATTCTCACCGACTGCGTCCTCATTCAGAGTGGAATCATCGTCAGGGTTCGTTCTACAGGTAAGAGATATTATCGTTAGTGAGCCTCCAAATAAATATGAATATAATCCCATCAGATATGCGCAATGTCATACCTTCCAGGGGTGCTGAATGACTTATATGTCGCTTCGAATTTCGCTATTCTAGCTTCAAGGCTGGATTTTATGCCATCTGGTATTCCTTGGCTTCCATCTGCCTGCTTTCCTACAACACTTCCGTACATATCGCAGCGGATATATGAGCGATTTGCCTCTATAGGGGCTACGGAGATGGAATACCAGACACTTTCTTTTCCAGTAGCATAGATTGAAGTGGTAGGGAAAGCTTCCAAGGTGGAGGACTTGGGGTCACTGGCTCTGTCCACACCGAAGATTGATTGAAGAACTGAACGTAGGTTACTCAACTCCGGCTTCGTTCCTCCCGCTACACCCTTATCTTCGTACAAGTTCCGAACTGACTTAAAGATTAGTTAACATATTCGTTTTATGAATCATTTCTACTTCACAATCCCCTACACGCTTCGTTTAGTATAAGACTTACCGGCCATTTTCCAATTAAATCTGCCTTCAAGCTCCCACCCATCAATCCATACTGACCGCCTCGGTATCCGATTCACACTCGCAAACCTATCAATTCTACGAGCATCGAATTGAAGTTCAGGCGGATCTCCCCTTGCATCTAAATTCACAAAAATCAATCCATGTTTCGAAATCGCTGTGCGAATCTCGAATAGGCTATTCTGAGTCTTGTCGAATCCCTCAAGACACTCGAATTGCGGTGCTTTTATGAGTTGACCCTTGCTATCATAGGTCCAGCCATGATACCTGCACCCCATCACGGTCGAGGAACCGGACTTTTTCTTTGAGATGACTGGGTAGGCTCTGTGTCGGCAGACATTGTGAAATGCGCGGATAACGCTGTCCTTCCCTTGGATGAGGAAAAGAGGGAATCCGCAAATTTCGAAAGCATGGTAGTCTCCCGGTTTGGTGAAGCGACTTGCGTGGGCGATATAGAGCCATGTCTGTCAAGCTGACTTGTTATTACTGCGACCTTTCATTTCGAATCATGTGGCACGACGCCTTAAGCATCATATAATACCATGCTTGCCCTCGGTTTTCAAATATCCAATCAGATATCCGTGTTTCGGAAGGTTCGAATTTTTAGAAAATCTATGCCCCTACCTTACTAAATATTGCGCGTCTCTCCAATCGAAACACTTCATCTCCAGTCCACCAATTATCAGGGAAGTCGGATTCCTTGCACACGTTTGCCGACGGTGGTTGATCGGCTGCTGTAGTAAGTCCGTCGCTCCCCTTTCTGGTAGCTATTGTTGAAGCAACCCTTCTCAGGAACAAATCTTCGATCCACGCTAACTTAGACTGTACATTCGAACTGAGAGTGTCAAGGGGAAGGGCGCCAGGACGTGGCAACAAGGGTCTCCTAAATACTTTTCCATCTTTCTGCGTCACCGCAAGTATAGCCAGGAGGATAATGGGGACGGAGGCGAGGACAAATGTATTGGAGAGAAATGAGGATAAATACTCCATCCTACTTAGCTCGTAGAGTGATGCTACGTGCTAAAAGACTACATGCAGAAGGAGTTTATTAAAAGAAGAGTATTGGCTTTATTTTACTTCTTCCTGGAACGGGAGCTCCAGAAATATATACAAGCGTTTTCAACGGCAATATGATATATCGCCTAAATAGGCTGTCGAACTGACTTATTTCCGTCTCCAAGTTAGCTCGTTTCTTGCTCCCATGCTCGATTCCAAAACAATTATGTTTAGTTAGGTAGAGCTACTTGTAAAATCGTGCATTTTTATTCCCGCTCATTTAGACCCTGAACCCGCCATTCCCCAATAGAGTTGTGTTTTCTTAGTTGTCACATCGTCATTGGTCGCCTGAGTTATTTCCCAATCAGGTCAGTATTTCCTTCTGGACTATCACTGGTTGGAAAAGATTTAGGCTGAGCTTGGCTGGGCCTTACGGGCTCCATGGGCATCATCAAAGAATTTTCACCCCGCAAGCGGGTAGATTTTAAGTCGAACCGACCAGTCGGTGTGTGAGGGAGCTTACCAAGGTGGTTCTTTGTTGTAGTAGGGAAGATAGATCGTAGATGCCGCTTGGGTTCCAATAGGGCTTCAGGATGGGGAAGCGGGTTCTAGATCTTGATTTCGGTGCAGCTGGTATGTCTATCTGGGTTGATGACGTGGATTCGGAGTGGCAAAGAGCAACGATTTTGGACATCAATTACATTGAAAAGATCAGGTGGGAAACCTCAGGCTTTCATTAATAGTAACTATGAGGTGTACGAGAACTCATGATCATTAGTGCTAGTTACAGGGAACTGCAGCAGCTTGGGCGGGGTGGCTGATCCCATCCCCCACCGCCTTTTCCGGACCTTCGGTTGATTTCTCATGTCTATGCTGCTCAGTGACCAGATCAAACACACGGTTTTGGTAGTCTGAAAATCCGAACATTAGTTATTTTTCGTAGGGCGCCGAAGATATTACAGCAGGAAAAGCAGAACAGGACACAACTCACATGCAACCCCTGTCTCTTTGACCGGATTCAAAATGCCTTCGTTATACACGCCTTTCTGCAAATTTTCCTGCGCTCTTTCACACAGCTCGTAGTCTTCCATGGCCACTTGACGGACAAATTTGAAATACTTTTCGAACTTGTCGCCTAATTCGAGGTGATAGTAGTCGAATTCCATTCGAGTAACATTAGGGTCCCTAGTTGGACAAACGCGAAATGAGGACATTCCTCCGCCATACACATTCAGAGTGCAATTGGGAAAGAAGTAGAGGAAAAGTCCATCATCTGGCTTCTTTGGATCCGCAACATGCTGAGAAAAGTTCAGGTGGTTATAGACAGTATAGAATGTCGGAGGGTAATAGATGGAAAATGAAGGGTGTGTATATTGACAATGCAGGCATTCTTGATAGCCATCCACCCTGTAGTCATTTGGTGTCAGTTAATTATCCAGTCGGAGGTTTAAACTAGAGGATATCGCACATGGTTTTCCAGTTGAAATTCCCCTCATACTTGACGCTATGGCGATACGGGAGCCTGGTAAAGTCCACTCTTGCCAGAAGGGGCTCTAAATCGGGGTAGAACTCATGGAAATCCGGTGCATCTTGTGATATCCCGGCGAACAGCAATCCTGTCGGCGTAAGGTGGCTCGGTAATTCCGCACCCTTGGTAGTTATGAGAAACGTGAACACCTAGAATAGTAAAAGAAGTAATGCTCACAGTGCTCTCATGGATAACTTTCAGCTCCTCAGCAGTTGGAAGTGCGGAGGAGCCAAACTTTCTTTCAACGTATAGGCGTTCCTGAGCAATTTCATATTGGACTTTGGTATCAACTTCGTGGAAGCGGGTTACGGGACCCAGCAAGTACCATGCCTATAAATATGTATTAGCCTTAAATACGACTCACTCAAAATAGAAGAAGGGGCTGGAAATGGGCCAACCTTTAAAAACACGGCACGGCGCTCAAGTTGGTAGAGCGGAAGGCTTCGGTACCACGAAGCAGGAAGAGTCCTTTGAAATTCCGCCATTTTCGAGGCAATTGTCCAAAGACCCAAAGAAAAAAGTAAAATGCGAACACATAAATATTATCTGAGAGGGTTCATTATACCATGCCCTACATATATAAAGACTAACAAAAATTAGCCATTTTCGAATTGCCAAGGTGCGTTCCGAATATGGTTGTCAAATACGGCGGCTGGGTAACTAAAACACCGTTGATTCAATGCCACGTGTAAAAGAGAAAGACTATGTGCCGGTGTCAAATTGCATTTCAAAGCATGGCTGTGGATGCCCGTAACTAATGTAAGTCAGTTAAAGTCCAAACTCCTACAGCATTTCAACCTCCTGATTCTGGAGATCCTGAAAGCCAAACCCTTCCCTTTTGCTTGTACCAAAGTTGAAGAGGCGGATCTCAATCCCATGAGAGTAACAAAGATTAGTGGCAGCATAAATTATAATTAAACAGTATCCCGATGCTCCAAAAGCCATTGAAATCACTCCATTTCCAGACCTTTGTATACTCTAGATCTATCAAGTATCGCAAAAGTGGGTTAGGAGCCACTGTATAACGAGGGATGTGGTCTGCAGGACCTCAGAGCCCCTGGGCATTATAGTCAAGATGGAATTGTTAATCACACTTCAAACCCAATGTTATATCAGCATAGAAGTCTTCCTGGGGCTTTCTTTGTCGTCTTGGTTGTTGTCGTAAGATGGTCACAGCTGGTCGATCAAAATTCGATATCATGTGACGGGCAAATCTACACCAAACCATATGCGGCTAGGCCCAGTGTACAGAAGCCCCCCCGAGCCTCTGATCATACGTCACCGCGTCGGCTTCATCCAGGCTAGGCTTCTTTATTCCATATATGTCTGTTGCTGGTGAGTTTCTCGAACACTGCCAACATGAGTCTACGACAGATCAAAATACACTTGTCCTAAAGTTTGATTCCCCTCCAACGCCATATCCGCCTTTCCCATCTTGCTGCTGCTATTTAAGCTTGCAACATGGCGGGGTCATCCGCGCGCCTAACACCTCCGCCCTCCCCAACGGCTTCGTTCTATGATGTGAGCGACGATGATGAAGGCGAGTACAACTCCATTACCCATACTAGTACGGGTAAGGGGGTAAAGCTTTTATTTTCCAAAAGCAAGGTATGCATGTTTTCCCGTCCTGCGCTGGGGCCGTACGGCCCAATTTTCCAATGAGCGATGAAGACTTCGTCTTACCACCAGTTCTTTACTTCAGGTCTATGTACATCCTACTCCTTCGTCCAAAGACAATATACCGGGTTTTATAGCCCTCATACAGCAGAAACCTGTTCCTTCCATGGAACGCAGTTTACCACAGTCTTCCCGCTCCGCCACATCAAAGGCCGATACCTCCTCATACCTCCTTGCATGGGTCCCGGAATCTTCCCTGGGCGATGCATATAACACATATGTGAAAGTAGATATGTCCGATAGTGCCTCTCCTCCGCGCCAATCGTATCTGGTTCCCCCACTCCCCACCACAACTGCTGATCCTGGCTCGATCGGCCTGTATGCTTTTGCTGTTCCTCTAAGCCAGATATACTCGTTACTTGTTCGCCCACCGAGTCTGGGTTGGTGGTTCGGTAGTGTTGTTATAAATACCAAAGCTGGAGATAGTTTCCCGGCCCTTTTCTTCCATGATACGGAATGCCAGTCTACCATCTTGCAAAAGAAGAAACGGACGAGAGAGAGTTTTGACCCGTTCGATGAAGGCGGTAATATGTTTTGGGGAGGTGATGAGGTTTTAAGATGGCTGAAGAGATATGTAACTGTTGAACGATCGGGCGCTGATCCAAGCGCGTACCTGATCAATCCGTCGGAGGAGGATAAGATGTCTTTCGGCCAACCTCTAACCGTTCATAAGTCACAGCCTTCACCGAGTGGACAGAGAGATGCCGGTATGGATCCCCTCACTCGAGTGTTGAAAGAAACACGATGGAAGGTCCTCGAACAGCTCAGTAAAATTACTACGTTTACCCGGAGGACTGCCCAAGATATTGCAGATAATCCAAAAGTTCCACCTCAGGTGAGACGTCTTATGAAAAATCCGGAAATCCAGACATTACAAGAGGAATTTGATAGTGCCAGGCTGTATCTGGCACGATGGGCCATGGGAATCGCTGAGCAGAGCGAACGTGAACGAAATCAGCGAATTTGGACAGCAAGGGACATGCTGGAAATGGAAGACAGTTCCGTCGGCGAATTTGAAATACTGAACATGGAAGCAGCAAACTTATCCCTTGCGGACAAACGGAAGCCTGTTACCCTGGAAGAGTGGAATAGCTGGTTTGACCCTATAACTGGACGGTTACAGGTTACTCAGGACGAAGCTAAGGAGAGGATTTTCCACGGGGGCCTAAACCCAAACGACGGTGTTCGTAAGGAGGCTTGGCTATTCCTGCTTGGGGTATATTCCTGGGAAAGTAATGATGATGAACGCAAAGCCATAATTAATTCGAAACGGGATGAGTATGTCCGTCTTAAGGGAGCGTGGTGGGAAAGATTAGTAGAAGGGCTCTCGTCTGCGGAAGACCTTGAATGGTGGAAAGACCAGAAAGCTCGAATAGGTTTGTTAACTCCCATTCCATTCCCTATTTTTCTATGCGATATAATATAGGGAGCTGACCGGGACCATTTCTCGCGGTCCGTAATGCAGAAAAGGACGTTCACCGCACAGATCGTACTATCCCTTTATTTGCAGGCGAGGATATTCCACATCCCGATCCCGATTCTCCATTTGCTGAATCGGGTACCAATGTTCATATGGAGCAAATGAAAGATATGCTCCTGACCTATAACGAATATAACCGCGAGCTTGGTTACGTCCAAGGGATGAGCGACCTCCTCGCCCCGATATATGCTGTAATGCAGGATGATGCTGTAGCCTTCTGGGCATTTGTTGGCTATATGGAGCGAATGGTACTTACTAAGATACTCTCCTCGTCCATCTAGCATCACATTTTAACATTATATTGTCATGTAGGAACGAAACTTTCTCCGCGACCAATCTGGGATGCGGACTCAGCTGCTCACTTTGGACCAACTCGTCCAATTAATGGACCCACAACTCTACCTCCATCTCCAGTCTGCCGACAGCACAAACTTTTTCTTTTTTTTCCGCATGTTTCTTGTTTGGTACAAGCGGGAATTTGAATGGGTGGACGTGCTGAGGCTATGGGAAGCGCTCTGGACGGATTATCTATCAAGCAATTTCCATTTGTTCATTGCATTAGCAATCCTCGAAAATCATCGAGATGTGATTATGGATCATCTCAAGCATTTTGACGAGGTTCTCAAATATAGTAAGTTCAACCTCCTATTCCCTGTTTCTCTGTTTTTTATTCTTCTTGCCTCTTTATTCTTCCTCAATAATGACAAGTTTCTAACCAACTTAATTACAGTCAACGAGCTTTCAAATACCATGGAATTAATCCCCATCCTGTCCAGGGCTGAAGCTCTCTTCCACCGCTTCGAAAGGAAAGTCGAAGCTATCGATAAGAAGAACAGTTTCCCTGCACCACCCGTTCGCCGACGCATCGTTGGGTCCCTGGATAGTGGAACTCACTCCCAACCCCCAACTCCGCGTGCACCCAACGCTCGTACCAACCAATCCATCTCCCGCGACCGCCATCGTAGCACTCCAGCTTCACCACCGCCCAACAACCAAAGGGTTGATATAGAACGGATCATCACTCCTGAACTCCGGGGCCTCATGAGCAAGAAAGTAGAGGTTTTGGACGCGGAACAAGTCAGAGTGCATGGCGGGGGGACGAGGCGGAATTGATAAAGTGCCGTTTTGTCTATGTCATAAGACTCGCGGGTCAAGTCTCGTATCGTCTACGACACCTGTCCTCTTTTTTCTTTTTTCTTTTTTCTTTTTTTTTTTTTTCCCACCTGAACGTTTTCACCATCGATTCTACCTTCGCGGGATGCTTAAATTAGTTCTCTTCATGCTTCCTTCTGCTCTCTACATCCTAACGAAAGCGGTCCTTCCGAAAGTTTACTACCCATCCACACCAACACTGCCATGATGAATTATCATTGTGTTAAATACCTCTTTTTACTCTATTCCTTTTGTTTTTGGGGCCTTTTACCGTTTCCAGTCTCACCCATGTACTATTGTTACGGCGGTGCCTTTGGTTTTATTCTCTTTCTAATATCTCTCTCAAATATATGCTTTCAAACCCAAATTCGAACATCTCACAATGTAGCACACTTCGAATTCATCAACTAGATGAAACGGACCGCTGGTAGCGAGCGCGACGGAGTGCGGTGATAGCTGAATAATTCAAATGAACTAAAACCTGTTGTTGATTGTAGTATAATATATATCTATATATATTATTCTATTGAAAAGAAGAAATGTGAGATGCAAGGACTAATAGAAAGCGATAGGGCGAACAAGAAATGAATTAAACAAAATATTAAAAGGAAAAAAAGAAGAAGAAAGAAGAAAAAAGGAGTTAGACAGACCTGTTGCCTCTATGTTGGAGAATAGATTTGTGAAAAGGGGAAAAAAAGAAAAGAAAAATATTAAGAACAAAAGAAGTAAAACGCCGGAGTGTGCATGAATTAAAAATGAAGTAGAAATGAGACGAAAAAATGAAGTAGAAATAAGACGAAAAAATGAAGTAGAAATAAGACGAAAAAATGAAGAAGAAAAACAAGGAAGGAAAAAAAAATTGAGAACGAAAAGAAAAACCAACAAAGTAAAATGGCAAGGAGAAAAATTGAAGATGAGTGGAAGAGTTGGACAAAGAAGAAACATCAAAGAAGCAAATGCAGGGCAAGGAAACGCTGTGGTGAGCGACGCGGAAGCAAATATTGACAGAGAACGGGAGAAGGGAATCAAAATACCAAAACGGAGACAGGGGATAAACCTTCAAGTGGCTAAGGAAATGGAGGGGGCCGCCGTCCATACAAACGTAACGTCAATCAGTCAGGTTCAATCAAATGGCTCAAAAATCGCTCAAAATCGCCCCTTTTCCACAGTAAAAATCAAAATCCGTCCATTTCCATTTCCATTCCATCCATCCATCCAACCCATAACCTACCATTCCTCCCTAGAAATCCAAGAGTCCCGAGTCCTTAAAAGTTAGAGCAAAAAAAGTGAAAAGGGGATTACACAAACGAATGTATCCCATAAAAATGCAAGGTAATATATAGCCTAGCTCCCCGCCCGCTCGAGGGTTGATTTCAAATATCATTCATTCCCTCCCCAGTCCCCGCAGATACACCCGTTTATTCCCACCACCACCTGTATCACTAACGCTCCTCTGACCGCCATCAGCTCGGTCCCGGAGCGCATCCTCCTGCAAAACATTCGGTCGAAACCGCCTGAGGTTCCCATAGGAGCGCTCGGTTCTTAATGTGGCAGAGGTGCGTCGGGCACGTCCGACAACATCTTCCACCCAGGCCTCGCTCTCGGGGCTGATTGATACTCGTCTGGATTTGGGATTCGGGCCTGCGAGGCCGAGGGGCGTGGAGACGAATTGTTGGCCTTCGCCGCCATAGGCGGAGGCGACGCTCATGGATGCGTTTGATGATGTGGAGAGCCTGCGGCGTGCGGATGAGAGAAAAGAAAGAGGCCCGCCACCGGTAGAAGAGGATCCTTCGGAGGCCTTTTCGATGTTTGCGGATGTGAGATTTGGGAGTTCAGAGTGGTTTGCCATGGATCGACGGGCTTTGCGGACGGTGAGTGAAGAGGGTGGGCGGATGTCGAAGGCGGAGCCAGGGCGGGATACAGGGGTCGAACGGCCGGTGCTAGGGACTTGTTTGTTCTGTGTGGAATAGTTGGGCGAGGTGTTATGGTTGGGAAGGCCGCGGACTTCAAATTTCGCGTCTGAGACATTTCGCCGACCGTGGTGGACGGCGTATTCTCGAAGATATTCTCCTAAATCAGCCCATCCACCGCCAACTCGCACCATGACTCGTTCTCCATCTTCACCGACTGAACGAACAAAGAGCTTGAGGGGGGCTGCTTTACCAGGACGATGCAGATGGTAGAGTCTAACTGCAGACCCGTCATCGTGGTATGTGTGCGTTCGTCGCGAACGGCCGAAGGCTGGTGTCAGGGTGAGTGATGGCGTAGGGGTATTGCTGCGACTTGACATTGGGGATTGTGATTGTAAACGATCTCTTTTTGGGGTTGAGTACGAAGGTTCCGACGCACGAGGAGTGCTTTTAGTACTCTTAGTACTCTCTGGAGTCGAGGCTAGATGGATTCGGGTGGGAATTGTGGTAAGTATGGAATTTATTTTCTCATCTAATTGATCTTCAGGCGATCTAGGAGCGTTAACAGAAGGCGATGCCGCAGAATCGGCAGCTGCATTTCTAGGTTGTGTGGTAGCGTGAGTAGTCGATGCAGCGTTTTTCTCTTTATGTGTTGAAATACATGTGACTGGACTGAGAAGTCTAGAAAGTCGCTTGCTGGACCTGCGTGGAAGGATTGGAGGCGGGGTAGGGGTGTCCTGAGTTTGAACGACTTCATTTTTGCTGTGCGAAATATGTATTGATGGCGATGGTTCTTCGGCAGTCGACGGAAGCGACTCAGTTGAGGTTGATATGCGTGGTCCACGGGGATAGTTGGGGTTGACGCCTAGAGACCTGTTGCTAATTCGATTTATGGATGATAGAGCTAGAGAAGAAACAGAGCGGCGAAGATTTGGCGCAGGTCTCTGTCCGTTTGTAGGTCCCATACTAAGCCTGTTTGAGACTATGATACTGCGCAGTTCGGTTTTTGGTAAAACCCCAATGGACGCAGAAGATGCCTGTTTGACCTCGGATTGATGTTTTGATTCATTGGGATCGCCCATTTCGTGAACATCCTGAGGATCTCCATCCACGAACCGCTCGAGTGGTAGGCTCATGGTCCGTTGGACTGCAGGTCGGGAAGAACTAGTGTTTCTATTTTTTAATTCTGCGGATTTTGTTCGTGACAGAATATTTCCGCCATGCCCGAGAGCCCAGGGAGCCTTAGAACCAGTTGTGAGAAAGCCACTCGGAGATTCAACTATGATAGGACTGCCATGAGCGGTTGCTACTTGAGCGTCCTTAATCTCAGGATCGGAGCCATACGAGAACCCCGAACCTACAGTTGAAGCGATAGAAACAATTGAATCTCGACGCGCAGAGATGTCCAGTTTAAGACCTTCTGGCCTGTTCTTGGTAGTGCTGCGGGGGCTCAACTCAGCACTTGTAGGAGAAGATGATATCCATGTATTAGTAACGTTGAAAGGGCTGGCCTGGCTAGGCGATGCTTTGGGTGCCGGCGACTGCGGGGAAGCTGGATCGGTAATCTTAGATCGCGAAGGGGAATGTAATGATGCATTGATCTCGATAGGTTCTCCAGAGAGGTTTTGTTCTCCTGTAGTATCGGGATAGTTTCTAGTGTTTTTAGGGGTCTCTATCACCCCTGAGCAGGGTTTGTCACGAGAAATTGAAGTCTCAGTCCAAGGAGTTCCGTCAGAGGAATGGTCTTCAAGCCGCTGAATGGGTGGATTTGATAATGCATCGATGCTCTGCTCGTATATCAGGTGATCAGCGGTGTCAGAAAACGACGGGTTAGTCAATTGTCCTTGAGTAGTGGAAGTTGTAGGCGTAGAAGGCAAGGCTGACGAAGTGTCCGAGTCACTTTGTGTAGGGTTTCGATTCTCCTGCTGGAGTTCTGGATCGTTGGGGAACTCTGTATGAGGACTCTCTTGGATTCTCACTTGGGATGCGTCTTCCTCTGCCCCTTGGACTTGCGGTATCAACGGAGGGGAAGGAGGAGCCTGTTGAATACCTGTTGATGCTGGAGGACTCTCATTCAGAACCGGGTCAGTTCGACAAGGTGTGGCGGGCAGCTCGTGTTTGACATGGATACTTGGAAGCTGCATCACCGCCAGTGAATTATGATCTTTGTCCTTTTGATCTTTCTCAGGCGGAGAAGCCGTACTCTGAGTAGTCAAGCCTTGCGGGCTACCTTTTTCTGGCCTTTCAGTCTCCGTTGGCTGCGTCGAATACTCAGGTAGCGGCGGGCTTGATCGCCTAAAATCGTTTTCGGATACCATTTTCTCCGCTTCAAAGGCCCAAGTCGCAAACCCAGCTTCAATAGCCTCCATTTCATCAATCCAAGCCTCAGGGAGGGCATCTTCTTGGCCTTCAAGAGAATCAAGAATGCGATCCATCTTACTTCCCACAATTAATATCTTGTTTTCCAGCTTGTGACGAGCAGAATCGAAGGAGGTCTTAGAAAATAGGGGGTCGTCCAATTCCGGTAACAATCCTGTTTTCAGTCGGTCCAGTCCGCCATCGATGCCCCGCTTCGTGCTCCCAAGGCCATCCAGTAGCTCGGGGATTTGGTGTAGTACAGTGAGACGAACGTCCCAAATATTGAGGAGAATATTGAGCTTGGAAAGGTATGGCAGTGCCTGGAGAATAGTAGCTGTTATTACCGCCGTGAAATCGCTAAGTTGTACATAGCTCAGAGTATTCATGTTTGTGGACCAGGTGCTATTCGAAGATGACGGTCGTGATCGAGAGGGGATATGTGCATTCAGGACGTGTTCCTTCAGTTCCTCCACATCCAACGCTTCCATCTCAGCCTTTATCGCATCAATCCTGTCCTCGTGCTGCTCTACAATGGCGACTGGAAGACAGCCCAAGTATCGCTCCCACCCATCATCACTGCAAGCGCGGTCTTTGCCCCCTGGGATGAAGCCCTTGCCCGCGGCAGCATCTTTCTTCTGCGGCCACTCCCATGCTAACACCTCTGCATGCCATTGCTTCAAATTCTGCCCAGCCACTGCAGCTCGAACAGCTAAAGCACGTTCAGCGGTTGAAGCTTCCGCAATGGCTTTGGAGAGTATGCCCTCTGCGGTCTTTCCATTTGTCCGCACAGCATCAGTGGATGCTAATGCTTCGAGAGTGGATTCCGGCGAAAGATTGGCAAGCAATGGATCTAGCGTGCAGATTAAGGAAGAGAAATTTCGTTCTGGAGAGCGGGAACGGCAACGGGTCGGGGATCGAGGAGGGGAGCGTGATGGAGTTCGAAGGCCTGAGGAGGGACGGAGGCGGAGCGCGGGAGTCAGAGTGAACGGATTTTCAGCCATTTTTCAGTAGCTAAGAATAGCATCGCGGTTCGCTCAAAGTGCCCTTGGAGAGGCTAGAAGTTTAATGTAAATTGTTGGGATAGTTAGGTAGAAGCCAGGGTCATCGGCGAAGAGGGTAAGTTCTGCATAAAGAAAATCTCTCGATGACCCTCTCCACATGTTGGATATGAAAAGCTGCTGGACGACTAAAACCGCATTTGCTTGCTTAATACCAGGACGACGTAGGAAGTTCGCCACCTGTGTCGCAAAGTAGATAGTTGGCGGATTGATCGACGGGAGGGAGGATTGACGGACAATGCTCGAGGAAAATGCCTACTCCAAGGGCAAACAACAAAGAAAAACGATCAGAAGAATAGGAGAGCCGGGATTAAAAAGAGTGGACGAGATGAAGCTATAACACGGAGCAAACCAGCGCTCTTAGCAACTTCAGTTCAAGATATCATGGAAATCGAGGCTGGGAAGGGGGGAGTGATATGCCCTCGTTGTCGGCGTTGTCGAGTGTGTCGTTCGAGATGTCGTGGTGAGGTGAGGCTCCACCGATCTGCGAGCACAGGGACGGTCGGTTAGTTAAATATTTATGTAAGGCCGGGCTGGCCCTATCCTATCAACGCCGACCAGCACATCCAGCATCCAGTCAGTCAGTCGACAAGCCCAAGAACAACCTTGGAAGTCTTACTTACGTTCAGGCCAAATTTGTATGGGGGGATAAAAACTCCGTCAGAAAGCGCCGGGAATGGGAAGAAGGTTGATTGGCAGCCAGGATTATTGGGCACTGAAAAATTATCGTCTCGTTTTTGGCAGTTCAACGATTATTTTCTCCTGTGGGATTATTTCAAATTCCCATCTCAATTTATTTAACAAACCAACTACCGGGTATACATGCATGGATATGCCCATAGAACACCCCCCCCCCATCATTGCGATCTCCGCTATTTTATGCCAGGGCCCCCCCCCCCGGAAGCCAAAACGCGACTATGTTTGACCTGATTACAACCTGCTAAAATAAACAAACATGCCAGCATCAGAAGAACCGATAATGGCAGATGGAATAAAAATTGCCCAATATTTTCAAAAAATAAATCTTCTTCAATATCACAACCCCAGCGGACATATCGCTAATTTATGCCGGCACGCTCTTTCAAGTCACGAAAGCTCAAAAGTAGAAATATATAAATATAGTACCAAAAGAGGAAATACTCTCCCGGCCGCCGGTTCACAGCGAATTAACTAAGTTGTAATAACTAACTAGTTACGCTTTCGGGTTTAGCTCCAAAAATGGATAAGTGAACTAACTAAGCTATTTAATTATTATTATATAAAAAACCTTTCATAAACGAGGCAGGTCTCTTCTGCTTGAGCATCTCACTCTTCTCTGTGATTCTCTTTCTTTGCCCTCAGCTCTTTGACTCAGTAGTTGCGCGCACTTGTCTTTTCTCATCAGCAGACTTTTCTCCTCCCGCTGCTCTCTCTCCATGAGACAAGAGAAGAGCAGCTTGGATGTTGAGCATAGTCACACCCTGTGCATTGTACATCATTGTCATGGAACTATTATCAAAGTGTTTTGGCGTCTTACTGTATTCTTTTAAGGTAATCTTGCCATATTGCATGTAACGCTTGAGCTTCCTGATAGCTCCCGTCAGGTCAGTGCAGCGCTTCAAGCACTTAGCTTCTCCGGCTCGTATCAGATCAAATTGGTGGACCCCTTATGTCCATTTTTGCCATGAACTACTCCCTAAAAATCAGAAGGTTGAAGAATAACTAAATGGTGGAGCTGACACACTAAAAAGAACCCTCCAGGGTAAATGGCCTGAAGGCAATCAATATATTGTACAGTACAACAATATGATCAACTCCATTCTTCAGACTAGCATTTTCTCAGCTCAGCTCTGGGAAAATAAATCCTACAGCGGGTAAAAGGTTGAAGGAGTTCCATAGTTAATAAAAACGCCAGAATCTTCCAAATGATTTTCTAAATCAAACAGTTTTCATCCAATTATAGAGACTTCTGAAATCTGATATCTGCCAAACCAAGGACATTTACAAACAAGCTGCCAACCTTTTGCTTGAACTGCATTAACTCAGGAACGTTGATTGTCCCAGGAAACTCGAAATCAATTTTCACGGCAGCTTGTATGCAGAAATCAACGGTTCCGTTATGTGGTATTCTTTGGACTTGGAGGGGTGAGTGCTGTGCTGTCCATTCTGATGGAAGAGTCTACATTCTTCATGGTAAGCAGACTGGTCATCTGAAAGTATTTGATCTCTTTTATTTGAGTCAGCTCATGTCAGAAGAGAATAGATAGTTCAAGTAGAGAATTAATGTGGGTGAGTAGAGGGAGCGTTGATTGGAGAGCTGAAGCTGGATAGGACAGGAGTATTTAACTAATTTTCGAGTAGCTGCGGTGGACTGGTAAAGATTGAACTTCAACCCATGGCATTAGATATTCTAGCGGAAAGGGTGTCAACTTCGCAATTTCACAGCAGGATGTACATGTATATCTTGAAAGAGCTTGGTAGCAGCAATAACTTTAGTTTAGCCCAATCGCGGTACCTGGCGGGTTAACTCTTTAACTAACTATGAGGTCAGAAAGCTAAAATATATAAATTCCTTAGTTATTTAAATAACTAACTACCTCACCCGCGCGCCAGTGGTCAATTTCCATTATCACTTCTCCGGAGAGATAATTACTCCTACCACAGCTCTATAATCATAACGCGATAGCAGATAATATATAAACCTACCTCCTTAGTTACACCCTGACCATCTGAAGATGCAGTGGGCAACATGCGATTCAGAAGCCAGCTCACCAATATAAACACTTTTGCCAGTATGTATGCTTCCCATGATCCTTTGCAACGTAGCCGGGACTAACAGGCTTCTTCAGAATTTACCGCGTCTTTATCGTCACTAGGCAAAATATGTTGGGTCCGCCTGGAAGATGAAGTTGTTCGCTTCACCATCATCCCGGACCAGGGAACCCAGGTCTGGGCTCAGTTGCCAATTGTATGTGGAATCTCAATTCTCCACAAAGCAAATAATTGAAATATGTGGATAAAAGGCAGCTCATACCTCCCTGAACTATGTTATAGGACACAGTCTTTGAATCTTACTCCGTAAGCTCCGCGTCGGGCGTGATCAATCTCGAAGTCCCTATCAGCGCGCTCCACCGGGCTCTCCGCTCCGCAACAAGCGCAAACTCGGCACAACTACGGTTAACCAAGAAGGGATCTGTCCCATTGCTTGCACTAACAGTCGTGACTTCGTCATGGACGTCAGGGAAGAATGCCCTAGGGATTGGGAATGGCAGCGACATCAACAACAACGGTAGCGCTAATTTTAGCGGGATGCCACCACAAGGCAGCACGCAACTCGAAACAGCAGCAGCACACAGAAACCAACCTGATGGCCCGCGTGAACGCGAAACCATAATAACGCAAGAAATTCCCGTCCGCGTCCTCCCGCCCTCGTCCGTGGAAGGCCTTCACGAGCCCCGTTGCCGTAGTCCAGACGTCCACATCGTACTCCCCAGCCTTATCCAGCTCAAAAGCATCTCAGAACGCTTCACGAAGCTATCCATGGATTCTGCTGCCAAGACCTTCCTTAATTCATCAACAACGGGACTAGCATCCACGCAAGGAGTAGGCGCGGGAGCTGCTAACACTGGTAGTAGCCCCAAGCTCGAATTGTCAGCAAACATGCACGGCTCGCTGAAACTCGCGATAGCGACAGACACCTTGCGCATCTCGAGCGTGTGGACCGGCCTGCTTAATCCGCCTCTGGATCCTGCACAGCTGTCCCAGGACGAGCTGGAGCAACTTCCCAGCGAGCGGATGAGGGAGTTGGGCGGGGAGAACGGGGAGGCGGAAGAGGGGTGGGCGAAAGTAAGGATTGATGGGAAAGACTGGGGCCGGGTGCTCAGTGTTGGGCGGTTGAGTCCGAGGGTTGTTGCGTGTAAGTTTCCATTTTTAGGAAATTTATACATCTCCATATCTTCGCTTTTTCACTAGGGTATACCTAGTGAGGAGCCTCCCATGGCCCCTGCCGCGCAACCCGCTCCAATAGCTTATGTCTAATAACCTTTATCTCAAATAAAATCTTTAGGTTTTATCCACGATACTGCACTGATCCTATACGTCTATTTACCGGAGAGCGAAAGTGGGGAAGATTCATGTTTAACGGTAAGTTTCAAGTTTCATATATAGCACACCCGTGCTCTTGAACCAGACTGGTTTCCGGACTGCGAGAGTTTCACACAAAAATTACATCCGTCGACAACGTACTGTTTACCTATTTGGCAACTTCTGACTGAAATCTTTCTATATAGTATTATATCAATTCTTACGCAGCTTGAACTTTGCTGTGCTGTTATTTTCGCACCACAAACTGTCGCCTGCAGAAGTCAAAATACCCAACATAGCAATCTGCACTTGTGCGTGCAATGGTTCTATTAATACTACTTGCAACATTACAATTTTCCACCCTTGATGAGTAATGAGTAATGCTACTTTTTCCTTAGTTTTTACTGAGACCTGTGAAAACACAGGGACTGCCCTCAGCTACTAGGGGAAAGTCAACATATGGAATGAATATATCACCGGCTTGTTTCGTTTCAGTGATGCACGCACAACTAGACGTAGAGACTACCTACCGTGCCCCTGAAAGTGCAACGATACACCGGTCGTGAGTTGCCCCTGTAGCTGTGAAACCTGTATTTAACTAGCTCGATCTTCGTAATTCAGTCGTTGAAAAATGAATGCCAACCGTGTTTAGCGGTGAAGGATACAAGTTGAGCGGGAGCTAAAATAAAATGGTAGATATCCAGACACAGTCGAGAGACCAAAATTTCATTATTTTCAGCTGGCATGCAATTCATAGTTGAGCTGCGACCTGTTTGCTATGTATCTGAGGGAATGCAGGCAAAAATAATATGTATTAGGAAAGGAAGAAGCAAGCAGGCGAAAAAAGTATAGACTGATTAAAATATTTAATAGGGGAAATGCCAAATAGTATACAGAAAAATCATCAAAGATCCCCTCTCTCGTCTTTTACAAGATGGTCAGAGTGACGAAATAATAAGCTAAGGCAAAAACGAGACAACCCAACGATGACATTTGAGAAAAAGGCAACATTGGCTCTTGGGAACAGGTGGTTGTGTCGCTAAAGTTGTGCAAAAGAACTATATAATGTAGTAAAACAAAGATGCCGCCCCAATAAGTTGAGACACATCAAAAATTAGCATGAGATAGACATGAATTCGGGAGGGTGAGGTGGTGACTAGAAGAATATTACAAGGCATATGGTCAGAAAAGGAGGCTCATTCACGCAGCGAAATGAGGTGCGGAAAACAAGAAAGAAATGCATGATTTTAATAAAGAAATGTAAAAAAGAATTATGTGGGGTATTGATGAGACCGTTTGGAAACAAGGAAGTACGGCTGTAATTCGAGGATGAGTTTCAAGTTCCTCGTCGTCTCACAAAGCAACATAAGATTAATTTTGATCTAGTGCCCGTTAAAGCGGACTTGTTCTCCTTTTCTCAGATGGAGGAATCGGGTAGAGATTCATTACTTTGTCATAACATCGACGTAGCCTCGGCCTCTCTTCTTTCCTCTGACGGTATTTCCCTTTCTAGCCTGCGGTGCTCCAAGAAGGTCATCAATGGAACTTGCATTACTGAGGGCCGTTCCTGGTCTGGACGGTAGCCCAGCTGACACAGATCGTGGCATTGGGCTGGCCGAAGATGGAGGTGCCAAAGATGGTATGCCCGGGCTCAAGTTCCGAGGCGACGAGTCCCCAGCCTGTGAAGGTGGCCCGCTTGATGGGTTAGGAGGTGGAGCAAGAGTTAGAGCCGAGCCTGATGTTAGTATATTATTTCCCAACGGCGGAATACCATTTGTCGCACTTGCGGACCGGCTTGGTGGTGCGGGTCCTTTGGGAGGTGGTGGTGTAGAATGAGTAGTTGTAGTGGCGCTATCAGGGTCTTTTTTGTTAACCCATCTCTTCAGTTCTTTGTCATAGTAGAACGAATTCTCCTCGCCAAGTTTAGCTCGGATTGGACCTGGTGAACTAGCGTTTGGGTCCTTCTTACCCCACCACGAAAACCACCCCTTTTTCTCTGTTATGGGCTTTTTGGCTACAAAGGTGAACACAATTGGTTAGAATTGGGCTAACAACAAGGTAAAAGGGAGAAGAGCAACTTACCATCCTCCTCTGCAGCCTTTCTAAATGCCTCGTCAGCTTCACGATCCTTGCGCTCCTTCTCAGCTGCTTTCCTTATGGCTTCGTTACGAGCGGCTAAATCGTCATCATCGTCATCCATGAATGACGTTTTGGGATTATCCTGGTCTGATTCATCGGTATTCACAGGCCCAGGCTCATACGATGGGGGCTCGTAACCAGTCGTTCCCGCTGGCGGTTCATAGCTCTGATTCTCGGTAGCAGAAGATCCGATCTCTTGCTCAATGGTGGATTGTCGGTGAAGGGTAGGTTGATATCCGCCAAAGTGAATAGGCTGTTCACGGTCCGCATGTTCTATGCCCTGAGAAGACTGCATTTCTTGAACCGGGGCTAGATGAGCATATGCCGGCTGCTGGAGTGGCGTTGAGCCCCTGGCCTGAACAGAAGGGGGGCTATAAACATTCTGTTGTGCGATCGGATGGTAGTCATTCTCCATACCCCTATTTAGTTCCCGAGAAGCGGCACCCCGAGGGTAAGAATGGCTAGTAGAAGGAGGGGATCTTTGTGAATCAAGAGATCCACGACCACGGTGTTGGTCTGGAGAGGAATAAGGAGCATATTGGTTCCCGGGAGCGTAACGAGAGGTGGTATGCATGGTGGTGGTGGTGGGTTGACCAATCCCGAACGCCGCATAGGCATCATGGACAGAAGGTGAGCGACTGATCGGGGGAGTACCAACCATCTTAGCAAAAGGCCCAATGTCCACATCTCCTGCTTTACCAGATCCGGTGGAGCCGCCGTCGCTGTCGTCACCAGCAACAAAACTGTTGAATTTTGCCAAAATGGACCCCGAGACCTTCTCCATGCTCGGTTTGGACATCCATGAAGAAGAGCCACCAGTAGGGGATTGCCTTAGGCGGTTGGTAAGCTCGTCGAGTTCGAAGAGGAACCGTTGATTGTAGTATGGTGAAGGTTTTGTTGTCGATTTTAGGATTGCTCCGATGGAGTCACAATACTGCTGAGCCTCGGCTTTGTTGCCATTTTCGGCCAGAGAAAGTGCATATTGAAGTTTGAAGGCTTGGAAATGCGGTGCTATCGATGTTGTAGAGCCGGATAATATGGACAGCGCAAACTCGTACACCTCCGTAAGAAGGACGGAATTTTTGTCGTTGGCGAAGGTAAATGGGTATCGGCGGTGGTCCGTACCAAGAAGAACAATCTGGGACTGCGGATCGTCGGGGCCACTAAATACCAGAGGTACGGAGGCGGATTTCGCAAATAATGCACAGATATGGGAAGCTTCTATCCTCCCATAGGCGGAGAGAAGCCTAGAGAGGGAAAGAAGTGCAACGTGGTCATTAGGACTTCTGTTGCTTAAAATTAGGCACAACGTTTCTTGCCATTTATCAAGCCCAGCCAGGGCGTTCTTCGCGTGACCAGGACCCCCAATTTTACTAACCATCTGCAAACCGGCTCGGGCAGACGGTGGCACTAACTCATCGACGCTCTCCTCCAAATTTCCTGCGAAAATTTCATAAAGTGTAGCCATCGGCTCGGTATTGTTACCAACTGCTTTGACTTCCCTTCTAACGAATTCTTGCATTACCTGCTTCCAAACAGACTTATCAATGGTTGAGGATATTAACATGGCATGACCCCATAAGCGGCGATCCACGGCTCCCCAGACTGCCTTTTCCCTCTCACCGGCTAGAAGGCATCTACGAATTGTTTCCATTCCATCTACGTTCATCGGCTCTGATTGAGCCTCTCCACTGATGTTTTCGTAGACACTCGAAAGCTGTGGATGGAAAACGGGAGCCTCCGATGACGCTGATGCTTTTTTAGGAAGAGGAGATAGAATGGACCGCACGGAATTTTCAACGTCTGGATTCCCCGCTAGAAGCCCGTCATGTTCAACCATAACCCGTATGATTTTCCAAAGAAGGATCGTCTCGTCGTGCTGCTGCGGAGATGACTTATTTAGAGAGGTGCTATCATTTTCGAATCCAGAAATCATAGAGGATAGCCATGAGATGACATCTTTTTTCTTTGATTTCACCCTCAAAGGTCCTGGGAACTTCACAGTTGGCTCCCTCTGCGAAAAAGTATCACCCATTGAGCGGACTTTGATTTCCCCAGGGGATGGCTTTATCTTTGGAACAAGTTGACCAGTTGCATATCTGGGGGTACGTTTAGGGAAGGAGCTGGCAATTACTCCACCAAAACCGAATTTAAATATTGGTGCCCCTTTCCATCGTTGGAGTGGATCAAGTTCTTGTCCATCAGTTGGATATATGAAATCTAGCTCCGTAGAAGGGGTTTCCTTGATTGCTTGGTGGACTTGGGGTTGTAGAGATGTTACCGGATTGTGGACAGATGCAGGCCGTTGGAACGGTTCCGGCACACTTGATAGTAGGGGTTCGTACTGGAGTCTACTTGGTGATTTAGTCTGGGATCTCCGCGGTGGCCTGGGTTGTTGCTCGGGATACTGTTGGTGTGGAACCGAGGTGGGTGGAGGCTGAGGATAAGAAGGCATGGTAGTAATTTGGGTGTGGGATGAAACGGGTTCGTATGTATTACGAACTGGAGGGGAACGTTGCGGACCAACATGACCTGTAAATTGGGAACCTGGTCTAGTTCCATTGCCTACGTAGGGTAGGTGCTGATTGGAAGGCATGGTTTGACTCCGCCCGATGCCAGGTGGAGAGAGAGTTTGGTCGGGAGGCTGAAAGGAAGAAGGCGCGGGGAACGAAGTAGGAGCAAATTCGGCTGGCTGGTGCGCTGTGGACGGGTATTGCCGGGATACATTCTCTTGCTGTGCCAGGGGGCTTGATGTTCGCGGTTGAAAAGGGAGTATAGTGGAAGGGGGGTACCCTGCTGGGAGCTGAGACGCATATTTACTCAAAGAAGGCCCGCTGGATAGAGGTGGGGCAGGGGAGTATCTTGGAGATGAGGCAGGTTTAAACCCAGAGTGTAATGTGGGAGGCTTTGGGGAGTAGTGGCTAGATGGGCCAGAGACAGTTGGGCCTGGTGCAACAGGCACAGAGGAGTAGGGGTCAAGTCGTTCAGGCTTTTGCAGCTGAAACTGTTCGCTTGATACACGCGCCAAGCCAGCGGTCGGGACATTAGGCGCCATATGATTAGATGGTGGCGGAGCCACTGGCTGCGTCGCCGTTTGTGGAGGAGCATATTTGGAAGCGGTTGAGGGACGGACCCTGGACACAGCCGGGAGCTCTTCGAAGAAGTTGCTACTCTGAGCTTTCTCTGTTTCACTGCGAGATAAGGGGGGAGGTGTAGGTTTTAAAGGGGCATAGGCAGAGCTTGAACTTGAAGGCCGAGTTGCTGTCATGCTGCTCTTGCGAGGAGGTGGCTGTATCGATGTGGTACTAGCTGGGAGAGGCTGAGAGACAGTGGGCTGAGAAGTGCGATGCTTCGGTCGAATTATTTCCATCGGCAAATCATATGGGGATTGGTAACCGGCCTTCGCTTGATTGGAGAAGCTTTCAGGCATATTTGGGTTGGGGCCTATCGAATGCTGTTGGACTTGAGGGGAAAATGCACCAGCAGTTGCATTGGCGTTAAGCAGCCCATAATCGGGGCCAGGCAAGCCCGAAATCACAGTGGAGGATGACGGTTGATGAGGAGTATAGGGGTTCACCCGTGGTGGCTGTTGGGTTGGCACAGGTGAGTCTTGAGCATATTCTGACAGATAATTAGCGGAGGAATCTTCGGAAGTGCCATTTGGTGGACTTCCTTGGGCCGTATGTAGAGCATCCAAATCATCATCAATCAGTAAATCATCATCGTCAAGAACTGCCTTCCACCTTTCTGCTAAATCTTCCTCGGGGACTTCTTTATCAGCAAGTGGCTCTTCGTTGATTCTGTTGTCATTAAGTTCTGCCCTGTTTGGAATTGGTGTTGCATCATTTGAGGAAGCAGCCGCGGTTTGCGGTTGGTCAGAATGTAAAGAATCAAGAACTTGAGAGGTTGATTTGCGGGTAAACAGTGGCATGCCTGACTCAGAAGCAAAAAGGTCGGCGTCGTCAACGGGTTCATCTTCCCTGAATATTGCATCAATACTATCGGCTTGGTTATTGTCAGTCGGAGATGCTGGCTCTGTATTATCCAGGGGCATGCCTTCTTCATATCTCGACTCTGCTTCCAGCGGTGTGTAAATGGGTTTGGTCTGAGTATTAAGTTGATTAAAAAATTGACCGGAGGGGTCTTCATCAATACTTGTCGCACTCCACGGCAAGAAGTCATTTTGCGCATCCGAGTTTGGATATACACTCCTTCCGACTGCGAACGGCTGGTGGGTAGCCTCTTGATTGATAGCATTCTCGGGGTAACCCCCCTCGTGAGAGTCGAGATTCTTGTTCTTGGAGTGGTCCGAATTCGGGAAGGAATTGGTCCGATCAGTCATATCAAATCCATCAAATGGGTCTGTCGTAGACCGTGAAATGCCCTGGGCGGAATCTGCGTTGTCATCTTTTCCCCATGGAAATCCTTCTGATGGCACTGGTTCTTTGGTAGTTTCTTGTTCAGTGGACGGAGACTCTGCTTGGGAAGGTTGTACGGGTTGGTGAACGGGGGCAGATATATCATCGCTGGGCATATTTTTAGAGGTTTCCGTCGGTTCATCCGGAGAGGATGGCTGTGCTATCTGCGAATCGATGTCGCGCGCACCTGCCAAAACACTGTGTGATGGATCAGGTGAAAGTGCAGCATGCGTCGACTCCGCAGGGGAGTCTTCGCTAGCGGACGATGGTAGTGGTGGTGTTGGCGAATGTACGTTTCTCGAGGGCATCGAGAACTTCGCGGATAACGGCGCTGCACTCGAGTCCGCCAGCGATAGGAAAGAGTGCTCCTTCGGGCTGTTATCGGGTCTCAACGCAGGATTCCATGATCCTAGCTGAATCATCTTGGATTCGAGGCCTTGTCGATATTCCAAAACAAGATCCTGGGCCACTAAACGACAAGTCTTCGAGTACCCTATTCTATTCTAATGAAAACACCCTGTCCGCTCCGAAGTCAGATAACGCCCATGCCGCAAAAGGGGCAAGGAGGTCAAACACGACATGAACTCACAGCCACTTGGGAAAAAGAAGTGGAAATAACACGCACTAACAACGGTAAAATCCAAGAGCGTGGGGAAAAATCATGGCCACATTAAGAATAACAAAACCGTTTGCGTGGGCCACTTGAGGCAGAGAGACATTTGTTCGTCCAAAGTCCCAAAAGTTGTCCCGATTTGCCATAAACAAGCCAGGTTTGAGGAATCGGTATCGGAGAAATGTAGAGCCGAAGTAGCCAGCTCAGCAGGATCTGGCGGGATTATGTCATCGGTATGTATCTTAAAATTCCCCAGATTACCATGGTGGGGGAGCGGGGAGCTAGTAATAATAAATGTTTACGGTGCTCATACCACTAGTAATATCCACTGCGCCACACCAAACCAGGCTGCCGCCTGTTCAGCCACGTGATATCATTTCAGCTGTCCGTCATCCAAGCAGTTTCGGATTCATGCTTAACATGGACCGACCCCAACGGCAGATATTGACAGTGCATGGCATGGACCTTTGTATGATCGAAGAATACCCTGCGCAGACCTCCTTTGTCTTGAGGCACGGCATCATCTTCCAGAAAAGAACTGATTATCGGTGAAAACAGAAGAGGATGATTTGGTTTTGTTGCGATCTGGCCTGCTGTTGATGATTCCAGTCCTTGACACACGCCATTGTTTATATTAGTTTTGATTGGTGATTGATCTATACTCAACGCTTGACATTTTGGCAGGAGTATAGGCATGACCGCATTAGGCCGGGCGTTTCACAGATATACTCCTGCCTCCGTCTTTTCAATATGGAACGCATGCATGAATACACGCGGCCGAGTGCGCAAGACATGTCCGACGATGCCGAATCTGATGATGACCTCGATCTCAATGAACTTGACCCAGAAGCCTCTGTGTCTCTCTACAATGGGCAGAGTCCAAAAAGTAGAGGAGGGATTGGCATAGCTCCGACATATGGGCCCGGTATAGCGTTGAGGCACTTGCGAGCTGGAGCTCGAGATCGAATATGGAACCGTAGTGCATCTAGGACAAGGCGACAGGATGGGGAAGAAGATACTGGTGGCTTGCTGGATGATCGCGATGGTGGCAACCAGGAGCTTTCAGGAAGGAGTTCAACATATGCTGACGATGATATGCCTCTTCTCAATGGACCCAGCCAGCCTCGCCTAAACCCAACTCCACACAGGAGCATATACTCGCGGCTTAGCTCTAGACTGCGCTTCCCCAGGTTTGGCTCTTCGTCCCTCCTTGATAACACTCCCGATGGATATAACGATCTACCATTGCATTCCAACGCAGATCATAGACCAACACGAAAATTGCTTGTTGGGCAAACACAACAAACCCGCTATCCACCGAATGTCGTATCAAACGCCAAATACACCCCCTTGAGCTTCCTCCCCCGCACTCTCTACAATGAATTTTCGTTTTTCTTTAACATTTACTTTCTTCTGGTGGCATTATCGCAGATAATACCCATTCTAAGAATCGGTTATATGTCCTCTTATATTGCCCCTCTGGCCTTTGTGGTATCGATTTCACTGGGCAAGGAGGCACTGGATGACATTGCTCGACGACGAAGAGATGCAGAAGCAAATGCAGAAGAATACACTGTCATATCATTTACTCCATCGTCTTCTCGAAAACCAGTTGTCCGAAACAGGCGGGCAACTTCTGATTCGGGCTCTCATTTACATGGAACTGAAATTTTCGAGATAACAAAGAAGGCGCGCGATTTGAGAGTTGGCGACATTTTGAAGCTACGGAAAGATCAACGCCTCCCTGCTGATGTAGTCATTTTGAAAAGCGCACTACCGGAAGTGGCCGCTGCTCAGAATACTAGCCTTCCTGGAGAGCTGATCGATAGAAACAATAACACTGCTGCCGAATCAACTGATGATTGCCATGTAACTCCGCGAGCTGATGAATCTGCTGACGGTATCGATGGGTCAAGCGATACCTTCATACGAACGGACCAGCTGGACGGCGAAACTGATTGGAAATTGCGCCTTCCTTCTCCCCTCACGCAAAATCTACCTCTCTCAGATCTCCAGAGGATACGGATCATCGCGGGCGAGCCTGAGAAGAATGTGCATAATTTTGTTGGAACAATTGAGCTGACACCTCCTTCTCCAAATTCTCCAAATTCTTATGATCCTCATATCAACAAAACTGATCCGGCTGCTCGTTCCCCAACACGCCCATCGTCGTCCGATGATCACCATCAGAGCCTCTCCGAGCCTCAGTCAGCTCCTCTTACCATTGACAACACTGCCTGGGCTAGTACAGTTCTTGCCTCAAACACAACAACAATCGCCGCAATAATCTACACAGGAGCCCAAACTCGATCGGCGATGTCGACGTCACCGTCTCGTTCAAAGGTCGGGTTGCTTGAATACGAAATTAACAGCTTGACGAAAATTCTCTGTATTTTAACGCTATCCCTCTCCATCATTCTTGTTGCCCTTCAAGGGTTTGAGCCTAGCAACGACAAGCCATGGTATATTGCTATCATGATATATCTAATCCTCTTTTCCACGATTATTCCTATGAGTTTACGTGTTAACCTCGACATGGCCAAGTCTGTGTATGGGAGGTTTATCGAGCGGGATACCGGTATTCCGGGCACTGTTGTCAGAACCAGCACTATTCCTGAGGACCTGGGTAGGATAGAGTACTTGCTCTCTGATAAAACCGGAACCCTAACCCAGAATGGTAAGCTAGACACTTTCGTCGAAGTTACAGCGCAGTCCCTAGCTAACAATGCTTTTAGAAATGGAACTCAAAAAAATCCATGTCGGAACAGTGTCCTATGCAAATGAAGCGATGGATGAAGTGGCGTCATATCTTCGACAGGGCTTTTCTACAGCCACTTCTAGCCATGAACCTCACTCATCACTCGTCACTCCAACAACCATAAATGGTGCCCAGACTGGTTTGGCTTCAACGACTCGGACACGACGAGAGATTGGATCTCGCGTCAGAGATATAATCCTCGCTCTCGCGCTATGTCACAATGTTACTCCAACAGCGGACGAACAAAATGGAGAGAAAATGACAACCTACCAGGCCTCGTCACCCGATGAGATCGCGATCGTGAAGTATACACAGGAAGTGGGCCTGCAGCTAGTACACCGAGATAGGCAAAAAATTGTGCTCAAATCAGTAGATACGGGCAACATTGTAGTGCGGGTTCGGATTCTGGACATATTCCCTTTCACTTCTGAGAGCAAGCGAATGGGCATTATTGTTCAATTTAAGAAAGGTTCTGATTTAGACAAATCGGCAGCGCAGGATGAGGAGATTTGGTTTTACCAGAAAGGTGCTGATACCGTTATGTCTTCCATCGTTGCCACCAATGATTGGCTTGACGAGGAGACCGCAAACATGGCAAGAGAAGGCCTTCGTACCCTAGTCATTGGCAGGAAAAGACTCTCCCAGGCGCAGTACCAAGACTTTTCTACTAGCTATAAACAGGCCTCATTATCCTTACACAACAGGGACACCGGAATGGCGAAGGTTTGCCAAGAATACCTCGAGCAAAATCTAGAGCTTTTGGGAGTCACAGGCGTTGAAGACAAGCTCCAGAAGGATGTCAAACCGTCTCTCGAACTCCTGCGTAACGCAGGAGTGAAAATATGGATGCTCACAGGCGATAAAGTTGAAACAGCACGTTGTGTGGCAGTTTCCGCCAAACTTGTTGCAAGAGGCCAATATATCCACACTGTCACGAAGCTAAAGGACAAAGGATCTGCCCAGGACACGCTCGATTTCCTCCGAAATAAAACAGATTCCTGCCTTCTTATCGACGGTGAATCACTTACTCTAATGCTCGCCAAATTCCGTACTCCCTTTATATCAGTCGCCGTCCTCCTCCCCGCCGTGATTGCTTGCCGCTGCTCCCCAACACAGAAAGCCGAAATTGCCTCCTTAATCCGCGAGCACACCAAAAAGCGCATCTGCTGCATCGGCGATGGGGGTAATGACGTCTCCATGATCCAAGCCGCAGACGTTGGTATTGGCATTGTCGGCAAGGAGGGTCGGCAGGCCTCCCTCGCCGCCGACTTCAGCATCACCCAATTCCACCACCTGACGAAACTTCTCGTGTGGCATGGGCGGAATTCATATAAGCGCTCCGCCAAGCTTGCCCAGTTTATCATGCACCGCGGTCTAATCATCAGCGCCTGTCAGACCATGTACAGCATTGCGGGCCGCTTCGATCCGAAGGGGCTGTTTATAAACTGGTTGCTAGTCGGTTATGCTACGGTCTACACCAACGCGCCGGTTTTCTCACTTGTGCTAGACCGCGATGTTGACGAGGAGCTAGCCAATTTATATCCGGAGCTATACAAAGAGCTGAAAACGGGTCGCAGCCTTAGTTACCGCTCGTTCTTCACTTGGGTCCTCGTCAGTGTCTACCAGGGTTCAATCATCCAGGGTCTCTCGCAGATTCTTGTCGGGGAGGTGACGGGGCCGAAATTGATCAGTGTTTCTTTCACGGCGCTTGTGCTGAACGAGCTAGTCATGGTGGCTGTTTCGATTACCACGTGGCATCCCGTCATGATCCTGTGTATTGTTGGCACGGCTATCGTTTATGCGGCCAGCGTGCCCTTCCTAGGTGATTACTTCGACTTGAAGTATGTTGTTACTCTAGCATGGGTGTGGCGGGTTATTGTTGTTGCGGCTATTGCCCTCGTACCCGTCTGGGCTGTGAAACTGATAAGCAGGACGTGGAGCCCGCCTAGTTATCGGAAGGTTCGGGGCTGATATTGGGATGTGCCTTTACGAATTTTTGTCTTGGTTTATTCATTTTTACGTTGTCATCGTCACCCCTGGTGTCTTTTATGTGACGAAATTTCTTTTTGTATAACTTGTTTTTGCTCTTTTTGGGTCGGGCGTACGGAATGGCTAGAATTGTTGACTTTTAACGCATTTTTTTTTCTCTCCATATCCCTATATAACCGTGTGCGTGTTTTTGAGCCGTGTTCCACGTAGCATACCCGCATTTTCAATTTTGAATACCACACAAGGTATTGTAGATCTTCGTACTCCTTGATTTTATCTCAATAATATTGGACAAGTTATGTTCGATATCCACTCCAGGATCCCTATTTATGTACAGAAAATAGACCGGAGAGGGCAAATACCACAAAGAATCATCACGCCAGCAAAAAACCATCCAGAACCCGCATAGAGCCACAGCACCAAACTGAGGAAGAAAAACGGGACAGCACAGGGCCATAACATCGAAAAGTCACCAAATGCTATATAAAGGGGTAAAAAAGAGACGCAAATTGTCCACTAAACGCCGAAGCTGGAGGGATATTAAGCAATAGGAAAGGGGAATAAAAAACATAATCCTGACGGAAGGGACTGAAAACCCAACACCTGAACAGGTGTCCTTATCGAGGTCCTCGATGCTGCCCAAGCCGTCTTCCCTGAAGCCCGTTCCCAATGCCTCCTCCACCCCCTCCACCCCCACCACTACCGTAAGTCGAAGAACCGTGACGATCTCCAGATTCCCACGGCCGGCTTGACCCCGTGTAAGGCTGTCCACCGCCACCACTCGGCTCATTTCTACCATACTCAGGGCTCGGCGTGCGGGTAGGTGATGAACTCACCGCACCTCCATGCAGCCTTGCCCGGAGCCGCTCCTGGGCCGACACACCGGACGTAGACCTTTCGATTCCCGTACCCAGTCTACCCTGCTGCTGCGCGGCCGCAGCCTGGGAAGTTTGGTAGGACCCCGCGCGCTGGCTGGGAAGCGGACGGGCACTTGTGGCTGTGGGAGGCGGAGGGGTGCGCGACTGCTGGCGATCAAAATACGAGCCCGCGGTACGTGAGCTGGAGGCCGATGTGGCTGGCCGGGTGGGCGCATTCGAAGGTGAAGGCATGAGATGCGTCGAGGATGATGGGGCGGGTTGGTGTGATGGGTTGCGGCCTAGTCGCAGACTCGAGGTTTGGTGTTGCGGCGGCGGTCTGGCCGGTGACGGGTCTCCCCATAGATCACCTAGGCCGCCACCAGCACCGCGACCGCCGGCCGCGGGTCCTCCCGGTGGCGCTGCTCCACCATATCCCTGGAAGGAGGCTTGGGTTGCGACGGCGACTGTTGGGGTTGGAGGGGCGGGGGACTTGGGGTCTGCGGGCAGCCAGGGAGGGAGCCTGCGGCCCTTTTCGGTGTAGTAGGCTCGCAGGACATTGGATATGTGAGAGCAGTCTTCGGAGTCCGGGTCGTCAGTCTCGTCCCCGGAGGATATGGCACGGCGAAGAGAATTGAAACGGGTGCTGAAGTTGGAGATTGCGGAGGAGGATTTGAACGAAGAGAAGTAGGACGTCATGGCTGGTTTACCCCACTGGGATGGGTATTAGGAGTTCCTTGTGCTTTTATTTTGCGCCGCTTTGATTGTGCTCCTACTATTGCTTGCAGATTTGTCGAGGAGAGGTTGAAGGTTGCGTGGTGGGGGAGGAGGAGAGTCGATGCTTTGAAGGTGAAACGGGGAGAGGGGTTAAGGCAGCCTAACGGAGATAGGAGGGCGTCAGTGCCAGGTACAGCAAAGCGCCAAGTGTGTCGCCATCTACTTTAGCCCGCACGCCGTATTCGAGTGATATATGAGGCTCGTCTGAATAGCGGGAGGCCTGAGTGATGTTGCAATTGTGCGATCTGTTCGACTTTTGATGCTGGACTTTCGGAGTTTGGAAAGCCAAACGCCGCAGCACGTGATACTGTGATGTCCATACAAGCCTTACCTCAGCCACTTCGTTAACTTATTTTTAGTTTTAAATATAAGAATAATTTACTTATTTTTTAATCATAATTATATCTAGTTATTTAATATTCTAATCTTTATTATTAAAATATCTGTTCGGTTATTAATAACTCTACATGCTTCCGGTATGGTTTTTTTTTTGAGTGCGCCAGAAGGGGCCTGTGAAGCATGGAGGTCCAGTGCCGGGCTGATAGTAATTAAATAATGAGATTCATTGAAACAGTTAAAAGGTATCTATATAAATACACATAAGGCTCCAGTGAACAGGATGATAACTTGATGTTGAAGGTGTCCAACATATCAGAGTCATTTCTATATAAGAAAATCATCCGGCACCTGAAAACTATTCACCATTCCTAAACGCCATGTAGCCAAAGAAAAACAAAATATAATAGCCTTAAACTAATGCTTCTCCGTGATCGCAGTTGTATTCAAGCAAATAGTCCCTCTTTCGCTGGCCCCTCCGTCTCATACTCGATCTCAACCCGGCCACCCTTCTTCCGTGGTTTGGGAGGAACCACGCCGCGTTTCCGCTTGCCGCCAGATACAGGCTTCTTCGGGGTTTCATCTGCTTCACTGCTTTCTTCACTATCATCCTCACTTTCATCGTCATCCTCATCGCCATCCTCATCATCATCCTCCGCGTCGTCCTCTGCACTGTCACCTAACCAGTCCTCCATGTCTTCCAAATCGTCCTCCTCCTCGTCAATGTCACTAACATACTCGACCTCGCCAACACCTTGCTCTTCTTCCTCCTCCTCTTCAATACCTTCATCAAGGTCCTCGTCCCGTTCGCCCTCTCCCTGCCTCTCCAGACCACGCAGGACTTTCTTCCAGACGCCCTCTTCCACATTCAGCGGTCGATCGCCGTAAGCACCACTCCTTAATCTTTCAATCAGCTCTCTCTCAATGGCCCTTTCCACCTTCGCAGCAGCCTCCGCCTTGCGTTCACGAGTCTCCTCTCTCCGCCGAATCTTAGGCGCCAGCTTCGCAACCAATTTCTCTCCCAGTCTTTCCTCTTCCTTAATAAGCTTTCTCGTCCGTATAGACACCTGCGTCAGCCTAGTAAGACGCTGTTTGCACTTGTGGATTAAAAATTTGGGCCAGTAGATCAGGCGCTCATCGAGCTGTTCGAGAGCTTTTGCATAGTTTGATGATAATCGTATCCGTTCCCACCACTTGCTGGGCATGTGCGATCGCTCAACTGTCTTCATGTACAGGTACATCGCACCCGTTGCTGGGTCGGAGCGGACCGTGGCATATCGGGAGTTTGCGAGCGGACATGATTGTCGATTGCAGAGGCCGGTCACGTTATATTCATTCCGGCAGAAATTCTGGCCTTTCGTAGTCCTGCAGAATGATAAAAGTTAGGTATAGTCCTTCATATAGGGCAGCGGGAACCATGGCCAGGTGATGATGCATTGGAACATACTTAAGTTTGTAGGAGCAAAATTGTTGGTTTATAACCTGCCAAACGATTTCGTCTGAAGACATATTCCCAAATGGGATTTCACACGCCCTCCTCTAAGCGTCTGATAAGAGTGTGTTAAAAGAGTCCGATGTTGACTACTATATTTTTTATCTCATCCGCACTGCGTTTTTGTTTGGTCTGAATTCATTTTTATTTTTTTTTTGTTAAGAAAAAATATTCGGCCAAGAAAGATCACGTGGCTGTGTTGCCAACCCAACTTGCTTGGCCTCGCAAACCTTATCTTATCTTATCTTATCTATCTTATCTTTCTCTCTTCAACTTGTTCGTTTATTCTTATTCTTCGCTATACTACGCTACGCGTATATGTAACTACTACATTACTATTACTCCGTATATTAACAAGAGTAAAAGGAATCACCTGTTGATCATGTCGCAGGGCATCACGAAATCCATAATTGTGTTCCAAACACTCTTTCTGTTTGCTTTCATTTGATCTTCACTTCTGAAGTCAGGAGGAGCGCAGTTCCAGCTGCTCATATAATTGAGAAGCTCTCTGAGATGACAAGCCACATCTACTCAGAACTTTGATTTCTGTATGCCCCCTTTGCGCTCTTCTTTATTAATTGCATGGTCCTGTTGTTATTTCACACACGCTCTCTCTGAATCTCTTAAGAGAGCAATATCCCTCTCGGCCTAATAGTTGTCTCATTTTGGCCCATATATGTGATTGATCCCGCTACACGTTATAGTAACAAGCCTGCAAGCTTGTATTTTATTTGTTTGTGCACTTCTTGCTCTGCTGGAAAGTGTTGCCAGAGTTTCTCAACGTCCCTATATCGCGGATATTCGAATCCTCATTACAGAATCGCGATGCTCAACATTGCCAAGCGAAGGGTATCATCCATAACTAATTCCAGAAGTACGTATCGAGATACCGTTACTGTTACTAGTTAGCACCACCTTGAACCGACTACGGAATATGCCCCGAACGGGTCGGGTTAAAAGTCAGCGCTGTGTTTCGAAGAGCATATCGAAAAAATCCGTTTCTACTGTGAATCTTGCCGCCGGTTCGCGGCATCGGCGGAACTTCTTGTACGGCATAGCATATTGATTCATCGGAAGTGCGCCGGCAGTGCGGAGAAGAACTGATTCCCTTTTACCCATATCTATAGAGTTCTCATTTCATTTCTATTCCCTATTACTCTCCACGATGCCTCTATCGGATATCGTTACCATGCTCACTCTCATTCCTTCGCCCTTCCTTCCCCCGTGAATGACTTCCTCATCCTTTTGTATGTTGATTCCATTGAATTATACATGTGTTCACTACCAACTATCCAAGCTAGAAAACCATATCGACTCTAAAGTTCTATGAACCCACTTGACGTCTTGCAGTAATTGACACTTCTGGAACCACTCCCCATGCGTGAATGAAATGGTCACAAAATCTACACTTCGAGGGCATCCTTCTGACATAAATCCACAACGTCTAACACTTTCTATTTCACAAGTTCTCCATAACTTTGGCAATCGAAATCGCTTTCTCTTCTCCGTGTCTCCCCGTCACGACCTGCAGCGAAACTGGCATTCCTTTAACCAAATTTACGTTGTCTATAATCACCTAGTCAGCGATAACGATACACACACAAACATGTATATCCAAGGATATAGATCCGAAATACACCAGCGGAAAAATACATATATAGGAAAACTCACATTGCTTATGATTAAAAGCATCCGATTCATTCCGAGCCTTGTACCCAATCCACTCACTATCCGGTGCGTCGATGACAGGATCAACCTTGGTAATGGGAACCGTCAGGGCTGCGTAATCGAGCAAGTTCCAAAGGGCGCTGTAGCCGAGCAACTGCTTACTTTCAACCCAAGTGCGCGGTTTAAAATTGACCCAGGCCATAACTGGCATTATCAGTGCGTCGATACCAGTTCTGTTCCAGTGGGCAAGGTACGCTTCCCTATAGGCGATTTTCTGCACATCGAGCTGTGGCTTGGGTTAGCTTCTTCGAGAAGTGGTTCGGAACCGGCACAGCAGCAAGAAATAATAATAATAATAATAATAAAAATAAAAATAGTGGTATTATTGAATTGACCATGGGTAGAAATGGAGTTTGGATGTACATACTTGCTGCCGTTGCCAGATGTTTAGCTTATCCCGCTCTTCGCCAACAAGCATACCCTGGATTAGGGGCTCGTTAGCCAACGTACACATGTTTCGGCATTCTTCTCCACCATCGGCCATTACGGCTTTCAGCCATATATTGATACCCTCATCGTGCGAAGAAGCGTCCCACTCGATTACTACCAACAGTTAATGGCTATTCACACCCGATGGTTGGAGGCGATCTGCCAAACTCTACCTTCATGGCCTGCTGCTTTGAATTTAGCCGCGGTTTCACGCAGCGCTCGGGTTATCGGAGGCTGTGGTTTCACAAACCCATCGTCGAAAATGAAGGCTATCCTTAACGGTCTGGCGGGCGGCTTGGTGAGTTCCTCTCGCCATGGGATGGGTAATGCTCTTGGGTCGGTTTCCCACGGGCGAGAAGACACTACAGCTTTCATGAACATTTCGACGTTTTCCAGGGTATAGCTGATAGGGCCAGCTACTGGCGGTACGATATAAATTTGCGTCATCCTAAAATTCAAGATTGGTTAAAACACAAGCCGGAGAATGTTCCTCGCTGATAAAAAGGTAAGAATACACACGATGATTTTTCCCATGGAATGCGTCCGACGCACGGGAGCAACCCGTACAGCCCTTGTAACGCAGCGGGAATTCGAATTGAACCCCCTATATCGGTCCCGACACCAAGGATACTGCCCTGAGCCCCAACCAAAGCACCCTCACCCCCCGAGCTGCCCCCTGAGATGAGGTGTTTATTGAAGGCGTTGACGGATTGACCGAATACATGGTTATACGAATCCGACATCTATCACGGCAGATGTCAGGATCACATTGACACGAGTTTCTCAATAAAGGAAAACCTACCATAAGTGACTGTGGTATATTCGTTTTAACATAGAGCACTGCTCCCAAAGAAAGCAGTAGTCTAACAACGCTCCCGGATTTCTTTGCCGGTTTTCCGATCAACCCAGCCCACCCTGGATAGATGTTTTATGTCAGTACGTAACATGATATATACCTTCCACTCCACCCCTTGAACATCGAGCAGGATACATAGGTGTGGTATTTCAAAGGGATGCCTTACCAACCGTGGTATCTATCCCCTCAATATCAAAGCCATCCTTGATCGAGATCGGCAATCCATGCAACGGCCCAACGACATTCCCCGTCCTCGCCAAATACCCATCAAGTTCCCTCGCTCGCTCCAAAGCACGTTCGAAAAACATCTCTGTACAGCAGTTGATCAACTGATGCGCAATGGCAGCCCGTTTACAGAAAGCTGTCGTCACCTCGAAGCTAGACAGCGATCCAGTTGCTATCTGGTGCAACAGTGAGACTGCATCGGTGATCTTCGTGATTTGCAGCTCCTCGCTCGAGAGGATGCCACACGATTCGATCACGTCTATGGAATTGACGAAATCCTCGGCAATAGACTGTAATCGCCACGCGGGAGGGATGGATTCTGCTTGGCTACGGCGCTTCTCCCGAACGATTTCTTTCCAATGCACCATGTTGACTAACTTGCAGGTTTTTATCTTGGGGAAGAATTGACGTATATATATCTAGGGGTTATGCTTTCATACTACAACACCGTACACGATAAAATTAAAATGGAAAAAAATATGTATAAACCTGCTGAAGTCGCCAAAGATAAGAGGTAAAAGCCAATAACGAAAGCAGACAGATGGACATTGGGGAAGAAGTAGAACTATAAATACCCGGACACTTTTAGCGCATGAGATGTGTACAATAAATAAACCTTGCTGCGGAACAGGTTAGATTGCTCTATATGTTTCCGCTTGAAAGTCAAAAACGCTGATGAAGCCAATCAACTACAAATAGCTTCTAAAAACTCATGAACACAAATATTTATCCTATATCCGCCATGCATTTGCTGTGAATTCCCCATAAAATGAGTATTGCCTCTGATCTGATAAGTCTCTACCGTTGTACTTGCCAGCTTCGGCTCTCGTTTCCCCGCGTTCGGCATTGGCGTATTTAGCCGTTAGCCCCGCCCTAATCCAGCAATATGTTGACGTCGATGGACGGAACGATTGCCGATGGCCGACGATGAGTATCTACGATTCCGTACTCTCCAGACATTCGACTGCTGATTGCACTATTATTTCCTCAAAGTATGTATAGACGGATATTCGTTTCTAGCCACCAGCTCACTGGCTGGTTGGATCTTTAGGCGAAAATAGCAACGGCGGATTTGAGCTGACCTGAGGGCAGGTCATAACCACTCGTGAACCGGGAGGAAATACTTGGATAGGGGGATAGAAAATTGATTTTTAAAACTAACGTCTATATCCATTTCAATTTAGCTATAACAAAAAGGACTCAGGATGGAGGTTCCCCAACCCTCACCTCAAACCATCCTAGTTGCGCCATCCATTGCGGAGACCTTCGTCCGGACCCTCCTTGAAAAACACGCCGTCCCTCCCAAAAACGCCGCCATAGTCGCCAAATGCCTCGTCGAAGCCGATCTACGCGGCGTCGACAGCCACGGCATAAACCGCATCCCTTCCTACCTAACCCGAATCCGCCAGGGTGTTCTGGACCCCGCCGCCCTCCCCTCCGTGCAGCAGATAACCCCAGTCGTCGCCCTAGTAGATGGGCATAACGGCTTTGGCTTCGTCGCTGCACACACCGCCATGGACCATGCCATTGGCATGGCGAAAGAGTACGGTATTGGCATGGTCTCTGTCAGGCACTCGAACCACTTTGGCATGTCAGCCTCGTTTGTCCGGCAGGCAGTGGATGCGGAGATGATGAGTCTGGTCTTTACGAATTCGTCCCCAGCACTGCCTGCGTGGGGCGGCAGGGAGAAACTAATGGGTGTCTCGCCGATTGCATGTGGGGCACCCGGCGGTAAATCTGGGGTACCGTTCATCCTTGACATGGCCCCCTCGATTGCTGCCAGAGGCAAAATCTATAAAGCCCATAGGCGGGGAGAGCAGATTCCGGAGGGCTGGGCGTTGGATGGAAATGGTGCGCCGACCACGGACCCTGCTGCAGCGTTGAAGGGGGTGATGTTGCCGATGGGTGGGCCGAAGGGATCGGCACTAGCGATAATGATGGATGTGTTTTCTGGGGTTTTGTCCGGCTCGTCGTTTGCCGGACATGTTACGGGCCCATATGATCCGTCGAAAGAGGCTAATGTGGGCCATTTCATTGTGGCTATTAAACCTGACTTGTTTATGGATTTGGAGGAGTTCAAAGCGCGGATGGATTACTTGTACCAGAGGGTGGTTGGCGGGGAGAAGATGGAAGGGGTCGATAGGATTTACTATCCGGGTGAAATTGAGCTGTTAACTGCGCAGAGGAGGGGGGAAGAGGGGATCCCATATGTGCATGCAGAAATCGAAGCGTTGAATTATGAAGCGGATGAGGCCGAAGTTGCTCATTTAGATAGGATATGATGCGGGGAGCTGCGGGGTTTTGTTGGTACTAGAGCTTAACTACATACCTCTCTGACAACTGTAAGATTAAGTTGAGACTGAGAAAAGGCAGTGAGTGATACATCTCCTTTGGAAGTAACTGCAGCAGCAACAAGCCTCTCAGCATCTTGGATATCAAATTCAAACTGACCATCAGTCAAACGTGCGAAATAAGCACAAAAGAAGACGAGAAAGCAAGTTATGAAAGATAAAACAGCAACCAAGGAACGAAAGAAAGCTGCAGCCTCTAAAAATATTATTCCTTTTCCATAATTCATAATCCGTCCAATGAAATGAAAGAAGGACTGAACGCGCGAATATCACAACACGAAACGGAATCATGTATAGACAAGCATAGCCTAGGCGTCTAATAAGGGAAAAAAGGACGAAAAAAGAAAAAAGAGGCAGCTGTTTTCTTATTCACCAGTTCTCCGGTTGCATCGCCCCGGGATCTCCCCCATTCAGCCCCATTCAGCCCCGGAATCGGCTCCCCTTCTTCACTAGCCGCATTCAGCATCTCATCCCCGGTCATCCCCCACCCCATGTTCTCGAGCTCTCGCACGAAGAAATCTCGCTCTTCATCCATTAATGTGTTCCCGTCTTCAAATGCCATTGTATCTTTATACTTGCGCAGGTGCCACCAGTGCGTGAGGCCGCGCAGCGTTTGCTCCATGGGCAATGACTCTTCAACCTCGGCATCCACATCACTTCCAGCCAGCCAGTCGTCGCGCAGCTCCGGACGGCAATATAGATAAATGGCCGTGATGACGCGCATGTGGCTCTGGCGCCATTTCCGCCCACAGTAAGGGACTTGCGACTTCACCAGCTTGAGCGTGTAAAGGCGAAGACGTGGATCGGGAACTTTGATCCCCTTCCGTAGAATGTTGCTGGATTTGTACTGGACGAGTAGCAGGCACCTGTGAGCTTTGTCCCGGGTGATCTTTTGCATTATGTGCAAGAAGTTAATCGACGAGAAGAAGTTTCGGAAGGAGTAGGTGGTGATCGGCCCTGTGGGCGCGGGTGCACTGGGGTAACCTAACTCATCGACTTCGGGGAGGGGTGGAGGGTGGTCGGGAGGATTGGACTGCAACTTTTGTGGTGATGCTGGGCGAGCGGAGCTATTTGGTGCAGATTGCTGGGGTCGGGCATTGCGAGTAATAGGGGGTGGGGCTGCATCATCCTCGCTATCGGGTTCCTCCGGTTCGGGTGAGGTTGCAATTTCCGGGGGTTGGTTAGAATGGACGTGGCAGAAGTGGAAAAAGCTAAATCAAATTAGCAATTAAGCTCAATCACTGTTGTAGGTGCAGCTCTGGCAACATACCTCAGATCATCTCGATCATTTCGCTGCGCAACAACCCTATCGATCTCCTGATGGATGAACATTTTCAATATAAGAGGAAGATAATTTGAATCGAGCAGTAATTGTGTCATGTATTCGAATTTTAGTATATCTGGGAATTATGTTAGCAAAATATCTGACTAAAGCCATATCCAGAGCTGGAACTGGAACATACGCGACCGCTTGAGCCATTTCAGCATGATTAAAAGGCACCCTGAAATAGCAGCGGAAGTTATTTCTCGGTGTCTGATGGCGTCGAGTTCTTCACTGCATTGATTGTCGTCTCCCCGTTCCATATCTTGGGAAGCTGAATTCGGCGCAGCCATATCATCGAACAAAGAAGCTTTTGCGGGCCTAATAAGAACATAGTGTTAGCTTTTCGGATATTCACTACTTTCTATGGAACCAAGAGATCTCACCCATGTCTGAAGCCATTGGGTCCGTTTGTTTTTGACTGCAATGCCGCAGCTTCTGTAATGTTTATTAAAATCTCTTTCAAAAGGACAATGACTATGGATTGTAGATTTGGGAAAGCTTGGCTCTGTAAAATGCGGACGTCAGTCAAGGATACATGAGGCAGAACGGACAAGTTTAACTTACATAGAAGTCTTCGACAGCATCTAAGCGTTCCTGGACGTATGGGTCATCGGATTCCTTCACATGTTGGAAACCTACGTCAGGTTTTTTCTTTTCAGCTTTCTTGTCCTCCGATTCAGACTCAAGATCAGCCAGCCAGTCAGTCGCCGGCTTATCATCATCGAATTCTGTGGCATCCCAGCCTCTATCATATTTGAGGAATCTCTCTCGTTCCTCCCAGAGTTGGCGCATCGCTCTCGTCATCTTCATTCGACTGGAGAACAACTGGCCAGCTTCGATTATAGAGGCAGGTACATCACTTCCTTCCCATTTCTTACCCACAACTCTATCTTGAACTTCACTACTTCCCTTTCCACCAATATCGTTGCTAGTCTGGTCAAGAGGTGGATACATGAAAGGGAAATGTTGGTTGGTTTGATAATTTTGTTTTTTACCCCCTTTTCCTCCTGGTCCCATGGGTGATGGCGGAGGTGATGGAGCGGGCGTCGCAATGTGCACGGATTGGTGGAGGATAGACCCGTTTCCGCTTAATGAGGCCGGTCCAATGCCAGAAAATAATGTTGATCCTGAATTATATCTGCTGGAATGGCTTGGTAAAGGGGGAAGTATAGAATTGTTCTCCAGCTCAAAGGGTACTAGCGGAGGAGGAGGATTGTATGCTGGGTATTTGGAGGTAATTTCTTGTCGGAATATGTGATAATCAAGCGGAGAAGCAGTAAGAACAGGTAACTTGGAAGACTTCGACGCATCTTCCAAGGCACCATACTTAGGCTCCAGAACTGCTTTCACTCGCGCTAAGCTCTCGGACCCTCCGAATAATAGCAGAAGGCATTTCCATAGCAGGAGGATAACCTAGAAACATTTAAGAACGATATACTTTAGATGAAAATGGGATTTAAACTTACTCTAGTTAATGGAATGCTGGTTGCATCTTCCCAGCGCAATCGCGCAATAATTTCGACGAGGAAAACAAGGATATTCGGTTTTAACGCAGCTTTCGAGGGAACAGTCAGCTATAGCTTAACTCTTCTGGAGGAAGAATAGTAATCAAAACATACCAATATCATTCTTCAAGCCAGCTTGATCCGGGTTCGATTGCTCCTGTATGCGAGCCACCTCTACGACTAGGTACATAGCAGTCAAAATGAGATTGGCTTCTCTCTCACGAGCCGCATAATACGCAGCCGTTCCGTTTTCCGCCTCGAAAAATTTCGCATCCGCGTTTGTTATTGGCCTGGCATATGCATGTTAGTAAAACAAAGACGCAAATACAAACATTGTATCTTTGGTAGATGGATTCACTAACTGGTCCTTCTCAAAAATCCGTTTCATGGCCTGAAATAATACAGGAATTCCACCACACTGTTGCACAAGCAATATATTATTTACCATCCATTTAATCTGCATCGACCTTGACTTTGGACACTCCTCCAATGATTCAAATTTTGAAAATCCAGCCGGAGGATCTTCTGAACTTTTGCCAGCCGTGACAGCCCAAGCCCCCGTTATAAGATAACAAACAACCTCGAGAGCTTCAATACGGATAAACAAATCTGCATGATCGAGAGACCCAATCATACGGGTAACGAAGCTCGCACGAATCTCCTCGGTAACATCAACCCAGGGAACTTCAGAAACCGCCGGGGGACTCATACACTTTTGGCAAAACTCCGACCAGTTCTGTTCAAAGGAAGCCTTGGACCCCAGCAGCATAAGACGGTCCGGCTCATTGTACTGGAACCACTCGTCTACCTCCTTCGGAAATGGCTGACAGTCAGCGTACTCAAATGCATAAGCAGGCTGGTCAGGCCTGGGCATCTCGTGGACTAGTTTCCGCAGCTGGGCTAGACTCAAGGAATCCGTTGGAGACCCTATATTCTGGTGCACAGGCGCTGGTGGTGGCGGCTTCATGGGCGGTGGTGGGGCCGCACTTGCATCCCTACGCAGTTCCCGGCGCGCCGGTTCTCGTCCATGGCGTTGGGGAAGGCCAGGAAAGTCGTTGGGATCAGGTTTGCGAGCTTGTTCAGCTTTAAAACCCTCAACCAGTTCCGGCATGAGTTGATCATCGGGAACTGTGGAAATATCAGTCCCCAACTGGTCAATCTCGTCCGCGTGGACAATATGGTGCTCCGGTATGTCGGAACGCCGAGACTTCGATGGAGAATCCATGGCCTGTTGGGTATCTAAAATGGGCCAAATACCGGATATTCTAACTTGGAATGGAATATGTATTTATAAGTCGCAAAACAGTGGAGAAACTCGAACGTTATATGTGGTGGCCACCAGCTGTCCTGCTTGGTCTCACTCCAAAGATGGGGTATAAAGTAAGGGCAAGAAGCCACAACGCAGAGATTCTGAGGCAGGATCCTTCATGGTCAACGGGTATTTAGATAGCGAGTTGCATTCAAATTCCCCATAGTTTGGATTCACCGAACTGCTGCTGTGTTTGATATCAAGATATCCTCCTCTTCTTCAAGATGTTGAAGGGATACGATAACACACAGGATCCGGATGAAATAAAATCCGATATAGTTATATCACGTGATATGGTTATTGATCGCTTGCGACCAGCTCTCAAGGAGAATCGTGGACAAATTGGATTGTTCAATCGCTCGGTACTGTATGGAAGGAGTTGCATTGGTTTATGCAGCTCGGACACTACTCTATGTATATGTACAGATACACGTCCACAGATCTAGAAAAATGGGACAGGGCGGAAAATGCAATACGCCTACTACCAATGCGCAGACAACGCTCAACAAGGCATGATTATACTAATAGCTCAATGTGTATATACGCAAATAAATTAGAAAACTCCAATGTCAGACCTCAGCCAACCAGAGAAATTGTCAATTAAGCTTACCAGAAGCCTTGGAGGTCCGTTTAGATGCAACACTCCTTTCCATCCACCGTTGCCAACCCGCCTCCACGGGGTCTTCTTGAATAAGCAAATCGCGCATTCTAGCCATTCTTGCTAGCTGCGTTTCCAAAGCCCAATCAATCCAGCCTTCCCGTCGCAGGTAACTAGAGAATAAAAACCATGATATCCCACAGACCACTCCCGCAGCGCAACCCGCCAAAACCTGCTTCGGCGTGTGGTAATTGAGATATACGCGGCTGGCAGCGACTGCGCCAGCACATACACAGGCTAGAGCTGAAAGCGCTGCCCGTTGCATAAACGTAGATGCGGAATGGTTGGTAGTAAGGTCGGGGACATGTCGAACGAGGAGGAACAATGTAAGTGAGAGGGAGAAGAAAGCGACGAATTGGGAGTGGGAAGATGGCATGCCGTAGCCCTTCCCGAACATCTCTGTTGGGTTCCAATTGAGCCAAATTAGCCTTTTTTTTTTTTTTTTTTTTTTCTCGTAGAGTTCATACAGAAAACGAAGAAGCCATTATTTAACTACAGGGAAGATAACAACATACGAACTGGTCTCTCCTCGCGTATTAGCCGCTTCAAGAAGAAATTTAACCCTTCACATAGCATCTGACCAGCGAACATAAGCAGCACTTCGACCTCCCGCGTCGCCCAGATAAGAGTAACATAAATGATGCATATTGCCTGCGGGACTAGAGCTAGGAAAGCAGAAACGAGGGATATGGGGTCGTCCGGGTTCTAGGAGATATCCGCGCGGGAGGAATGTTAGTGTCCGAGTGGGGAGGATGGAATGCGGCGTCAAAAGAACGGGGAGGGACAACACTCACATAATGGACATGAGTTAGCGATAGAGATGCCAGAGGGACATCCATCCCAGCCATCTCGAGTTGAAGCCTCGCGGACAGGTTAGAATTGGCAATGTATGTTTGGGCTGATTAAATTGATATGTCTCGATGGTTAAAGGTCTAAATAGCTAGAAGCAGGCTAGAGCAATAGAAGATCAAAACCAAAGTAAGTATGGACCAAATTCATCAGACAACTATTTAAATAGCTAAATATTTAGCTTAGCTAAATAAAGGAACCCTCAAGAGGCCTCGCTCGGCCAGACGACCTCTCACGCGCGATGAGCGTGGTACGAGGGCGAAACGTCGCTACGAAATGGATATGATATACGTAGTAGTGCGGGCTAAATAGTTAAATATTTAAGCAAACGATAAGACAAGGAATAAAATATTTTAGCAAAAGGGAAAAAAACAAAGGACTAAATTGCGTGCGTTGTGGTGGTGATGCCTTATTCTTATTATTTTTACTAAGGTTGGGCAGGAAAGTTCATTGCTTCAGCGCCCATTTATAAGTTAACTTAATATTTAACTATATTTATTATAGTTAAATATCGAAGTAAATATGCGGCAAAAAAATAGTATATTTAACTTCCCCCCTTCCTCCGTCCCCAACTTGCTGTTCATTTTTCTTTTTCTTTTTGTTGACAGAATCCGCATATTAGAATAGAAGAGGCAACTAATATCCCTCAAGTATTTATTTATATCTATTTACGCCTGTTGCCTCTAGAAATCCGTGTGCTCCCATCCTCCCGATATTTTATTCATCCCAGAAAGTCCCGTCCCAAACCTCCCCCCGCAATGCAATGGCGAGATGACGGGATTACAGTCAAGGTACGGAGGCCTTTTTTTTTTTTTTCCTTTGCCCAGCGGATCTCTTTGAAATGGCTCTCTGCTCTCTGCTTTGATTTTCTGCCTAGAGAATAATGAGTCAACCTTGAATTCTAACGGCCTAGTTAACTAACTTACACGCAGCTGCCCGTGTCCGCGAACCCCGCTAACCCCCCTCTGTGACGATAGAAAACGCGATAAGGAGAACCGATAAAAATTCACGAGAATAACTAATGGACGACCTATGCGAGGACGAACGGGCCGTTGAGCTGTCGTCCATTGTCGCCATATACCCCGAAATTGTTATAGATCCCGATTCGAAATTCAAGGCTTTTCTTGAGCTTCCCGTCTCTCCCACCAAGCCCTTGAAGGTCATATTCCAGCGACCACAATCATCACTCCCAACTCCGCCGGCATCTCTCAGCACTCATGAGGATGGAAACACCTTGCATGTAGATGCAGAAGAGGTAGTGCCATGTTACCTCTCATATCTTCCGCCTCTCAGGCTGGAAATTGATGTTCCCGATGGATATCCCTCCCTTGCACCTCCTCACTTTTCTATCACGACAAATCCAGATTGGTTACCGCCATCAAAGATCGCTGAACTAGTAACTGATGGCAAGAGATTATGGGAGGAATGCGGGAAGGATGTGGTTATATTTACATATATCGATCATCTACAACAACTAGGGGAGCGGTCATTCGATCTTTCGTCAGATCCCGAATCGCCCCTTACCCTATCGCGAGATTTAAAAGTTGCACTTATGGATTTTAATATGCAAGCTCAGCGACAGAAGTTTGAACAGGAGACTTTCGAGTGCGGTGTTTGTCTGGAACCTAAGAAGGGGGCAAGTTGCCATAGAATGTTGCTCTGTTCCCATGTTTTCTGCATAAATTGTCTTCAAGGGTTTTATAACACTAGCATAAAAGAAGGAGATGTTGACAAGGTGAAGTGTTTGTCCCCGAACTGCGGGAGAGATTCAGGAAATGGACCACAAGACGGACAGCGAGGACACCTGACTCCTGAGCGCCGAAAGAAAAAGGATCGATCCCTTAATCCAAGTGAGCTTTTGCAAATTCCACTCGACCAGGAAGTTGTCCAGCGCTACGTCCACTTCAAAAGGAAGCGGAAACTGGAGGCGGATAGAACAACTGTTTATTGTCCTCGCCAATGGTGCCAGGGTGCTGCTCGCTCAAAACGACATCCGAAGACCACGGATGCGATCAACGAGGAGATGGAATTGTCAGACGATGAGGACGACGAAACCTCGCGCACCCCATTTGATCCCCTTGGGACAGAAGATCAGCTTCCACCAAAGTCAGAACGTCTCTCAGTATGTGAGGATTGCAGCTACGCATTCTGCTGCGTCTGCAAAAAGGGCTGGCATGGCGAGCTGGCATTCTGCTATCCTCGAAGAGCGGCTGAATTATCGGCAGCGGAGAAGGCCAGCGAAGAATACATCAAGATGTACACAGCACCATGCCCAACATGCGATACTCGCTGCCAAAAAGCAATGGGTTGCAACCACATGATCTGTTTCAAATGCAACACCCACTTCTGTTACCTATGTTCAAGCTGGCTCTTCGAATCCAACCCGTACAGCCACTTCAACGATCCAAACAGCAGTTGCTACATGCGTCTTTGGGAATTGGAGGAAGGTCACGATTCCGGTCCTGGTGGACCGAATTGGGATGATGCTGCTGCACAAATACTAGCTGAGATGGACAGTGAGGACGATGACGCGGAAGACCTTGAGCGGGAAATCGCCGCCGAAACCGCCAACAACAATAACCACGGACAGGGAGCGAACAACCGCGCGCGAAACCTAAATCAACAACACCAACGACATCCTCCACCTCCCCCAGCACCGGCTCCTCCAAACGCAGCACGATTTCGAGCGCCACCTCCCGCACCAGTGCCCCCTGGCGCCAATGTCAACCAACAAAATGGCCGTCGTGCAAACGATGCAGCCCGTGCTGCGGCCGCGGAGCGACAGTTGCAGGTTCAAGCAATGGCCGAGATGCGAGGTCTGCAACGTAACCCGCCAAATGCACCCGCGCCCCCGAGACAGATGGCTGGATTACAGCGGTTTTTGGAGCTGGTACAGAATGACCAAGAAGATGAATGGGACAGCGATGAGCTGGAAGATTTTTGATACGATACGTCACGTCAACAACTACTACTCCGTACAATTAAAGAGTTCGTGTTTCGCGTACACGCCTACGGCAGCGTGTGTTTGGACATATACAATATATACAAAATATTTTTTTCCAACCTCTTTTATCTTTCTGCTAACACATTTAGTTTTTTTCCAGCCTACGGAGAAGGGTCTTGGAGTGTGTATATTGTGTTTTATTTATCTTCCTCACGTTTCTCTTCTACTACTTCTTTGTTATTCTTTGGCAATGATGTGGCACGTTTGCATGCCGATTTGATTCAACCTGAAAAATATACCTCTTACGAATTGTCCCATATTCCCCATGTATATCTTGTACCTCTAGGACAGGACATTCTTCCTTTCCCCCTTCACATCCATATGTACTGCACTATATACCCCCAACATCCCACAAATAAAATGTTTTACGCACCTCTTTGTTCCCCATTGTTGGAATGTTAGATATCTGCCATTTTATCCCGTAATCGGTAAAAAGCACACCCACATTGTTAATCCGATCAATACACACTCTATAATCTCGTACACGTATATCATTGTAATATCTACAGAGGGGGCCAGTAACCACGGTACATTGCCCTATCTCACATATGCATTCCCTCGTAGTGATCTTAACACCTTTTTACATGCTTCCTTTATTCTCCACGTAGGTTTAAATTATAAAGTCTGAGATACGTCGTTGGATGTTATCAAATAGTTAAATCATATTGTACAGCGCGTGTGTGTGCGCCAGGAGGTAAATTCGCTCTCTGCTCATTCTCCACGTTAATTGCAGCCAAATGGTTGCGTGGATACTTATCCAGTTCGGAGTGAGTGGGGAGGCCATAGATAGATTTAGAAAGTGCTTTAGAGAGGGCATTTGAAAACACATACGGCTTAACAGGACGCATTCTATACCGGCAAGTTCAATGACCCTGCCTCGCAATGGAGGCAGTGCCCCCATAAATAGCGGGAAACAATTCAGAAACCTCAATTCGCTAGGGATGAAAGTAATTGAGGTAAATAACTCAGGAAAAAGCCTGAACAAACTACATACCGCTCCGGGCAGGTAACACAATAACAATTAAAGCCCCATATCGAATATGAGCAGGATGAGAAAGGATAGAGCCGAGAAGGATTACCAAAAAAGGGGGTAAAAGTTGCATCACTCAAGAGACAGGCATCACATAAATCGTTTTTTTTTTTTTTTTTTTTTTTTTTTTTTTTTTTTTTCCCATTCACGGCCTCAGCAGCGACCCCTTACTAACCTCACGCAGGAGCCGGCCGTGAGGCCCCATCATGTCTATAGGCCAGTCATAGAAGAGCTCATAGTGCATTATGGTTAAATTTGCGTACATTATTAGGAGGCGGTAGCGACGTGAGAAGTCGATGCCGTGCCATTGCTCTTGGCGGGCTGGTGAGGGGTCCTCGGATAGCTCGTGGTGGTCAGGGGTTGCAGGGCTAATTTCCACCTCCGCTCCTGATCGAGTTTTCCCCGTAGGTCTTCTCGTACTATGGCTGTGGTGTGGACGATGAGAGTATGTAGGTGCAGTAGCAGTGGCATGGTTGCCTTCTGCTATTTGGGAAGACGCAGAGGAGGAGTTGATTTCGTCGAGCGGGATGAGGTGGTTTTCCACTGGACCGACTGCCATTCCCGCAATTTGAACTAACGGTCGGTCACCCAGTCGTTCCTGATTTTCGGATGGAATGATATGGTCCAGCCTAAACGCCATGCCATCAGGATGTTCGGTCAGGGAGAATATTCCGACACGCCCCTTTTGTGAAGCTGCCAGGACGATGCCAAGCTCTGGGATCTGGTTTACTATGTTGAACCGCTCGACCATTTCGAGATTTGGAGGAACATCATGCAGATCTTGGACCAGAGCGTCACGGAGGATAATGGAAGACTTTTTGACAAATGGATGGGGGAACATGCGGATAGAGTTTTGAGTGAAGTGGAGAATGGGGAAGTCTGCAAATGGGGGTTTTGTGCTTTCTGGATCTTCGGCACTGGAAAGCCAACTTGAAATATCGGGGAAGATTTCATCGAAAGAGTTGCAACCTTGGCTATGTTGCTGAAGGCTTTCTAGGAGAGAATTGTCGCCATTGCTTCCGCCGTATTGGAAGGCGGCGTATTCGTAGTTATTCTCTGCTTCGCCGGCTTGATTGTCATCCTCACCGTCCTCTTCCTCTTCTTCTCCTACTTCTTCCTCTTCTCCTACATCCCAGTGACCATCCATAAGTTCATAATCATCGTCGGCGTCACCCTCTTGGGCGTCATGATCATCGTCATTGCTAGGCATATCTTGTGCGGTGTCAATTGCAGAAAGAAGGAGATCGTCAACGAGCTCAGTGTCGGCTGTTAGACCTGGTGGATCACCCTGAAGCGAAGGCCATGTAACTAGGAGGGGATTAGGGTCACTATTTGAAGGAATATGCTCGGTGCTTCCATCTAAATCCATATTTTCCTCTCTCTCAAGATTTCCGAACTCCTTCTGGTCACTCTCATTTTCACTCCCTTCTTCCTTAAATACCGGACAGGGCGGTGAGGAACGATCAAACCTCGACTCCCCGGTGCCCATGGGTGAGTCTGGTGGAGAGGGGATATCAGATCCCAGTGAAAATGTCTCGTCTGATGTATCATCTGACTCATGAGCAACGGCATCCAAATGTGGTGAGTCCTCTCGGGTATACTTAGATCGCGTGTATTGAGCAAGGGCACTCAAGTCGTAAACGTCTTCATTATGGGGATGTCTGCGTGGAGTGCCACCACAGGCGTCGTTCAGGGTCGCTTTGGGTCTAAAACTTCCTGGATCGAGAGCTAAAACGTTCCAGCCCAATTGGTGGCTAAAGTCAGGTGGGTTAGAGACTTTGCCTTGAGGGGAAGTAGTTTAAAAAACTTACTTGTCTTGCGCCCGACCCGGATGATTGGGTGGGTCCTGCTGAACATCGATGATTTTCACCGGAGTCGGATATTCCCAGATATTGAACATCATAAGCTTGTTACCGATATCAGTGCTAATCAACCAATCGCCTTCGGGATCCAGATAGCAGTTCAGGAAGGCAATGTTTGGAATATTCTTTTTGTGGCCAACTAAAGTGAACCGAATGTTGCAGACTCGACGTTTGTCTGGACTTATCCGCCGGAGTACGCGATACTGTGACTCAGAGCTCACATTCGTCCACTCTAAAGCCCGGCTAGCTGTATCAGATGAATGGGTAGGCTTCGAACTCTTTGTAGCGTCGCCCGCAACGGATGCATGATCCACCAAGGCAAAGGCGAAAACAGTAATACACCACGAGTTGGAGCTTACTGCAATCATTCTGGCAGTCTTGTGGACCGCAAGGCCCCAGGCACTTTGGCCTACCCAGTCACTAAAAAAGCAGTCGACAAGTTCCCCAAGTTCGGTCGGCTTGCCATTCCCAGTCACCTTAGCTTCCTCGATGACCGCAAATATACGCTCAGTCCGATAGGCTGCAACATTACCGGAATCAGTAGCAAGAAGTAATATCTCTTCATGGCCGAGATCCTCGACACGAATTGCGTTTATAACATGTGGCTTATGCCGTGTGATGTAACCGGGCGCACGAGGATTTTTTGGAACTGGGGTTATTATCATTGCTGGATTCGGTGCAAGCGCCCGTCCGCGACCAGAAGGTTGGTATACGTAGATCTGATGTTCAAAAGCTACAAAATAAAGGTTGCGGTGCTGTGATAAAGCGGTCTGGAACCAGTTCTGTCAGCTGATGTGCGGTCAAGGGACGGGAGAGCGGCAACAAGGCACCATACCAAATTATTCCGCCAGTAAGCAGGCCTGGGATGAGATGCATCGTATCCTCTTGGGTATATTCATTAGTAGGGTGAGCGCTCAGTCTACCATGTATTGCTTGGACGCCGTGGACATACCGTGGAAACTGCCATGCGATTAGCCTAGATCCATCTTCTCGAAGGGCTACCAGTCTACTACTGGTATATCACAAACGGTGTCATACATATTCCCTGCCTATCTCAACTCCATTCTCCTTTACTCGAATCGTTTCGTCACGCTCTTCAACCGGGAGGCGACCAAGCGGGCTTCCCGCCCCTGGTCTCGATTGTCTCCCCACCATGAAACCACCAACTCTTGTAGTAGGAAATTCAAAAGATCACTTCGACATCAATCCAAATTATACGTACCCGCTGCTCTAAACTTAAGCAGCCAACTAGGTATAAAAGATAGGGAGATGCGGGAAATAAATGGAGATGTTCATTTCAACCAGCCCCCTAGGGAATGGTTGGCAAAACTAGGCCGCAGCGGGGGGGGAGTCGAAGCTATCCCTATGAATTTGCGATCATATATCACATGGAGGATGTGAAAGAGTTAAACAAACCCCATGGCAACACCGCATCACGATTTCTGGTCCCGTATTGATTTCGAAGTCGAACAGGTGAGGTCATAGCTAATACACACTAATCCTTATTAGGTTAGTACAACCTTTACCTCGGAACTGACAGATCAAGTCCGTGCGCCTTTCGACTAAGTCACATGACTCTCGCGGCGATCAATTTCAGCTCTTATCTCAGCAAGCTCAGACGCTTCTCCAGATATTTATGTAGGATAGTTGAAGGTTGTATTGATAGATCTATCTACAGGAACATAATATAGTGGTGGGTCACGTGATCTAGTGGGATCGCTAACCGCAACGGCCGTAAGGGCCAACACCCCCCCTTGAGATAACAAGAATCACATACAAAAACAAAACACCCAAACCACCAAGATAGTCTGTCAAAACCAAATACAAATGTAAAATTAAACATTCCCAACTTTTATACCTGTAAGACCTAGCAAAATCATGAATCGCGCAAATGTCACAGTGCCTAGGGGTTTAGTGAGTTCATCCGCTGCCATCTGAGCGGTGAGAACATATTCTAAATCAATGACCCCCTGATTCAACTGCCAATGTGAAAAATGGAAATGTGTGTCAATGTGTTTGCTTCAGGCTGTAATAGCTGCCACCTTTGTGAGATCTATGACACCCTTATTATCGGCAAGGATCCGTATTGGAGATGTAGTGATGAAGCCAAGCTTAATCATGAGGTTCCGGATCCATGTTGCCTCGCGGACCGCCTCACTAAGAGCCACATATTCAGCCTCATTGAAACTTAGAGATACACAAGGTTGCTTCACTGAATGCCATGAAATCAGGCCGCCTGCGAGCTTAAAAATGTAGCTGAATGTTGATTTCCTATCACCATTCAAGGGGCCGGCCCAATCAGAATCTGAGTAGCTGAAGGGTAGGTAGGAATCATCAGAGAAATCAGAGATAATGAAAAGATTGATAGGAATGAACCCCTCATACAGGCCACATTCATAGAAAATGCCCAGATTCATGATCCCTTTCAAATAACATATAACATGTAATAGAGTCTTTCAACATTGAGGTGTTGAATCAATGTTCTGTTGAGTGAGTAGTGAGGCAGTGTAAGTGATATCAGAATGTGTTTTGACTGCAAGATATTGCAAGCAACTCACATCATGTTGATATCACTGAATTGTGAAACCAGCCTCTTTCTCAGGTATAGAGAAATCATTAATGTGAAATCCATCCTTCATAGATGTTCTGGCAACAGCTGCATCATCAAGGTAGAAATCTTCAACAAGGCACTTGATATATTGACAATGTGTCAAACCAATTCTCTTGTCTGAACAATTGATCTTCATACTCAAATACTTGGTTGGCTGGTGTAGATTCTTGACTTTCAATTTCTCACTGAGCATACTCACTAGTCAATCAGCATTCTCAGAAGCTTCAGATATGATGTTGAGATTGTCAACATAGATCATCATATAGAGGTGATGTCTGAATGTATGATATCAGAGTGCTGAATCATGGGCGCTGACTGTAAATTCAAGATCACTCAACAGAGCTGTCAAGTAATCATATCAGATCTTTGCTGCAGGGTCCAGGCTGTATAAACTATTCTCAACTGTGCAGACAAGTGTTTTCAGTGAACCTGTCTCAAATTCAGTGAGTTGTCTCATATAGACCTTCTTAGTGAGACACTCATGAAGATATGTCATCACTATATTCACTTGATGAAGTGTTCAATCATGTAGTACTGCTATTGCAAAAAGAATATGATTAGCAGTATCAGTGATGACAGAAGCATAGATCTCTTCTCTAGAACTCTTCTTAAGCCAGTTATCACAAATCACTCAATGCGATTTTCTAAGAATACCATCAGAATCAGCATTCAGGTTCACAGGTCTATCTTTCTCAAGAAACACTCAACAGCCTGGAGCAATCAGTTCACCCCTCAGAATGTCAGATCTAGGGATCAAACTCCATGTATTGTGTCTCTCCAGGTCAGTAATCTCGCGTTGTATGGACTTCTTCCAATAATCTCCTACCCCCCCTGGCTGAGATGTGGCATCCTTGTAGGACTTCGGGAGGTTGCCTGTAATGAGGCTTGAAGTGTAAGTAGCCAGCGATTTCGCGGGCCGCAACCATGTAGAATTCAGATCATCAATGTCAGAAGCATCTTCATCATCAATCAGATGAATATCAGGTTCCAGTTCGCCGGCATTATTAATGAGTGCCACAGATGTGACAACTGGTTTTTCAGTGATCAGAAACCTCACATCACTACTGACAATAATCTTGTCAGATTCGGGATGCCATAGGCGATATATTGATGTGCCACTGAATCCAATGATATGATAGGAATTGGCATGTGGAGAAAGCTTATCCGCGGGCCACTGGGATCCATGCAAGTGAACAAAAACCTCTGCACTCAATCAGTGAAAATGCCTTACATTCAGCGGGGTATTCATAAGTGCACATCAAGGAATCTTATGTGGACTTGGAACCACAGGGATCTCTGCAGTAGAGAGTCAAAATTTCAAGTTGTAAAGAACTGTAGATGTGAGAGTATTATTAGTTATTGCAACCACTGTCTCTAGAACATCTGCCCAGAACTTCTTAGGAAGATTACCTTTCAAAAGAGCAGCTCTAACCTGTCCCATGATAGTGTGAATTCCATGTTTGAAAACACCATCCTGGTGTGGCGAATGTGGTGCTGTTGGTTCCCATTTGATACCATATGAATTCATAACTGTGTGCATACGTGTGGATTGGAAAACACCATCAATATCAGTCCATAGAAAAGCAGGGGCTGTATACCCGAGATTACCCATGAATCTGAGCCACAACTCAAAGTATTGAACAGCTTCATTCTTGAACTTTAAAAAATATACTCAATGGTAGTGAGTTGCATCACAGGTGATGAGCATTCAGTATTTAGTCCCCTGGTGGGACTCTAAGAGGTGGTCAGAGAGGTCTTCCAATGTACATCTGCCACCTGCAAGGTCAATATGAACCTTCTCAATGAGTCAGATAGATCTAGGCATCAGTGTTTTCAAATAATCTCATATCATATCAGTCTTGACACATTCCTCGCAAAAGAACTTAGTCTTAGAACCCTTAATTGTGACTCCAGTATGGGGATCCTTGGCCATAGCAATTATAGCACCAGCGTGGATGTGACCGAGGTCATAATGTCAATTCAAAAGAGTCTTTGATATCTTTGATGTCTGTGTCTTGAGACCTGTATTCGTGTCCGCAGAATCGACATTATTAACAGTAGTGGCAGCAGCCACAGGAAGATCAACTTTTCAATCAAAATCGTACTCATGAGACATCATTGCAATATACTTGACTGCCCTGTTCGGATGATTGGAATCCTCATTGAACTCCCATTCATCAACCTTATATATGTTGTTCTGAGCGGTCTGAACTGCATGGAAAATAACACTGTTCAGGGCTCTGCAAATGAAAAAAGAGGGAATAGTGAAAGACAATGTAAATTGGAATCCCTGATCTTCAAGCTTTGCAAATGAGAGCAGGTTAACTGTAATATTAGAAATATAGTGAACATCCTGCAAGTTAACATCATCACTCTCAATCTTCAAGGTGACAGTCTCAATCTTCTTAACAAACCCAGTTCTCCCAGTGGCAGAATCAACAGAGATGTTATCATTAAAAGGTTTGATGTTTGAGAAAGAATGAAGCTCATCCATCATATTCAGGCTTGCACATGTGTCCAAATACCAAGATCTAGAGAATGATTTTCCAGTGACTGTGAAAGAGAAATAGAACTCAATCTTTGTAATTGCTGCATTTGCTGCTGGTTGAGAACTCATCAAGTCATCCTTCTTCTCTTTCTTCTTGTCATCCTTCTTGTCATCCTTCTTTCTCTTTTTATCAGGGTGTAAGATGAAACACCTGTCAACAGTATGTCCATATCTTCTGCAGTGAGTGCACTTCCATACAGGTGTGCTTTTGTCCTCATCTTTGTCCTTATCTTTATCCTTATCTTTGTCCTTTTTCACAGTCACAGAATCGGCCTGAGGCTGCTTTTTCCGCTCAGTGGTAATCTTCTTGAATGTATGATTGGTCAGTTGCTTCATCAAATCATTGATATCAATGTTGACAATGAGTCCCTGGCCAGTGGAGAAAAACTCATTCAAACATGTCTTGACAAATGATCTTTGGTAATCTTGTAGATTGTTGAGGAAAAGATCATGGTATACATTCTCAGTGCTCTGACAGAGCTCCTTGTGACAGGCAACAAGATAGCAGAAACATCTCTGAAAAGTAAGATAATCATTCTCCTTGACTTGTAATTTTGTCAATTTCTTGAAGACATTAACTCATTCTTCAGCCAGTGATATCGCATATTCCACATTGATCTTGTCCCACAGGGCCGCAGCATTGTCAGCTTCCAAGGTTCCAATAGTGGTTCAAACATTTCCAACAAGACTCGATAGCATGCGTCTATATAGAGACTTGGAACGGATCCTCCACTTCTCAGAGTCAATATGACATGTAAAAGGGGATTCTCATTGAGTCCTCAATAGGATGTCGGTTCCACCAATAACTTCCGCATCAGCCAACATACCAACACGCCAGGCTTCATAATTAGAGTCATCAAATGTGGTCACTGATTTGGTGTCTAGTGCATATTTGACTTCCTTCTGGTATTCCCGCAACTCATCCCTCGTAGTGTCTCTTTGTGCAGGTGTAGTGAGATGTTGAGTGGTTTCAGCCGCAGCCATTTGGTTCCATAG